AAATAAGATTCGCGTAACATGAGAGAGACTTTGCACCAAATGCAATAATATTGCGTACATCCCCCCTTTTACGTGGCACACTAAGAAAGATACAAATGCAACGATGCATGTATACACAACGTGACATGAAAGTTATTTCCGCTTAGCAGCCCTCAATAATAAAAGAAATAAATATTTTATCCGTATTAGTCCGTACAATCGGGGGGCAGAAGGTGAGATGATATGTATTAGTATAGTATAAATAAAATGTAAAAAAAAGGTGGAAATGGAGGAGAGCCACAAAAGCAAAGATTTAAGGCAATATTATTCCGGTCGGAGTTGGAGGTGGTTGGCCCGACAAAAGCTGCAGCCTTGCACATGCCCGCTTCCATCCTTCCTTTGGTTTCAGTCTTCTCTGTCAACTGCCTGCCCTCCTCTGCTTTAAACCATAAGAATGGATGGTCTTCGTTTCATGTATAAAAACCTTCTCACTTTATTATTAATTAGTGTTGCTTGCTAGATTAGCTTGTTTATATCTGTGTTTAGTCTCTATATCTGGTTTATATTAATAATTAAATTTAATTGTGGGAATTTATTCCAGCTTTCTTTTTCTATATTGGAAAAAAAATATGGAAAGTAACTGGAAAAGTTTGATACTTTATACAAACGAGTTGTTGTCCACAAAAAAAATTCAAAAGTTAGCGTTGATCCATGAACTGATCGGACACACGCCTCTTCAAGGAATCAAAGAAAGCATGTGTTTTCAAGATTTCTTCTTTCTGTGACTTCTTAATTATATTCATTGAGTTTCTTTGCATGAGAAAGTGAAACACAAATTCCCCAGTTTTCTTTTCTTCGTTCCTTTTGTTTTTGCCAACTTTTTTCTTACTAATGCTCTGATGAAATTGACACTTCTTTTGGAGAGAGAATTTTGTCACAGAAACCAACTGAGATAAGAACCTAACAGTAGGCTTCAGCTGATTGAGACTTGAGTAACATATGTCAATTCTAAGTTTATATATTCAAGTGGTCCAGAGTAATTGTGGTCCTTATTTATATATGAATTAAAGCACATGAAAACATCGGAATTAATTAACACATGATAAAAAATGGCCGATTTGGTAGATCATCTGTCACAAACGTGAGTTAGGTCAGTTGATTACAACATATGAAATTACAGTAATTTAAACTGTCACTTGTATCCCTAAAACAGTCTATTTGATTTTTTTTCTTCTTTCAAAACAATATAACGAATTTAATAGAAGAAAAGAGGTAGTGGGTTAGGGGAAAAGGAGGCAGTGTTTGATTCTTGAAGGAGAGATAGAATGAACAAAAGGAATAGTTGGGCTGTCACAGCTTTATGCAAGTTCCCTCAAAACCAGGATCTCCTTATTGTCCAGATTAATTGCCAATTTTGTCATTTGCCGCTTAAAATCTGTATATATAGTCTCCCAACTTTGACTTATATTACTAAGGGATATTCATTGAAATGCCACCTGAATTTATACATTTGTTTCAATTTGTCACCTGAAAAAAAAAATTAAGTGAAATGTCATCCGAATTTTTCAAAATCCATGATTTGTCACCTGAGTTTAACTTCATCTAATTTTTCAACTATTTTCAAGGGTATTTTAGTCTTTTTCTTTTCAAGAGTATTTTAAAAATGGAAAAATCATTATAAAAAAATTATGAAAAGACCTTTGGAAATTACAAAAATTATATATCTTTTCACATTTAACCCCCAACCATTTTTACATTTAAGCTTTATTTTTTTTAATAGTAATTTTTTCCATTTTAAAAATATTCTTGAAAATGAAAAGACTAAAATACCCTTGAAAATATATGGAAAATTGGATTATGTTAAGCTGAGGTGACAAATCATGGATTTTGAAAAATTCAGGTGACATTTCACTTAAAAAAAAATTCATGTGACAAATTGAAACTAATGTGTAAGTTTATATGACATTTCAACAAATATCCCTTAAATTTTTATTGCCCAAAAATATATATATATATATATATATATTTGAGGGGTAAACTTCAATTGAAAGTATAGGAGGAATCCACCGAATTTGTGACATGTGATCATCTCCTGCTTTTGCGGCTGCTGCCCTTCCCTACCTTGTATATAAAATTCTCCTTTCTTTTTCACCCCTTTATTTTTTGGGTACTTTATTTTGTTTTCCTTGAAAGGTTTGGGGATCAGCCATTATTTGTTATTATTATTTTGATATAGAGGAATCAATTAGCATTATTTGCATTAGACCGCCATACTAGAAAAAGATTTGGCCCAAGTCATTTTCTTAATTATGGCTAGCCGTATTTGGATAATTACTAGTCGCAAAATTAAATTTTATTCATGGATAGCTTGTCAATTAGAAAAAGTATTTTAGAAGAATTTAGGTTAAGTATGACGCAAAAGTTATTATAATTTGTCTTTTACCGGAAATGTATACGTGGAATAATTCGGTATAAGAATAACAACTTTTAATCACTACAAATCCCTTATTTACCATGATTAGGGGAAAAAAAATAGAAAACGAAGAGAATCATCAAAATGATGTGTAGTGAGGGTTTTGGTGGGTCCAGTCTCCATAGAAAAGGGCCAAATAAAAGGGGAGAAATAGTTGGATGCTGGATCAATACAAAAATAATAAAATAAACGGCCCCCTTTATTAGTCAAACATCAAGTGCGTCGCCACGTCAGCAACCATATAAAAAGGAAACTTCTTTTTTTCCCAAATGAGATCATGCGCAGTTCAACCAAATCTCATTCCGACCGTCAAAAACTTTCCCAAAAAAGTTAAAAATCCCATTTCACTCATCCAATGGTTACCAAACACACAACACCAAACGTCGCACGTACTCCCCAGCTGGACACATTCATAAAATGAAAATTAAGTAATAGATTAGGAAAAATGTATTTTAGACTTACCAAATTTTGTTTAGAAAATAACGATTGCTTTAGGTGAGGTAGGTTAACATGGAGAAAATCTTAAAATCAAACCGTATGGAGAAGTTTTTCTCATTGCAACAATTTCATGATTAACAGAGGATGGATAGACGATTCGAAGTTAGAAACTCTTCTAAAATTGATAAGAAAAATATCATTAAGTCAAGTGTTAGTTAGTTAATGACGTGATATTATATGTCATAAATATCATAACACGTGTGAATTTATGATTTAATATTTTAAAATAGAGTTTTGATGATATACGTGAATTGGTATCACACAATATTAGTTTGGTATGTCATGTAATAGCTGTCACACATAATAAATCATTTACAAAAACAAATTATTTATTCAGTATTAAGTCATAAGACTTCCTTAATGTATATATCACATAATATGATGAACAAATTTAATAAATAAAAGGGTTAATTTTGATTTAGTAACTTGAACTCTTACCCTTAATGCACATTTGTCCCTACACCCTCAATTTAAACGATTACATACTTTAAGCTTTTCAATTTTTTGCAATCCGATTCCGACGTTAACTTCAACATCAAAATTTCCGTTAATTGCTTGCATGGCAGGTATGGGTCTCACCTATTCACTTATTTCGATGTTAGTTGAAGAGTATTTCCGCATAATTGATGTCTTCCCGCCCATAAATAACACATTATACGTATTAATACCAAACTATTTTTTAACAAAATATCCTTCAACTAACATTGAAATAAGTAAATAGGTGGGACTCAGGCTTGCCACACAAGCAATTAACGGAAATTTTGACGATGAAGTTAATGCTGGAACCAGATTGTAAAAAATTGAAAACCTTAGAGTATGTAATCATTAAAATCGAAAATGCATTGACAAACATACCTTAAAAGTAAGAATTTAGGGTACTAAACTGAAATTAACCTTAAATAAAACAAACAACTGGACCTAAGCATTATTGAGATAAAGAAACAAGAGAGTGAAATGCGAATTTACAGGAATCTGAGGTGAATTTGGTTGGAATTTGATATTTTGAGGTGGCCACTGCTGAGGGACTGGGAAGGAATATTATTAATCAATGTCTGCGGAGAGCATAACACACGCTAATGAATATGATACATACATCAATAATTAATGATGTTGTTTAATTAACTTAATATCTGTTTTTTATTGTTAATTATTTTGTTATTTTTTTAACTAAGTGTGAGAAACTGTTTGAGAGAGAATGAGAGTGAATGCTTTGCCTTGCTTTGCTTAAGTCTATTTCATGTCGGGCTGTTGATTTATAAAGTAGAAAAAGCTGTCTGAGCTTTGTTTGCTTGCTTTGGCCTCTCTGGTTTCCCGGCGACAAGTTAGTTTCTTTCACTTCGATCCCGTCAACAATTCTCTGTTCACAAAAACCCAACTTCACAAGAACGCCAAACCCAATAACTCAAACGGAAAGAAAATAAAAGTCCTCGTTGTTGTGATCATTTTGTTTTTTCTTTTCGTTTTGGGATTTGTTTCATATAACTCAGTTTCTAGTTTTCTTATTTTCTTTGGCGGTTGGGTGGTTGGGAAGGAGAGCTTCCAATTCGCGAAGTGGGGTTGTTTTTTGGTGAACTTTGGAGACTTGGGTTCACTGTGGAAATGGAATATGTGGCATTTCTGCTTTGCTGATTCGAACGTTTGAGCTGCAAAGTTCTGTTCTTTCTGGGTGTCTTTCTGTTTTTTGGTTGGTAACATCATTGGGAACTGAGAGTGGTTGCTACGATTTGAGCTGAGAGGAAGCAGCTGGATTTGAAGGGCAATGATGGGTTTCTTCAATTTAGGTGAAGTTAGAACAAGTTGTGTTTTTGGAGGAAAAGTTAGTGCCTTGTTGCATTTTGGAGATTGTGGTAGGGCCTAATTACCTGGGTTCAATGTGAATTGGAGAAGCTTTTACTGACCATTCAAGTTGGTTCTTCAAGCACTTTGCTTTAGAACAAGTGGTACTGCAATTACAGGGTAATGGGCTGCAGCTAGAGCCCTCTGGTCATATCTTAGAGTGAACAGAGCAGGAATTTGAATTTCTGTTAGACATATCATTCAAATCTCAAGCATGAAGGCTCCTACAAATGGGTTTTTGGCGACTTCAGGGGAAGGTGAAAGTTCTACTATTCTTTTGTGCCATTACAGCTTCTCTCTTCCCCTCTTTACCCCTTAGTCTATTTACTTTTTAAGATTTAGCTCAGCTTGATGCTTTAAAAATGCTCTCTTGGGTTTTGATTTCCGTGGCAAGTAGAAGTACTTTCATGGTCAGGGGTTTGTTTCTGTTTATAGTTTATTTTCTTGATTAAACGTCTTCTTGTTCTCTTAAAGTTTAAACAAATTTTCTTGCCATGTAACGTTTGGATTTCAGATTGCTATTCTTTGCTTGCATATCATGCATTTTCGACCGATATAACTTCTTTTTGTGAATTAATCACTTCCAGAAGGAACATGCGAACATTTCTATGGATTTGATACATATATCATTCACATATTTAAAAATAAATATTTTTAAAACAATTTGAAATCACTTGTGAAATAAATTTTTTTTTAAACACAACAGATCTTGTGTTCTTGAAATCTCATACAGGTATTTGTTAATTTTAGACATTTGTATGCTGTAGTCTCACAGGAAACCAACCAATTTTAAGAAGTTGAGCACTTCACATTTATTATCCTGTCATTACTTCTGACTTGTCTTCAACGCTGATGAAGATTTGTTTGGTCTGAAACAGGAGAACAGAAGAGAATTAATTCAGAGTTATGGCATGCTTGTGCTGGGCCATTGGTTTCTTTGCCTCCAGTTGGAAGTCTTGTGGTGTACTTCCCTCAAGGCCACAGTGAGCAAGTGCGTCTCTCTCTCTAGATGCCAAAACATAAAATTTTGTTTTCTTCTTTAGATTCTGGGTTCTGATGGAATTTCTTTGACTATTAAATCTCGCAGGTTGCAGCATCAATGCAAAAGGAGACTGATTTCATACCCAACTACCCCAACCTTCCGTCAAAACTTATATGCATGCTTCATAATGTCACATTGCATGTATGGAAGTTCCATGCAGCTACTTTAACATGATGAAATTTTTGTTATGAAGATAAAGTTGTGAGTTTTTGTATAACATTGATTGTAAATGGATTGTTTATCTGATTCTTGATTTGTTTTTCTTATTCAGGCTGATACTGAAACAGATGAGGTCTACGCACAGATGACTCTCCAACCAGTAAACAAAGTAGGTCAGCCATTCTTTTTGAGAATTAAGCAATACTTTACAACTCTACTTTGTACATATAATCATATGCACTTGTATGTCTGTTCTGCAGTACGAGAAGGAAGCAATGCTGGCATCTGACATGGGCCTCAAGCAAAGTAGGCAACCTTCTGAGTTTTTCTGCAAAACTCTTACAGCTAGTGACACGAGCACTCATGGTGGGTTTTCCGTACCTCGTCGAGCAGCTGAGAAGATCTTCCCACCTCTAGTATGTACAACTTGGAAACTTTCTATTTGAGTTTGAAAATAATGAAGAATTCTGTGTATTACATTCAATGTACACCTTTCCTTTGTGGTAACTAAAAGAAATTATATTGGATAGGATTTTTCAATGCAACCACCTGCCCAGGAGCTTATGGCAAAAGATTTGCATGACAGTGCATGGACGTTCAGACATATCTATCGAGGTAGTTCCCTCTTTAAACATTCTCCTTCAGTTCTCAATTTTTTTTCAATGATATATGTTCAATTGTTAACCATTTGTTGCTTGAATGTATCATTTTAGAGAAGCTGTTTCTGCTGGCCCTGTTAACTTTTCCTTGTGTTTACTACCATTTCCTGCCCCTTGAATTTCTGTAGGATAGACTTGTTTCTGTTATGTGCCTGACTTATTAGATACTGAGATGTAAATATCTTAAATTTCACCCTAACTATGTAGCACATTCATTTCAGGCCAACCAAAAAGGCACCTGCTGACTACTGGTTGGAGTGTTTTTGTTAGCACAAAAAGACTCTTCGCTGGAGATTCTGTTCTTTTTATAAGGTATGAAATATATGGTGAATTAGATGTTTATTTCAGCTAGATATAGCTCCTTTGGTTATTGAGTTACAACAATCTGGCTGTATGCAGGGATGAAAAATCTCAGCTTCTCTTGGGTATAAGGCGTGCTAATAGACAGCAGCCAGCTCTCTCTTCATCAGTCATGTCCAGTGATAGCATGCATATTGGAATTCTTGCTGCTGCAGCTCATGCTGCTGCAAATAACAGTCCATTTACCATATTTTTCAACCCAAGGTAATGCTTTAGGATGTTTAGATTGTCATTATTGGTATGTAATAGACGCCATCTGTAATTATTATTCGATAGGTTCTGACAATTTATTTGATCTTAATAGGGCAAGCCCTTCTGAGTTTGTGGTACCTCTAGCCAAGTACAACAAAGCGATGTATACCCAAGTTTCACTTGGCATGCGATTCAGAATGATGTTTGAGACTGAAGAGTCAGGAGTACGCCGATACATGGGCACAATCACTGGCATTAGCGATATGGATACTGTTCGATGGAAAAATTCGCAGTGGCGCAATCTTCAGGTATTGTTTAGCCATTGATATGGTATTTTAGGAATTAGTCTAGGTTACATAATGTTTTGTATATTTATAGTGTACATCATTAGAGTTACCGGTGAATTTTAAGTAGCATAATGGGCATTTATTTTAGTGTTGCATGTCCTTGATTCATTCTTCCAGAGCTCACTACGTAATACACATCTGAGTCAAAATTCTCTAGGCGTTATTGACGTGTAGTTAGGCTTATTAGCTAATGAAAATTTTGTACTTTTTATAGGTTGGATGGGATGAATCAACAGCTGGTGAACGGCCTAGCCGAGTTTCAATTTGGGAAATTGAGCCTGTTGTAACTCCTTTCTACATATGCCCTCCTCCATTTTTCAGACCTAAGTTTCCCAAACAACCAGGGATGCCAGGTAAACCATGTTTGCAAGTCGGCTAGATTCTTAAAGTCTTCAAAGTCTAGTAACTTGGAAGCATTTTTAAAGTTTAGCTTGAAAAAATTCCAGTGGAATCAAATGACAAACATTTTGTTGTATGCCCACGCGAATCCTTTCGTGTTGGAAAATCTTTTTCTCATCCCTTGGAGTGCTTCTGCAGATGATGAATCCGACATAGAGAATGCTTTCAAGAGAGCCATGCCTTGGCTTGGAGATGACTTTGGCATGAAGAGTGCTCCAAACTCGATTTTCCCTGGTTTAAGTTTGATGCAGTGGATGAACATGCAACAAAATAATCAGTTTTCAGCTGCTCAGTCTGGATATTTCCCATCCATGGTCCCTCCAACCGGCCTGCAAAATAACCTTAGTACTGATGATCCATCCAAGTTATTGAGTTTTCAAGCTCCAGTTCTGTCTGCAACAGGTGTCCAGTTAAATAAATCAGCTCCACAAAACCAAGTAAGTCAAGTGCAACAGCCAACTGTGACATGGCCCCAACAGCAGCAGCAGCAACAGCAGCTCCAGCAATTATTGCAGAGTCCTATGAACCAACAGCAGCAAAGTCATCCCCAACAGCAGCAGCTGCAGCAATTATTGCACTCTCCTATGAACCAACAGCAGCAAAATCACGCCCAACAGCAGCAGCTGCAACAATTATTGCAGACTCCTACGAGCCAACAGCTCCAGAATTACTCCCATCAGCAGCAGCAGCAGCAGCAGCGGGAGCAGCAACAACAGCAAGAGTCTCAACAGCTGCAGCAGCATCAGCAGCTACATCAACAGCAGCCACAACATCAACCACCACAACGGCAACAGCAGCAACAACAACAATTACAACCAACTGTTGTAAATAATGGTGTTGTTGCTCCCAATCAGATCCCAGGCCAAAATTCACACCAACCAGTTATGTTCTCCCAGCTTCAACAGCAGCAATTGCAAACAGGGAATACCCAATCCCAGCAACCTGTCCACTCTTCTAGTAAGAATTCATTTCAGTTCACAACAGGATCACAAGACTCACAGCTCCAGCAGCAGCAACTGGAACCACAACCAAGCCTCTTACAACGGCAGCAGCAGTCAGCACAGTTGCAACAGTCCTCACTGCAATTGTTGCACCATAGCATGTCGCAGAAAGTACAGCAGCAACCACAAGTGCAGCAATCGTCACAACAGGGCATCTCAGAGCAACAACTCCAATTACAGTTGCTACAGAATTTACAGCAACAGCAGCAGCAGCAACAGTTACTCTCCCCATCAAGCCCACTTTTGCAACCCCAACTGTTACAGCAGCAGCTAGCCCATCAACAAAACCAGCAGTTACAACAGTTGCCTCTGTCTCAGCATCATCAACAACCGCTAAGCGGAAACAGCTTCTCAGCAGACAAACTTCTCAACAACTTCTCAGCTCCATCACTGATGCAGTCACAACATATTTCTTCAGTCCAACCCCAGAGCCAGCACAAGCCACTTACAGCAATCAGAAGCCATTCCGGTCTTACAGAAGGCGACGGTCCGTCATGTTCAACCTCCCCTTCTACTAATAACTGCCAGATGTCCCCATCAAACTTCTTGAACAGGAATCAGCAAGGAACAGCCATGTTGTTGGGGGATTCAGTGGCAGAACCTGCTAGTAATTTGGTTCAGGAGCTTCAAAGCAAGTCTGATATTCGAATTAAACATGAGTTTCCCAGCTCAAAGGGACCAGACCAGATAAAATATAAAGGTACAATTACTGATCAGTTGGAAGCTTCATCATCTGGAACGTCGTATTGTCTGGATGCTAGCACAATCCAGCAGAACTACGCACTCCCCACATTTTGTTTGGATAGTGATGTTCAATCACATCCTCGGAACAGTCTTCCTCTCTCAGCTAATATTGAGGGATTGGCACCTGACACTTTGTTGTCAAGGGGATATGACTCTCAAAAAGACCTCCAGAACTTACTGTCTAATTATGGTGGAACACCAAGAGATATTGAGACAGAGTTATCTACTGCTGCAATCAGCTCTCAGTCATTTGGGGCAGCAAACTTACCTTTCAAGCCTGGGTGCTCAAGTGATGTTGCCATAAATGAAGCTGGAGTTTTAAGCAATGGATTGTGGGCAAACCAGGCTCAACGCATGAGAACATATACAAAGGTTTGTCACTCGTACTGATTTATCTTTGCTTTACTGCTTTTGAAGTGAGGTACATATTTTGTCATGGAATTTGTGAACCAACTTGTTTGCAACTTGTTTTGTTTTCGCCATAAAAACTGTGGTTAAGGTCAAGATGTCGTAATGTTCTATTATCTTCATGAAAATACCTTTGCCTAATACCAATTCAAACATTTTAAAGGTTCAAAAGCGTGGATCTGTGGGAAGATGCATTGATGTCACCCGTTATAAAGGCTACGATGAGCTCAGGCACGATCTAGCCCGCATGTTTGGGATTGAAGGGCAACTAGAAGATCCACATAGGACTGACTGGAAACTAGTTTATGTGGATCATGAAAATGACATACTTCTTGTTGGTGATGATCCATGGGAGTAAGTCAAAGAACCTTGTAAAACTAAATTAGTCTTCTATTTTTCCCTTTTAATTGGTTTTTCCTCATGCTTTCATTCTTAAATTGCTTTCAGGGAGTTTGTAGGCTGTGTCCAGAGTATAAAGATACTGTCATCCGTTGAAGTACAGCAGATGAGCTTGGATGGAGACCTGGGCAATGTTCCCGTCCCCAATCAAGCCTGTAGTGGAAGTGACAGTGGAAATGCATGGAGAGCACCGTATGATGACAACTCTGCAGCCTCATTTAATCGGTAAAGTTCGAACAATCAAATGATCAAGTCTTTGATAGATGAATTCCCATCTGGTTGGGAACTCTAAGCTGTAATTGATGTGAACAAAATCCTTCTTGTGAGATCACAGCAATCAAAAATGAAGTCTCAGTTCATGGAGGGATGTAATTGTTCCTTGACGGTGACGGGTTCCACCACTTCGGCAAATTGAGCTCAATCACATATTTTTGGTGCAATGTGGCGGGGTTGAATTATGTACAATATGGTTCCACCAATTCGGCGAATTGAGCTCAATCACATATTTTTGGTGCAATGTGGCGGGGTTGAATTATGTACAATATGATGACCTTCTCGTCTTTTGAGACCAATTTGACATTCTATTTCTGACTCATTTGTAAAGGCTTCGGTAGAGAACAATCAAGGGACTGAATATGCGACTATAGTTATGACTTATGGCACCAGGTTTTGTGCCATTTCTAACCATTGCAGCTATTGATTACTAGTGTATAAATGGCACTTGATTCACATAAGGATTCATTGGATTGTATGAGCACCAATATCCCTGTGATTTTCCACCACCAATCCACACGGATTCATTTCTCATAAATTGCTTCTTCATCCGAGGATACTTAAAATCGACTTGGCAACGAAATTGTTTCAACTGCAATAATTATATTCCAAGAGTTATTACATTGAAAAGTACAGAAAAGACATTTGAAGCCCCCTGAAACTATGTAATCAGAATTGTCTTGAAGAAACTCTGCCGGATATTTCAAAAATACAGATTGAGCTCATCTAATTGGACAACTAAGAAAGTATAGCAATGACATCCGAAGCTCTTAAAGCTATGTACTCGGAACCATCTTTGCCCTTGAAGTCATTTCCTGCATACTTGGAGTACAAAACTGTGTTCCCCTCGGAAATGGATAATGGTTTCCTGTTTCCTTCCTCATCAAGAGTACCGGGTCCAACGGCAATCACCTGTCTCATCGTAAGCAGAACATAAGCTACACTACCTCACAAGTCCAAAACCTTATCCACAATAGTGGCAATGCCTTGGGCAAAGATGGAAAAATTCATAACTTACTACCCCTTACCGTGCCAATCGAAGGTTTCTCCTTGCTTGCCTCTGTCAGCAACAAGCCTCCAGGAGTCATTTCCTCGACCTCAGCGACCTGCATTGGTTGAACATAGGGACAAGATCATGAACTTTGGTTCAAACATGTGGAAGAAAAGGTGATAAATTGACAATTGGTGGCAAAATGATGGATATATAGAGGAGGATGTACTATATTGCCGACCACTTTCACTATAGAGGGAGGAAGAGAATCAATTGTGAATAAAAGCCAAACCAGGTATTAACTGTATGTCTTCCTGAATATTAACTGACTATTGAAACAATCATACACAAGAGTTAAAAAGTTTGAATAGGCAACAAACCTTGATTAAGACTCTATCATTCAGAGGCTTGAGATCCTTCACATCTTCGGTTTCAAGAATACCAACTATGTCATCATCCTTAAGTATAAGATGCTTAGAACCATTGAACTCAACCTCTGTCCCAGCATACTTGGAGTAGACAACTTCGGCACCAGTCTATAAAATTGAAAGCATTCGGTAAATAGGAAACTAAGGCTATAATGAAATGGAAAACATTCAGTAAACTCAGACAATGGTTCATCATAGCTAACGAGGATAACAACATGTACAATCATCAAGCACCTGAACACTGATGCCCACTTTGGTCTTCCCAATTGTTTTACCCTCTCCAACAGCAACCACCTCACCTCCTTGAGGCTTTGTCTGAGCACTGGTTGGGAGTAAGATTCCACCACCAGTTTTCTCTTCCATGGTTTTGATCTTCACAAGCACTCTGTCACCTAAAGGCTTAATCGAAGTGTACTGCAGAATTGGATCAGAACCAATGAACATCAGATAAACCACATATAACACTGACACAACAAATTCAATAACGGAGCTAATTTTATAACAAATCCAAACAAACAAACACGACTTCCATAATTTTTTTTACTTAAAAATCTTTCTTTTAGAGATATGGGCAAACATAACTCGAAACTTAAACAGGTAAACCTACCACAAATAGTAAAAACCCTGAATATAACAAATTGCTGGCTAACAATAACCCAACGATCATCAATAGTTTCAAACATGTACAAGTAGAGAATACAGAGCCCTTCACTACAAATGGCATAAATTCTCTCTCTGGAAATGATGAAATGGGTAGAGAATAAAAATTCAAATCATGTACGGATACTCGTTTTCAAATCATTCCAAAGCAACCAAATTTTACCCACAAAAAAGAAACAAAGAAATGAAGCATAGTCAGATTGGGAACAACAAGCAATACAAAAACAAAGAAGAAGCAAACATAACAACCTTGGGAGCGACCGTTGTGGCAGCCTTGACGACGAGACCACGGAAGGACCTGTGGCTTACAAGTGAGACTCCTACTGGAGACCCAAACTTGAGGTTTGAAGGTCTGAGGCCTTCAAATGACGCCAAGTTCCTCGCCGAGATTGACGACGCTGTCAGCTGAGATGTGGCCATTTCTGCGTATCACCCACATGAAACAATTCAGCATAGAAATGAAGGAAAAAGTAAATCAATTGAAAATTTTAAATTTGCCCAAATGAATAAAACGCAGCTATACAAGTTTGAAACGACGAAGGGAAAGCTAATAACCTCTTGAATTTGAAGCAGAAGGGAGAGAAAGAGAGAATAGGAAAAAGATGAGGAGGAAAACTCAGTGGCTTAGTTAGAGTGAAGAAGATAAAACCCTAAACTTTGCACTTGCAGGCTTGGGTTTTTATCAGATGATAACGACTATCTCTACTACTTCTTTTTTTTTCTTCTTTTTCTTTAATTTGGGTGGGTCATGGGTACCCGCCCGATCACACAACCTAGAGGATTCTGGAAATATGGGCCTGATCGAGTGGGTCAAAAATTCCAAATGGGTCCAGCTTCTGCTTTGGGCCATTTCTACTTGTGTAGTCAATTCTCAACTGTTGGCCCAAACGAGCAAGTTATTTTTTTTCTTTTTTATAATCATGTTTCACACACAACACAAGGTAACTCAACATTCAACAGAGGAATGTGAAAATGGTGCACGTGTATATATAAATTTCCAGAAGGGCGGCTAAGGTTAACTAACCACTCAGATGATCATTAGTTCATTCTAGCTGGCTATGGTTTTAATTTCTTCATAAGTTAACTGGAAATTTGTTCACATTGTAAATACAGAAAATGTGTAAGTGGGGAAATTGCCAAATCAGCGTTGATCGGAATCGTTAAGTTTTTAGGTTATCTTCCAATGAATATCTATACCCAAAAAAATCAGCTAAATCAGAACTTAGCTATCTGAATATCCGCATTTTCGTCTCATTTTCACTTAAGAGATTGTTTATTTATTTATTTATAAAGAATAACTTCAAATATAAACGATTCTGACCATCGGAATATAGAAAAGAACATAAACATCCTTAATATAGAAAAGTTCTCTGGACATGGGAAGTTAACTTACGAACCATCGAAGAAGCAACAGGGCGAAATCTGATTGTATGTGGGACGTATGGATGACGCAATCTTGGTTAGGTCGTCATACTGCATTGCGTGATCATATTGACGTGGGATACTTTGTTCATTCATCCTCTGCGCGCGATGATCTCATTTATTTATTTGCTTACTGGTGTCTACGCGTTGTTGAACAGGGTCCGTTTTGGGCAGTCACTTTTTGATTTTGATTTTCATTTTGAATCTTTTGATTATATGATAGGCTTGCTTATGTTTGGGATGACGCTTCTATATTTGAACTTACTACCTTTTGATGGGGATGGATAAGGATGACCTGACCAAGTTGACTTGTTTAATTAGTTTTGCTAGGGATTTACCATTACCAATTTCAAGTCAATGTTTGTTTTGTGGGGTCAAAGATTTCATGTCATATATGATTGGTGATTCATTCACAATGAAATGAGATACTTTTATGGTATGTTTACTAATCCCTAATCAGATGAGGAGAAGTTGGACTGAGAGAGTTATTTGGATTCCTATTGGAATCGATTACTAAACCATATGGAATTGGGGTGATTTCTTATAAGTTGTTTACTAAATTTCCATGAATTGGAATTGAATTAAACCAAATTGATTACTAAAATTCTCCCGTTGTTGGGTTAAAGTATATGACAAATTAGGAATTTTAAAAATTGTGTGAGGATGTAATGAGTAAAAAAGATGGATATCTAATGAGTTACTTAGTCCTCAAGGAATTAAAGCATTTCAATTGGGAGGCCCCCAATGCCCCCAAATGTGTTTCCAGCACCCAAGTCTTGCTAGGGAAAGAGCTAGGCTCCACCAACCTAGGCAAGCCCAAAGGCAAGACTTGCCTGGGCTGCTGCTTAGGCAAGATAACCTAATGCTGACGTTATTGTGATATTAGCAGCCAATTTAAATAACAAAAAAATGGAATAAAATAAAATACAAGAAGACCAAAAATTTCAATTTTTTTTTTTAATAAATACTCAGTCATATTCTTCATTTCCCACGCCAAAGCTCTATACAAATTCCTCTCCTCATATCTCATGTGAATAGTTGTTGCCTTTGAGTTGTCATGGCAATGGGTGGAAAACCAACAAAAAATTGCTATGGCAGACATTATTCGTGTAAATAGTAACATCCATTGCCTCCCTTTGCCTTTTGCCATGGCAAATGGGTGAAAATGCAATAAATACATAAGTATCCGTAATATGAATTCAACTTCTTATTTTAATTCCGATTACGGATTAGTAAAGTCATTTATTCCTATGAAATGAATATCCCTTATATAGACTTTTTGGTTAGGAGGAATATAGCCAAATCATTCATTCCTATGAAATGAATATCCCTTTGTTCTCCTTTAGAAAAAGGTATTCATGATTTTTTTTTTTAGGGGATTCTAATTTGAAATCTCTTCCAACATTAAAAATAGGGTATCTATACATTAAAATGAGCGTTTCCAAATTAAAAGTTATGAAAATACTCATTTCATCTATGTGATCGACTGAATCTAGAGTACAAGTCCAAATTTTAAGTATTTGACATTCGACTTAGAATCTAAATATAAAATCCTGAAATTGGGATCTCAAACATAGAACCAATGAACAAAAACTCAAGCACTAGAAATGTAACCTAGGTCCTTGCACCTCGAATTTGAGTTTAAGATTTAGAGCATTTACAATGGACTCCCTAAATCACCTCCTTAGATAAAATTTAGGGAGGAAGTGAGAAAACTCACCTCCAACCACATAACTTTAAGTTAAAATTTAAGCACTAAAAAACTTACTTTAGATTTTACATGAAAAGTTATGATTGTAAATCCTCTTAACCGCATACTTTAGGTTCTAGTGATTGTAAAAGCTCACTTTCATGTGGGCGGCTAAGCTTAACTAGTGAGATGGTGTTATAATCAAATCAAAAGGCACGTTTTCCAAAGTTGACTGTGTTTTCTTCTTTGATCGATAATTTGGCCATATTATAAGCACTAGACTTCAGCCATGCCCATCTACGGAGTATCATGTTGGTAAATGCAGAAAGAAACAACGCTCATAATTTTATCCTCCATTTCCAAACACAGTCATATATGCGTATTCAGTAATCGAAATTATTTATTAGTTTTAGCCATTTAATTATCCATATATTTGTTTTAGTTTAATTCAACAATTTGCGTCATTCTACATGTTTTAAACGAAGAAACAACTTTCGATATGAATCATTGTTGTAACATAAACTAAATTACATATGATTTTGATTGTTTAAAATGCAGGGGATTGAATAGTCCATTAGACCATTCCTACAACATGAACATCCCGACGTATAACAGATGAAGCATCGAAGAAGGATGAGGACAGGCATGGCATGGGTGTGGATCTGGATGACGCAAATTAGTTAGGTCATTTGCATTATGTAAGACAAACTTACTAGATCTACGCGTTGTTGAACATATATTTCTTTCTTGTTTTATTTATTTATTTATTCCTTTCGTTGATCATGTACGAATAATATTTGGTGCTTATGTTTGAGATGACGCATCTCTATCTATCTGTACTTCCGAGTTTGATGGGGATGGGTTGACCCAGTTGACGAGGTTTACTAGGTGGTGGGGGAGGTCACGGTTTTGGACTTTTTTACTTTGCATTTCAATTAGTTAATTAGTAGTATCTTACTTTTGCCTTTTTCACATTAATTTATAATATACATTTAGAATCCTCTCGTTCTTTTCAGAAGATAAATTCTTATGTAACTGGAATAACACTTTTTGTTATTTCTAATTAATAACGCAATGACATGTATGATAAATTTTCTATGTGTCATTGTGTCATTAATCAGAAATAGCAAAACAATATTATCCCCATTATATGTAAGTTTTTTTTTGCTCTTTTAGAGCCTCTAGAAGTTTGGACTAACAAATTTATCATTGGTCATGTCAATATATGATTGGTGATTCATTCGTAACGAAATGAGGTACTTGGTGAATGTTTGGTCGGGAGGAATATAATCACATCATTGATCATTCCCGTGGAATGAATATCCCTTTGGTTGTCCTTTGAAAAATAAAGTATTCATTGGTTGACTCACACATAAATTTGAGAATGAGCACCTAGCACTTCCACCAGTTAGCCCCTTGCCATGGCAAGGGGAACCATAGGGCAGCTACTATTCATGTGAATAGTGGTTGCCCTAGCTTCCCCCAGCAAAGTGTGTTTCCAGCAGTTAGCCCCTTGCCATGGCAAATACTATTCATTTTTTTGTTTTTTTCACAACTTTGTTTATTTAAACAATTAATTTGGATAATATTTTCGGATAAGATTTTTGGGTTCCTACGTGTCAATACTATTCATTAACAATTATAAGAAATGCAAAACAAAATTTAAACATTGCAAGAAACATTCATATTAATATTGGAAATACAAGAAATATTAACAAAATATATAAATTGCAAGAAACATTTAAATAAAAATTAATATGACATAGAAATTAATAAAACGAAAATTACAAATAATTTACCTCACAGCTTTGTTTACATAAATAAAAGTAAATGGAGTAATATAAAAATAAATAAAAGTAAAAGGACAAAGACATTTACTTAAATGTTGAAAATGGAAATAAGGTATAGAGAGAAGAAAAAAAAAAGTAATTTTTTGGTTTTTTTCAATTTTTTATTACAAAAATATTGGTTGTTGATGTTAAAAGTGAAGAGTATTGGTTGGTATTTATAGAAAACAATTTCAGTATTTTTTTGGTATTTTTTTTCATTTTTTTATTGGGCAAAAAATTCCATGCCGTTGGATGGCTGGAAAAAAAAATATCGAAAAGCCAAGAAGCTTCCACGTGGCACATAGCCGTTGGGGCTTGCTTTTTCCGATTTTTTTATTCGCGAAAAAATGGTTGCCGTTGGATAAGTTTAAAAAACAGATCGGATGGCCCAGCATGCGACACATGGAATCATGCCGTTGGGCGGCTACTGTAGCGCGCGTCAAATTTTTTTTATACCGGGCGCGTGTATTGCACGCGCCAGCTTTAAAAAAATTTAAACAGCAGCGCTGACGTCATCTCAGCCTGCGGGCTGAAGCTCGGGCCAGCCTCCCCCTCGGGCTTGCCCAGGTTTGTGGGCCCCACTGTTTGCCTTGGCAGCTTGTTGTTGCTGGAAACCACATTTTGGGTTTGCCCCCCCCAACCCTCCCCTTAGGCCCCTTGGTGGAAGTGCTCTAAATTTAGGATTATTCATATTTCATTTATGCAATTCACTTGGTTCTATTCTATGAATTAAAGCTCTCATTTTTAGGCTTTTCACATTCAACTCATGATTTACATATAAATTTAAAATATGAACTTGGGACTTGAAATCTCAAACATTAAATCTATAAACAAAAATTCAAGCACTAGACCCGCAACATAGGTCCTTGAACCTCAAATTCAAGCTTAATATTTAAGATTTTGAACCTTAAGTTCCATACCCAAAATTAGAGTTGAATTTGAGACTCAATAATCAAGTTTCGTATTTGAAAACTAAGAAAAAAAAAACCCATGGAACCAATTCTGACTTTGAACTAAAAACTTGTCATCCAAGATGAATCTTGAACTCTGGATGTAACATAAAAGATTTAAAAATATATATCCACTTGGGTTTTATTCTAAACAGATTATTATAAGTATAAGATTCAACTTGGGGTGTTACTCTTCCCATGTTTATAAATTTATTTATTTTCCAAACAAAGGGAGCATGAGGAATGAACAACACACGTGCTCGAATCCCATATTACCCTTCCCCCGCGTAATCTGTCCTAACACCACTCTCTGAAGTAGCCACGTGTCCACCTTTGACGATTGCAGCAACCTAGCTTACGCGCCTCTGCAGTGTTGACCTTCCACAGTCATCAGTCAAAGAAACCCCTTGCCTTCCCAGGGGCCAAGCCCCAACCCCAAAACCCACGTATATATATCGCAGAGCCGCAAATTCCATTCTCAGATGCATACAAGTTATAACAAAACCCACAACAAAACATCACTCAACACAACTCAAAGTCAAATCTATTTTCTACTACTACGAAACGGAGTCGTCTTCTTCGTCGTCCATGGTGAAGCAGACCATCGGGAAGCCCTCGGAGCGAAACGACTTCAAGTACAAGGGAGTACGGAAGCGCAAGTGGGGCAAATGGGTATCCGAAATCCGCCTACCCAACAGCCGCGAGCGAATCTGGCTCGGCTCCTACGACTCCGCCGAGAAGGCGGCTCGCGCTTTCGACGCCGCGCTTTTCTGCCTGCGCGGCCGCACCGCCAAGTTTAATTTCCCTGACAACCCGCCCGATATTCCAGGTGGTCGGACGCTCAGCCCGACCGAGATCCAAGCCGAGGCGGCTAGGTTCGCAAATTCGGAGCCTCAGACAACCCAGCACCACTCGGATCATTCGATGTCGGAGTTGCAGACGGAGTCTCAGTCTCCATCCCCGTCGGTGTCGGAGGGGAGTGGAACCGTCCTGATGGACAGTGATTTTCAAGTGACTCAAAACGATTCGTTTTCGGATCTTTTTAGGACGTTCGGGTCGGGTAATTACGCAACGGAATACGGGTTGTTTCCGGGTTTTGATGAGCTGAACGGGCAGTTTTTCAGTCCAGCAACGACAGAGCCAACGACGGGCGTTGATTACTACGCGGAAGAGAATTTGGACGGCGCTATGCCGGCTCAGGGGTCTTTCCTTTGGAATTTCTAAAATCGGAATTTTCAAACACGTACACGTTACACAGTCGAATTGAGATAAAAATTAAAAAGTATAATTTTTAATTTGTTTTTCAACGGATACGGGTTGGAGCTCCGGAGAGTTTTAGTTTCTCGAAGCTTGATTACGTAGCCCGATTATGGATGAACCAATTTTTGTGGAGACCATCCTAGATTGCCTTTATCGTTCTCTTGTTCATGCAATTAGTACAAACAACACAATTGGACTCGTATAGATTTTTGTAACTAAATGTATTTATTCCGTGGTTAATTGAGTGGAAATTTTATTCATTTCAACTTGTTTTTTTATTCAAGATCAAGAACGAACAACCACCATAGAAAATATAGTTCCAACTAAAAGACCTACTAACTCTCTCCATTATCTAGAATATAATAATAATAATAATATTGGAATAGAATAATGCACTCACGTTTTAAACAAGCATGTCTAAACATCCCAATCCAAATCCAGGGGGGTCCACACAGCAAGTGAATGGAAGGGGGCCACCTATCAATTACCACGTGCATGCTTACTGCCCTAATCCTACTAGTCCTTTTTCTGAACCTAGCTAGTGTATTATTTCATTCAAATTTATGGTAAAAATTCATTCGTCTCGGTTAATTCACAAGAAGAAAAAGATGAAAACCTGGGGATTTGTTGATTTTCAAATAGTTAGTTTCAACAAAATGATAGGATACGAAGACTTACTTGACATTAGGATCAGAAAATTGTATACGTGTGAAATTGTTTATGATAACTTAATTTCCCACAATTTAGATGGAACCAACTTCTATTATATGATGTGTTGGAATTCAAATGTATAACCATCTTGCACAACTGGATAGAAGTAATGAACAATATTAAGGAAACTAAGAAATTTATTGATAGATATAAAAAAGTTATAGTGCCTTTGACACTAACTAGAAAATGATAGCAACCTACCTAGTCTACCCCTAATTAAAACTTTGGTTACTTACCAAATTGACCTCATAATAATACAATAATTAAGATAAAACCTAACTTATCTAATCTAAAAAAACCCTATAACCCTAGCAAACAGCTTCCACAGCCAGCCTCTTTACATAAGCACCACAATTTGCTGATCCAAGTTTGCTCTCTGAAACATCGATCGAGCACTTCTCCTTGCCCACACATTCCTATAAAATCACATTTTATAAAAAAAGGGGTTACATATTTATTTACATAATTAAGAAGGAAATGCAACTTGAATTTTACAACAAATGATTGGCGAAGAAAAATAATACTTACGTTTTGAATGATAGACAATACATCCTTGGCATCACAGCTTCCCTTCTCAAATGATCCGCATCTGCCTTGTGGGTTGCCAAAGCTAGCAAACTTGATTGCTGAAATCGGACGACCTTGGCATGCCAATTCCAATGTGTGCTTCTCATAGGCATTTGCACACACTGTTCCAGTTGTGACGGTTTGGAAATTCACAAGAGATGGGTTGCCACCAAATTCCTCAAACAAAACCAGAGTGTTCTCACCGTCTTGCATAAATGATCGCGGAACGTGATACCTTAAACACAATAAACATATAATTAAAATCGTGATTTAAGATAAACGAGCAAAAACATTTGATGAGCAGCCGAATAAAAATGTTGGTAATTACCATCTCTGAGTAGGTTTGCCACAATTGAAGACACACTTGTTGTTATCGTATGAGCCACGGTAGTCACAAGCTTCAAGGCTACAACCATCTTCCTCAGCCAAATAGCTTGGCCAATATCTCCCAAGGCTATTGCCATTGACCCAAGCATGGCCCTTGCCTAACCCTTGCAGGTCCACAACAACTGGATCAGTTCCCAGAGGAGCTTTGAAAGTCGTCTGAAACAAAGCAAACAAAACCAAATATTATTATATTGCTTAAAGTGTTACTGAGTAATTAAAACAAGCTTAATGTTTGTAACATTTGGGTTTACTTACCTTGTACCATGTCATCATCCTGTTAATTGGTAGGTTTTCGGCTGACCATTTAGCCTCGTAACGAGAATCGGTGCTAAAGAGCTGGTTCTTCAAGCCATGTAGCCCAACCTCGTATGACCATTTGTGTGCTGATAAATCCTTGATCACCATTTCATCACCATTTTGTCCCACCAAAACAACAGGACCAGGAACTCCAGTATTTATCACATCAAATCCACCTCCATAGTTCTGATCATAATCCACAAATTTAAAATTAATTAAAACTGATATAACTAATCACAACCGCCTAATTGATCTTAAGACAAGAATGCAGTTAATACGAACCGGAAATCCAACGGTGGCACTCAGCAAGGAAATCACGTTCTTTCCGGGGTTTAACTTGACATTTTTCTCAAAAACATAATTGTAGTCATTGTATTTAGCCCATTCAGAACCTATATTTACAGAGGTTAGAAAAATAAAAAAATTTAACACAAGCAAACAAAGGTATAAGTAAGTAGTTAAGATACATTAACAAATCAGATTCCAATATCTTACCAAGATATTCTCCATTAACATATGCATGAAGGATAAAACCAGTGGCATTGATCTTTAGAGTCATGTTCCCACTCCAGATTGGATCGTCTTTGTTGAGATGAACACTGCTCAAAATCCAAGTTAAACAAATTATAAGTATTTTTTTTTTACTATATATGTACACATGGAATTTGAAAAAAAGATACCAAAATAATTAAAACATTTAATAGTACCTTGTCATGTACCAAAGATAGTCACTAGCATCAGCTGCAACATCCTTCTGATCCATGAGTTTATTTGCAGTAAATTCTCCCTTTCCTTGAAGTCTTGTGTCATCAATGTTTTCAGGCCTCCACAGCCAGCCAAGAGATTCAGGTTCATCCTCAGCCTTGTTCACCATTTTCACCTTAATGGATGTTTGTGTGTTCACCTAAAAAAAGGGTAAAAAACAAATTAATAAAATAATTAATATATATATATATATATGAAGCAATTTTGAGAAATAATTAGTGCATACCTTTGCAGTGTTATATCCTTCAGTTTTGCAATCAGGAAGAATGCTAACGGACCAAGCAGGAATGGTGTATATGTTTCCTTGGAAAGTGATTGTATGATCAGTGCTGGAATTTGCATTGCCAAAAAAGCAGCTTGCTGAATCATTTGTTGCATACATAGTGGCCTAAAATACATAAATATTTATACAAAAAATGAGTCAACTGTGCCAATTTTAAAGTCTATAAAACATCAATTAGTAAATTGATCCCAAATCATAAACTTACTGAAACAGAGTTTCCAAAATCCATGGTGGTAATATTGCCATGGGTGAGAGTATACTCCATGGATTTCAGAATCTCATGAAGTTGCTTCAAATGCCCCCATTTAGGTTGGTTCAAGTTACCTGTAAAAAGACCAAAAAATATGTAAGAAATTGAATATAAGAACTGTGTAGAACTTGAATTCGACGATTCGCTTACCATATTCATCAAGAGGAGCGTCATAATCATAAGTTGTGGTAATATATGCAGCTGCTGTTCGACCAAAGTTTGTTCCACCATGATACTAAGGATAGACCCAAACACAGAGATACATAACAGTTAGAAAAAGTGTTTTACATGAAACAATATATATCCGATGAATAATCTTAAAATAATCAATGTACCAACCATGTAATAATTCTGGAAAGTTCCTCCGGTCTGGAAAAATCTTGCAACAGAGAAGGCAAGATCCTCAGCGGTCCTAAGTGGGTCTTTACCACCCCAGCTCTTGAACCTGATTTATGCATTATATAAATTTAGGAAAACTTTACCCAAAGAATAATAAATAATTTTAAAAAAAGAAAAAAAACATATGTAAGATTAAAAAACTTACCAGCCAGTCCAATTCTCAGTCCACATTTTAGGGCTATTGTCATTATTTGGTTTGAAATTATCACAGTACCAGCCATTGCATGTGTTTATCTGAAAATAAAGAATTGAATAAAAAAAAATTAATCATACATAACCAAATTAATATAAATAATTTAGAAGAAAAAAGAGAGGGAGCAAATTTTACCATTGGTTGGGGAGCATCACTTTGTTGGCACATAATCCATGGAACTCCGATGTCAAGAGATTGGGCAAAATTTGAGCACCAGTTCATATATGCTTTGCCAGCATCTCCATAGTATGATTGCACATTGCCATATTCATTCTCAATCTAAAAATAATAATAACAAATTTAGATTATCACAATGAATATATATTTTTGTATAATATATGAATAAATTCAAAACAATTGTATTTATATGCATATACCTGAGCAATAATAATTGGGCCACCTTGGGATGCAAAAAGTTTCTCCTTTCTCATCATATTGACAATCAAGGTCGTAAAATTCTTCATCTCACTCTGCAAAATAGAACAAAGAAGGTTAAAGGTTTTGACTTGTTTTGTTAGCATAATATTAGAATTTAGGTGACATAAAATGAAATTAGTCAATAAAATTACCATGTAAACATCATTAGCAGTTCGAATCTCACATCCGGGCAGATTATGCAGCCAAACAGGAAGTCCTCTGTTGATAAGATGCAAACAATGAGATTGTGTTTGGGACAAAAAAAAGTGTAGAGAATATGAAACAGAAAATTTTGACAGAACATGTACCCATAGTTCCATTCAGCACAAACGTATGGACCGATACGAAGAACAGCATAAAGTCCTTCGTCTTGAACAGTTTTGAGAAACCTGACAAGGTCGAGATTACCAGTAAAATCATACTGGCGACGAACTGGTTCATGCACATTCCAAAAGACATAAGTCTCAATGGCATCTAGTCCACCCTCCTTTGACTTCCTAATCAAGTCTGGCCACATCTGCACATGCACAACATATGCATGAGTTAATTTGATCACAGAAAAACACATTAGAAACACTGAATCGTATTTTACTAAGAATAAAATTTACCCCGGATGTGCTTCGAGGATAGTGAATTGAACCGGATAGCAAAAGTCTTCGTTTACCATCAATGGTGATGGCTCTTCCATCGTGTGAAACTTCGGTGGCGTTAGCGTACAAGCTAATCATAGCAATCGATAAACAAAAACAAAATGCAAACTTGGAGATCGCCATTGTTGAAGTAACAAAGAAAAACACAATATGAGAATGATCAGAGAAGTATGCTCTATTTATATGCATTAGTGAGACCAACAAGTATCCTAATCAAACTTTTATTCTGATCAGAAGGATTGAATTGAATTAATGACTGGTTTAACAAACTTGGATAATCATAAATTTGTGTTACTCAAAATTTTATCCAAAATGAATAACTTTTCTGAAGTTCAAACCGAGCAGAGCAGATAGGTGATCATCAATCCGATGTAGTTCTAGTTATCCAAATTCTATACCAAGTGCGATTCTTTATCAAAACCGGATAAGTTATCCAAAATCTATACTAAGTGTGATTATCCAAACCAGATAAGTTATCCAAAATGTACACCAGGTGTGATTATATATCAAAACTCAGAGCTATCTGGTATGTGTTTATTTCGTTGTATAACTCATCTTCATCACAATCAGAAAGGTACATGAATGAGCATAAATTCTTTGAGGAATTCTAGCAACCTTCTCTCTAACCTTCTCCTTTGGATCTTCTTCCTTTTTTGCTTGACATGTGTCATTTTCTTTACACTTAAAACAATGTCATTAATATATTATACAAGCTAACTTTTGCTTTCTAAGTTTACCCTTATTAAATGTATTCAATTTATCCAAAAAAATTTCACAACTATCTTACCATCTTATTAATTTTTTTCTAACATCAATTATTTTTTTTTAAAGAAAATATCTAACGTCAATTTTTTTCACAAGCATACATTTTCTTTAAAAATAATAATTGACGTTTGAAAAAAATTTAATAAGATGGTAAGAAAGTTGTGAATTTTTCTTGGATAAATTGAATATATTTAATAAGGGTAAACTTGGAAAGTAAAAGTTAACTTGTATAATATATTAATGATATTGTTTTAAGTGTAAGGAGAATGACACATGTTAAGTAAAAAAGGGAAAAAATCCAAAAGAAAAGATTAAAGATAAGGTTGCTAGTATTCCCCAAATTCTTTTAAGGAAACAGCAGTTAAATGGTGTCCATCAAACAGCCCATGTTGGTTCCAACAATCGAGAACTACCAACAAAGTTAAAATCTTGTATATGAAATATGAAGCCTTTTTATAGAACTAGAACACTAGTACGAGGTACAAGGCCAGAATACATGTGAGCGTTAAATTAAATAATAAAAGGAACCCTTTGTGATGTGAACACCAATATACAAAGGTCTACGTTATAAAATTCTTACTCTATTTTATATTAAGCAATACGGTTTTTATCGCGCAAAAACGTCCATGAGATTTCCTCCCTATTTTTTTTCTCGAACATGGATCGTCCTTCACGTTAATTCGTACATCAATTTCGTCTTGAATTTGTTAGTTTTTGGAACATGTAATTATAAGATTAAACTGTTTCTAGTTTGTTATATCAAGCATGAATTGGAAATCATTATTTAGGAAAAACATAGACTATCAGCACGGTCTTACACGTCCTGGGGCCTATCAGTCCGGACCATTCATCAAAATGGGCCTTGCCCGGGCTCTGATGTGATCCATACACTTCAGGTCAGTTAAGAGAGGTGATGATGTTGATCAATTTGTCTATACAAGAGTAGATTGGCAAAGTCCATACAAAGACAATGTTTAGATCGCTTTCAAACATTAAGGTGAAAGCAAAACTAATTGGTGGCGGTCAACATCTTGCATCTCACACCAACAATTAAAAACAAACAATTGAAGTTGCAGACGTTTGCTGGGGGAGTGTTTATGTCCCTTTGCACGGAAGTTCGATTTGAGAATTAGAGTAATTTAGGCCCATTGGAACTATTTTTACAATGAGTACTTTTCTAAAGAAGCACTGCATAAGTACTGCTTTTAAAAAACACTTTTATAACTCATAAACACTTTTAACTTGCTTTGCAAAATTGCAATTTTTTTTTTTTTTTTTTTTTTTTTTTTTTTTTTTTTTTTTTTAAAAAAATGTTTTTATTGTTGTTATTCCAAATGTTCTTCCGATCATGCCCTTACATTGCGTGTATTGCTTTTTTTTTTTTTTTTTTTTTTTTTTTTTTTTTTTTTTTTTGGGTTGTAATTAATAATTGAATGTTATCAACATCTTGACGCCCTCGCCTGCAAAAATGATCCTTTCTGAGGTCATTGTCAATTTCGTGACTGGCGACTGCGGTTTTACTCCGGCCACAGGCAATAATACACAACTTCAGCTCCACGTGGCTCCACCTGAGCCGTCTAATCACAGACCGCCACTTATGGTTTCTGGCCCCTTCTGGTTTATTGATGTTTTTGGAGCTTTCTCTGCTTATGACAAAAGCGTCTCTAATGTGAAATCCCCATATTGGGCCTGACATTCAATACAATTACGCACACCACTATTCTTTATTGTCCTAGTTAATATAATAGTAAGCCTTTCCCTTTCTTCCAGTACAATTCTATTGGTGTTCCCCAAACCTGCTTCGTTATCCAAAATATAAATAAAATAACTTCACCTCATAAAAAAAAAATCCCTTAAAAATTTCAAAATATTAGCTTAACTAATTTTCAGAATCCCAACCATAAGAGCTTGGCACACATTTGAAGACAAAATTATAATTTATTTGATTAAAATATCTTGGAGACGGTAATAACTAAGATCATAATTAATATAATACTAAAAGTTACGGTATGTTTTTCCGTAAAAATAAATACAATATAATAAGCCTATGGTGATAATTTCTTTTAAATTCTAGATATCGATAAATTAATTCTTCATTTAACTCAATTGTGATACAATAAAATTAATTTTTTCTTTTAAGATTTTCTTTATTAAAATTATTTTTGCTCGCAACTTTAACTCAAAATGTACACTCACCGCAATTTTTCTCAAAGAAACGTGAAATTTACATATGAAATGAAAGCTACACGTTTTACTTGCCCGATTAAAAATTAAGAATATAAAACATAGAAGACAGCTAATGCTCAAAACAAAATGTATTTTTGTCCTTCGATACAATGCAAGGGTACTCTAGACATTTAGTGTTGCAAACAAGAAACCAGGCCCGCATCACTTTCACTGCCATAAGTGGGCCCTCAGTTTTCAGTGGGCTCACATAACTCTTTAGTGGTTTAGTAATAATTGCCATGCCCAATAGCCTTGGATCGTCGACACGTGCGACGAGTCCAACGGTGACAATGCCCAAGGAATCTTATGGTGGGCCACACCCCTAAGCATGTGGCCCCAATAATTGGAAAAGGACATTTTCAAAAAAAATTGGCCTATTGACAAGTGACCTTTATAATAAATTTTATATAAAAAATATAAAAAAAAAGAAAGAAAAAAGGTAAAGCAACTCAATGATTTCATGGGTGTTTGAAAAACAATCATCACCCATATAATTCCAAACCAAACCATGGGCTGAGTCCTACCCACTCCTCCTTCATATACTGAAGACCCTAAAACACACATTTTGTGCAAAATAGGTTGAGGGGACAATTTCCAAACCGCTTCAATTTCATTTTGCTTCATAACAATTTTGGTAACCCAAAATTTTTTATGTTGAAGTTTGGCAAGAGACCATTTCCAATGATCGGGAAGCTGTCGGAATTGCTAGTTTCTGGCCACCGTGCCGGGTTTTTCTTCGACATGGGCACGACAAGCCCAAGAAGTCCATTGGACCTCAAGATGCAATCTTCTAGCCCCAGAGGGTTGAAGAATTATGATCTTGGTGGTGTTGGGTTGGGCATAGTTGCTGCCTTGGAAAAGTCGAGCCATAATGGACGTGAGATTTTGCCCAAGTATGCGGTTTGTGGTCAAAACCTGAACCAATCAGAGCCAATTCCTGTAAGCTCTGCTCAAAACTGTGATGGGTTTTCAACCAGGGGTCTCCAGGAGTTTGAGGAAGATAGCTTGGAGAATTATACTTATGTGACTCAGCGTGGAAAAAACAAGTCTTTCACTAGGGTTTACTATGATGGAGGTGACTGCAATACCAGTTCCATGCACCACCATGTAGAGGATGATTTGCAGACATGTAATGATAACAATCTTGCTTCAGTTTTTCCCACCTCGGATTTTCTCAGTTCATGCCACTTGTGCAAGAAAAACCTCCATGGCAAAGACATATACATGTACAGGTAGAACCACAATTACTTTTTCTTGTTTATGTTTCATTGCCCATGTTGTTTTTTGTTGTTGAAGTTGATGTTGGGTTTGTGATTAATATATGTTTTCTGTGTGGTTTACAGAGGAGAGAGTGCGTTTTGCAGCACAGAATGCAGAGCAACGCAGATGATGATGGATGAGAGCAAAGAACGGTGCAGATCAGAAGCTTTAAGATCTGTGGAAGTTTCAGGGTCATCTTGTTCAAGAGATCAGATCTTCTCAACTGGGATTCTTGTTATTTAGCACTGTCAGTACATAGGCGGCTTTACACTAAATACATATAGATGAGAACTATCAGCTTTTTGTTTACCTATGAACCAAAAAAGTAAGAAAAAGAAAAAAAGGAAAATTTTGGGTATAAGTTGTAATCGATCGACCTTTGTATTCTGTGATGCGACGGGAACATTTTTCAAGAATAAAGAACAATTCTATACTTAGACTTCAGTTACACTTGGAAAGGAGGGTCCGCTTCTGATTTAGCGTTTCATGTAAGATTTAAGCCAATTAAATTAGATACTAGCCCAGAATAACATGAGATAATAATCTCATTCTAGTAATTTGCAGCGGGTTGTGGCGTTTGAACTTTAATCCTAAGTCAATTTAGATGTCCTCTTGTTAACGTATTTCTAATCCGTTCGAGTTTGTAGACGACTGTTCTTAACATTTCTCAAAATCTGTTGAATTTGTGACGATCAAAATCTGGTAATCTGGTACAAATCTTTTTGACGAATGCGCTGCTTAGTGCTTGGTACGGTAATGGAATGATTCTACAAAATAGTGCTTGGTACAATATGTAATGGAACGGATTGAAAAGAGCATTTAAAGCTTTCTCATCGATCGGACAGAGGGGACCCCATTGAAGACTTTAACCTAAAGGGAATTAGACTGTGAGAGTGACCCCCGAAAATGAACTGTCCAGCTACAGAGAGCACCCATGTCCTAAAAATCTTGTGGTCCCACCAACCGGAGCTCTTGAACCTATCAAGACACTGTCGTCCATTGGGACCATTTTACTGGTGATGGAAATGGCTAACAACCCGTGGACGAAAATACATTGCTAGAAAATGCCTGAGGAGACCCAAAAACAAGCTTTAAATAAATATAATCGGTCGTTAGGTCATAAAGCTGCAAATAAGATTATGCTTTATCTCAGTCAGATCATAAACCCCCAGAAGTGAAAAAAAGAAAAACACAGTACCCATACATATATCAGGTATAAGTGATACAGATACGCCAATCTAACCAACGAAAAACTAACCCCCAAAAAAAAAGATAAATAAAGAAACTGAAAAACGGTTACATATCCTACAAGTTTTCTCAAGTACTTATTCCTCAGTGCTGAGGTATAATGGGGGTCTTCTAACTGATCATTACTGGTAGTACATGAGTTGCTGGGTTGTTGCTACATTCTGGAAGCCCCCGTCGTATATCGCCTGACTAGCTCCAGCACCCATACCCATGGCTGCCTTCAGAGCATGCTGACCCTGCGGAAGCATGAGGGCTTGTGCACCACCCATTTTGCTCAGTGCCATTTGTCTTTCATAGGCAGCAAGATCAGCGGCCGAGAAACCTGGCATATGAGCTGCAGCTGGCGGCGGAAGGGGGGTAGAGCTTGTTCCTGGTGGAGTAGGCTTGCTACCCCATGAACACTGTAACCAAAAAAGAAAAATATAGGATGATCAAGCCAATGATCATTTGACAACATCATCATTAGAAAATATAAATGTCACAAACAAATTTTTGTGTGTATACATTAGTTTTTCAACATGGCTTCTTCTTTTAGTCAATTGTTGTTGATTATACTAAATTGTAATTTTCACCAATAGCATACCTTAATTGGTTTTCCACAGAGAAACCTAGCATTCCCCAACTGGATAGCTACAGCGGCTTCAGAATGTGTACTGTATCTCACAAACCCAAAACCTTTATCTCGTTGCACACGGACATCTTCAATAGTTCCAGCACCAAGGGAATGGAAATGACGGTGGAGGTCAACTGAAGTAACCTGCAGATTAATAGTAAATAAGATTTAAAACATTTTTCTTTGTTTCTTGTGCAAATTTGACAAATTTTATACAATTATTTGTTATGCCCACTTAGGAGTTCCAGGCTCACCAGAGCTGATTGCCCACAGATCTTACCACTAAACCCAATTAACCTATGACGTTATAGAATTGGTTTGTTTGCCAGTTTCAACACTGAACCAGCTACACAGTAAGATTGACAAATGACCAAACATATTAATGTATGAGTTTTAAAAATAAAAAAAATAAAAAAATCCTTGCCTCTGGAGCCAGATTGCCCACATAAACTGTAGTATACTGAGGATTGTTCTCTGGAGCATCTTCATTAGGCTTCTCCTGACCATCTTCTGCAAGGGAAAAGCACAAAAATAGCAAGCTCAACGTGATGAGAAAACAAATATGGCAAAAAGAGAGGACAGTGAGGATCATATATCAAGCATCATCATCCATAGATTTCTAACAACAATTCAACAACAATCACAAGAGCTAGACCAACCATCCCAATAAATGATAACAGACAATGAAGAAAAAAAAGTTGACAACTTGACAGAAACAATTTTACTTCCATTAACTACATAGACTATTTAAAAAAACTTGTTTCATCAATAATGGGGTAGCTCACCTGATGTTCCATTTGTCAGCTCTACAACACTTTTAGAATCAGAACTCTGCTTGTCATCATTGGAAGTAGCACCTTTTGTGGCCCAATTACACCGAATTTGTCTACTTCCAAGCCATTTTCCTGAGATATCAACTTAACAGTTAGAGAGTTAACAAACCAACAGCTACAAGAGATCCAGCACTGCTCCTAAATTAACAAAAATCTAAGCAACACGTATAAGGAAATAAACAATGGACACTGTCTTACCATTTAAGTCATTTATTGCACTTTGGGCATCCTGAACCAAAGAACAAATAAATGACACAATCATGTAATGACCCCAACCAGCAAGAAGGAAAATAAAAAGAAATTTCTAAAAAGGAATTCTTAAGAATTCTAGTACCTGCTGACTTCTGAAAGAAACAAACCCAAAACCCCTTGAACGCCCAGTTTTCTGATCCCACATAACCCTAGCATCTCTGTGATAGAAATCAGGTCAAATTATATTAAAGTTAAAACAGGTGAGTCTGTTTTAAAAAATCCCAATAAACCAAAATACATCAAGAGAATAACGGAAAACAAGAATTGTTGGAGAAAAAAGCAAGGAAATGGAGCTTACGAACAACTTGAATAAACAGAAAAGCACGCAAACAGTGTAGCATCGGTAACCTCAGGGCTAAGATCACCAACGAAAATATTAAAGTGACCTGCATGCCAAAATAAAATAGCATAAGAAATTAAAGATTTGAAAGTAACACATCACTCCCTGAAAACTGATGTATATACAAACCTGATGTATCCTCCCTCTGACTACTTGCATATGCCCAATTAACTTTGATTGGCTGCCCAAACCTGAATAAGAAGCATATTGAGACAAAGGATTCCCCAAAAAGAGAGCCAACCATGATTCTGTTAAGATTTATACTTACAGATGCCTGCCATTGAGAGTCACAATAGCATAAGCAGCTGACCTACGATCAAAGTAGTCAACAAATCCGTAGGATGACTGCATAGGGAAGACAATGGAGCTAACATGTAAGTAGAACGTTCACCAAGGAACATCTAATAGATCACTAATACAGATTACCAAAATCTTTATCAGAATTTAATCATATGAAGCTACAGCTTATCCTAAAATAAAATCCAAATAAATGCGGGTGAGGGCTATAAGGCTTAACACAACAAACAGATGGAATCTTTGGTGGCACTAAGATGTTCTACCATCTGTCCTAACCTCCCCATCAAATGAAAGGCAAACAAAATAGGCAAAAATAAACTCCACCTTATCTTTTCTTATGAGCTTGCATCCTTCAAGCGGACCAGTACTAGAGAAAACTTCTTGAAGAAGGGGTTCAGTAACCTGTGGGTGAATATTTCCAACATACCTGCATTTTCCCACAAATTAAAATATTATATCATACAATTCAATAGCATGATTGAGAAATGTAGTCTGCCTACATGATAGGTGTGTCAAAACATACAAGGACTCAGTACATATTTATGAACTAAACTTGCATGCAAGAAAACAATTATTTTCAGTCAGTTCAAAGAAACCTAGATGTGAAAATAAAATAAACAAAAAAGGAACAAAGGAAAATGTCTATACAACACTCACACACTGCGGCATGTACTTGAATCAAACCCAGGAGGCAGATTTCCACTCAAGATAGGCTCTATCTGCAAAATAAAAATGTAAAAAAAACAAGCAAAAAAGAAGAAAAAAACCTAGAGTAATGAATTTGCACTCCTCACAAAAACTTAACGAGATGCATATGCAAACAAAATGGTTGAAACAAAAAAATGAAGACCACAGTCTTCAATTGCATAAATCTACAAGATGGAAACCTATGATATAATAACAATCCCCTTCATCTTCAAGTTCTCCCGAGACTTAACATAAGCTTTAATACATATCCAAAGAATAAAGAGGCCAACCCCGTTAAATTTTTTTTTAATAGGATGAAGCACATAGAACCATTATATGTAATAGTAACTAAGGTTTTTGCTTAAGGGTGAATGGTAATCAAACCAAAACTGATCTTGTTCCTTCTGTTCATTATGCAAACTTTACATGCCCTCGTTGAATAATGGATTAAAAAAACAAGGAAACAATATCAAGCAGGACAACCTACAAGTTTCCGAACAGTAGAGTTTGTCATATTATAGGTATAACAATGTGATTCCTCCATGGATAATAAAAAAACGCACCCAAAAGAAGAAAACATAACACGAACACTTTCAACAAGATAAATAAGGTGCGGAATAATTTAGATAATTCCAGAAGAACCCCCAAAAAAATTACAAAATTTCTGCCAAAAATTCCATCCTTAGGATCACCGTAAAAGAAAATCATACGCAGATCAACCAAAAAGAGCCCGCAAATACATATTAACAATGGAAATAAACCAACATTTTGTCAAACATCTCGAATTTTGCAGTTTAACTAAAATCAAAAATCAATTTTGACCTATAAAAAATTTCCAACAAAATAAATGGGCATGTAGACCATAAATAAACTACAAAATTATTCAAACAGAGAGAGAAAGGGGAAAATAAGAACCTGAGGAGCGGCTAAGATGGCAGGGTGTTGGTACAGCGACTGCTGCATCATGGCTTGCTGTTGTTTGAGCCTCTGCTGTTGCATCCTCTTCTTCACACAACACAAAGAGACACAGGAGAATCCGAGATTTTATATAACCAGCTGTGGAATTTTAGGGTTAGGGTTTCAGGGACACACGAAGACGAAGATGAATTTTTAATTTTTTTTTAAAAAAATCAGGGAAAAAGCGAGGAAGAAGATGGAAAAAAAAATGGAAATTGAAAAACCAAAAAAAAGGAAAAATAAAAAAAATAAAAACCCTCTCGAAGAGGAGGGAAAGATGAGAAGGAAAAAGCAAAAAGATGGGAATTGATTGAGAAAATGAGAATGAATAAAGGAAGTGTGTGCCTTTATTATATCTGCTGATTTTTATATTCGAATTTCTTAACTTCAATTTTTTCAAAAAAAAATATTGAAATAAATTGGGCGAGTGAGCATCAGCTGTTATGGAAACCATTGGTAGTAGGTTGTACAAGATCCACGCCAATTTGTAAACACCGATTAATCCAATTTAATTTAATCTAGTTTTATTGGTTTTGATAATATTGGCGGATTTGATTGAATTCAAAAAATAAAAAATCGATTGGATTGGTTTGGTTAGTGAATTTAGAGTTTGAAATTCAATTTAAACCGAATCAATCCAACTTTTAAAAAATAGATGCAAATATTTGTCTTTCCTAGTGTTCAAATCTAAATCACCTTTCACGTTTCACTTATATCAACACACTAACACAACTTTGTTGATATTTTTTTGGAAAAATATATTAATATAGCATAAAAAATTATAGATTTCTAAGTTTTTAGATTGACTTTAGCGTTTTTTTTTAAGGAATGAATTTAACTTGAACTCTAAATGTTGAACTGCATGTTGTAGTGTTGTTTTCTAAAATTTATTTATGTATATTTAGAACATACTTAATGGTATTTTCTATTTGATTGAATTATATACTATTATCTTTGTGATTATCATGTTTTCAAAAAACTCGATCATCCAATTCAATCCTATTCAATGTACATTGGTTTGGATTGGATCGTAACATCCGAACACATTGGATCAGATTGTAAAATCTCAAATCCAATAAAAAATTGAATTGGATTAGATTGATAAAAATTTCATTGATTTCAAATCGATATACACTCTTAATTGGAATTTTTGTTGTTGTTAATTTTTAATTTTATTTATCAAGCACCATATCCTAATACAAACTTATAAATTGACCATCCGTATTTGGGATTAGAAATTGATGATTTATTTAAAATCAGAACATGTTATGATTTATTTACTCAAAATAATGGAGAAATAAATCATGGTATCATAATTATGTGTACGTGTGAGAAATCATCTCTTTATAGAGTATCGCTTTGAACTGAAAAAAAGAAAAGAATGAATCCATGTTAAATCAAAATAGAAACTCATTTTACTTCCAATTAAATTAAACAACTTGTTTCTTTTTTACAATAAGGAAGAAATCAAATTCCTTTTTATATTGAAAGTTTTAAAATTTTCTTGTTAGAATTTAACACTCCATGATCTGAGTTCGATTGGGCCAAAGCTTTGGGTTCATAGAATGGACGACAAAGCAAGGCCTCATCAGTGAACTTTTGTTTTGTTGCTTTTGCAATGGCCCAATGGCCATGGCCCTTTTTTTTTCACATCAGCACCACATATCAGGCTTTGAAACTAAGCAAACCAATCGTTCCAGAGCCAACTCTCTCTTTGAAATCCATTTCATACCATTATAATTTAGAGCATCTCACTTGAGCCCATAAGCAAAGCCAATATACGAGCAGCAAAGAGAGTTTGGGAGATGCAAACTCACACACATTTTACAATGCTTTACAATGCCAGGTCTCGAACCGAGGATTAGTTGAGTGGAGACAAAACTCCTTACCACTACACTAGTAGGGTCGGCTTCTTATTAAAATAATGATTTTTTAAATCCTAATATTGAGGTTTTTTTGGGCCAAAGCTGAAAATTATCCAAACCCAAGACTACCCAACTAGTTATTGGGCTGAGAATTGGGTGCCCCATAAGCATGAGCAAAGGAGGGAACCCAGTTGCTAAAGGCACCCCTATACAAATGCCAAGTGGCAAAATGGGTAAGGCAAACGCGTGAAACATATGCATTTCACAGAACTCCTTACCACTACACTAGTAGGGTCGGCTTCTTATTAAAATAATGATTTTTTAAATCCTAATATTGAGGTTTTTTTGGGCCAAAGCTGAAAATTATCCAAACCCAAGACTACCCAACTAGTTATTGGGCTGAGAATTGGGTGCCCCATAAGCATGAGCAAAGGAGGGAACCCAGTTGCTAAAGGCACCCCTATACAAATGCCAAGTGGCAAAATGGGTAAGGCAAACGCGTGAAACATATGCATTTCACAGAACTCCTTACCACTACACTAGTAGGGTCGGCTTCTTATTAAAATAATGATTTTTTAAATCCTAATATTGAGGTTTTTTTGGGCCAAAGCTGAAAATTATCCAAACCCAAGACTACCCAACTAGTTATTGGGCTGAGAATTGGGTGCCCCATAAGCATGAGCAAAGGAGGGAACCCAGTTGCTAAAGGCACCCCTATACAAATGCCAAGTGGCAAAATGGGTAAGGCAAACGCGTGAAACATATGCATTTCACAGAATCAATCACCATAATTTTTGTTTTTAAAAGAAAAGAAAGGGTCAAAAGAGAGGCGACCCCACCTGCCCACCACCTTCAACATAGCATGTGATGCCCAATTAATTAAATTTGGCAATACCTGAGGTATATCTCTCCACTCATGCACTTGCAAGAAACTAACAACAGAACAAGGAATGGACGTGAACAACGTGACCATATGAAACCATTGGTTTACAAACTTTGCTGGTGTAAAAAGATGCTTAGTGCTTGTCATAACCAATACACGATACCCGAAAAATATCCAGGTCTAAACGATGTTTATTTACGTGTTATAATATAGATGGTCTATTTATGCATATTTCAACATATATAAGATTACTTAATTACGTGTTTTAATATAGATTGTCGATCTCTTCGTATTTTAGGGTCTAGTGTTAATAAATAAAACACATGTTATAACATTTCTTGTGGCTAATATAGACTAGCCTAGACCTAATATTTCCTACTAAACTAATTTATAGACTAGCTGTGCCTTGTGCATGAGCCTTGTAAAGCATGTGTCTGCCATTATTAATTTATACTGCATACCTTTTGTTTCCATTGGTTGGTATTGACTGATCTTGAAAGTTGAATAGATAGAGGCCAAAGAAGTCACCATTAGATTTTCTTCTGCCCAAAAAGAAGAAAACAAATCAGGCCATTTTTCCGTGTACAAGTTTGAATCTGCTGTGCTTTTAAGTAGAAGATATCAGAAAAAACTTTCGACCAAAAAAGATATCAGAAAAACCCAAAAATATTTCGGCCTCACTGTCTGCCTTTGTTTTGGAGCTTTGGCCATCACAGAAACTGGTTGTGCGCAAGTTGTATGCATAAGCTGAGCAAAACCCATTATTATTCTAAGGTTTTTTTATCATAGATGGTCATGAGGTTTGCGAAATTATCGTTTCGTCAACTTCTCATGAAAGATCATCGTTCTCGTGAGGGTTCTGAACTTGCATCTGAAACTTTAAGCATATTGGGGGAGCATAAATCTAGTGAAAATGCCATCAAAGAAGATAGAAGTGGTTAGTTGAGGTAGTTGGTCAATGCTTTTTCAAGAAGTCAAAGTGCATCTTTGATGAGATCTTTTATATCATCAACGACTTTCATGGGTATTGCATTTGTTAAAGATGTAGATAAAAATAACTTCCCATATTTACAAGCTACACGCTGTTCTTTATTGGTCGGACAACAAACCCACAACAAGAAAAGGGGCCACATAAATTTCTACCGAGGAAAAGAAAAGGTAGGATTTTGCGGACCACATAATATAAAAAATAATTGTTGAACGTGCTTAAAGGAAAGCATGCTTTTTTATCGGATTGGAGATGATAGCTGCAACTTGCACCCACCAAGAGAGAAAAACAAGAGGTGACATGACTTAATTATAAATTCAAGATTATCATTAATTGAATTCCTTTTCTTCAAAGCTTAATTACAACAACAGCAGCTAAGATCAATCAACAGTTAGTACATATTCTATGGCATCCGCTCAGTTGAGCCAAGCCTTACAATTAAACAAAAATAGAGCTACATGATATTCTTGCCTTAGCCCACCACCAAATGTGAAAAGATAGCAGACTAGGAACTATAATATAAGCCTAAAGGATGCATATAGATATATATATGTATTGGCGCTCATATCATTGGGTTGGCTGAGCAGCCAAGCCTAACCACGACTTGCCTTCAGCTGGCTTCGCCGGGCCGGCTGCAGGGCTGCTTGTTTGGTATGGTGCTTTGTTGTTGATCCTGTAAATAGAAAAATTGCAAACAAGATCAACCAGTTGGACCATAAGAATCTATTACTGTAATCTATAGCAAACAGGTTGCACAAAGGTATATTGATTTTGACTGCTATAGATTTATCCTACACACTTTTGGTAGAGACTAGAGAGCAACAATCTCAATATGATAAAACAAACTGGTAATTCACTAATGAGATTAATGGATTTGTAGTTTTTATACGATGGAAAACAAAAAATTCTTATATTTGTTTCTGATGCCTACCTATCCTTTCTCTTCTCCAGGAATCGGTGAAGTGAAGCTTTCCTTGCAATCGGTAGATCTGCAAATCGAAAAGGCAAACATTAATCAGAAGCATGATTTTTTTTTTTTTGCACTTCTTGATATGGAGACACAGGGATCACAGAAAAAGAAAATTACCACAAACAATGGGTTGAGGCGATGGCTTAGGGGCCTCCTGAATGACTTGATTGCCAAACTTGGGAAACATGTTAGCACTTGGAGGAACTGAACTGCTGGAATTCATTGGATTCTTGCCCAAATGAGAGGCAAACACATTGTTACTCTTGGCCGGAACGGAAGCCTGAGCGGCTTGGCCATGGGAACTTTCCTTGCTTGCTAAGAGCATGACTTCCTTTGCCTTGTCTGCTGGAAAATCATCGAACACGATTACTTGTCCGCCATAGAAGATGGTCATTTGTGCCTTTTGAGGCTCTCCTGGGGCAGATTTCTTCACACTGACACATGATAAACAAGCCATAATGAGCTAAAGAAACACATCACTTATAACATACTGAGACATATATGACTTCCTACTTGTTCATGTGAAAGAAACTGAACAAAATCATTTGCTGCTACAATTTTCCAAAACCTGACAAAGTATTAGCTATGGGAACCCAACAATGTCTTTAAATTTACAGAAACTGGATCCGGGCATACCTAGAATCAGCCATCTTGGGAACATCTTCTCTGGGAACAGAGGAACCAAAACCAGCTTGTTGAGGGAACAAATCCATGGATTTAAAGTCTCCAGGAGTTGCCGGCAGGTTCCTTGAGTTTTCCATAAATGGAAAGAAATTCATGGGTGGGGCTTTCTGATGAAACATCTCAGGTGTCCCTGTCCCTGTAGCAGCATCAGCTCAGTAAATCACATACTATTTTAGGAACTAAATAAGAAAAATTCTAAAATCCTTTGGTGGGCAGCTACTAGAAACACAAATTTAAGTCTCCGACACAATCCGAGATACATAACAAGTGTGAAGATAAAAACGCTTATTCTGAGGAGGAAACAAAGGACACGTTCTTGTATCCTTGAACCATTTAAACGGAATCAATCAATTTCAATCGAGATTTTCGTGGATCTCCAAAAACAACCACCAATTCAATAACAAAAATAAGAAAGAACTTTACAAAATTAAATGAACAAAGAAGGAAAAAAGGGAAATAAAAACATCGATATGAAGATCGAAATCAAAATTCAACTTCCATCATATGAAAAATAAATGAATAAACATACATATGCACGCATGAGATAAGATTAAAAAATGAAATTCATTTTCTTCCTCTGCTTTTCTCAGCAACCAAACAAACAAACAAACACAGATGCATAAGCTCCCATGAATTAAGACTAGCTAAAATAAGTGCTTACCGTTGGATTGTTGCATGTTGCATGCCATGTCAAGGCTCAGATCTCCAAAGCTGCCCTTCTCTTTGAGGTACTGGCAGAGCATGCTACAAGTCTGAGTGAAGCTGGATGGCTTCTCCGCCATCCTCAACCCTCTTTGCCCTGAAACCTCCAGAGTCTCCGATGAACTCGACATCCTCGCCGACCCAATTCACAATCACACAACCCACAACTCAAATCTAATTTTTTTTTCCCTTTTCTAGACGCAAAAATATAAAAATAAAGACAGACACATATGGCAGTATCAGTCTTGGCGCTGAAACAAGCTCTCTTTATACCCTTTTCTTCATGTACTGAGAGAATGCTTATGGCCCTCTCTCCTCTCTCTCTCTCTACCCTTTATGGCTTTATCTACATCTTCCTCTGAGACAGAGAGAGCAAGAGGCTTATCTCTGCTTATTAATTTAATAAAATTTTAGTTGTTTATTTATTGGTTTTTAAAAATTATTGGGGTTTGAGTTAAAGCACGAGGAATATATGGGTGTTTTTAAAAGGCGGGTTCCTCTCACCTTCCAAGGTCTACGTGATGTTTATTTCGTCCCGGTGGGCCTTACCACCCGTCGGTTTCAGATTTTCAAACACGTGTTCTTTGCATCGCTTGGTAACGTCCAAGTTTGCGTTCCCATCTGCCGACTTCAACAGTACCCCTGTATTTTCAACTTATTTACAGTATCGCCTCCCCCCCTATTTTATTTTATTATTTTCTTCCCCACCATAATGTTCATGTTTATTTTCCTTAGCCCCATGTTGTTTCGCGTGCACGTCATTCTTTTGTCCTTTTTAATTTTTTTTTAAATAATAATAATAAATAAATTTAAATTTTTTAAAAAAAAATTTCTCGCAAACGGAGAAGCGCGTGCGGAGAGACTAGTAACTTATAAGGTTGATACCGATAGAAAGAGACTGAAAACAAATTAAGGTGTTTCAAATGGATAAAATCAAATCCAAATTACCGTTTTAAGAGCATATAGAATAGTTGTTCAATAGTTCAATGTAATAATTAAATTAAACTATTTTGTTATATATTAAATTTAATTGCATTTGTACTTGCAATGGTACAATTCAATTGTTTCATATCATTAGTTATATCTTCTTAAAATTGTATCATAAAAATCTTTTTAAAAAATCAATTTTGAAAATTATTTTTAAAAAATTAATTTCATGCCAAACGTATATAATTGCAATGCGTTAATTGCCGTATTTTTTTATATTTTTAATTGGCATGCGAGTTCCATGGCTAGCCTATTGCAATTGCAATAGAGGATTCATCAAATAATACTCTATATTGCAATTAACTAAATTACACAATTGCTAGTGAGATTTGATTATTTAATTCAATTTCATGCAATAAAATTGCATTGATCCTAACCGTTCGCTAATAACGTGTTTAACTATGGAAGGAAAACATTGTTTTATTAAATTATTTTTTTAGGGATAATAACATACTAAACTCGCACACATTACGGATGCTAAGACTCGAACCACTATATTAATGGGTTATTTGCAGTGAGTGTTTAAAAGGTTAAATTCAAAAAATAGTAAATGAAAATTTGTTGTATCACACACCTGCAATGCTAGTAAGTAGTGGTGGTGTTGTGCATAGGGCAGGCTGAGTATTCTTCTCCTCTCCTTTTGTCAACAATAAGTATTATTTTAATTCTCTCCTTTGCTATATATCTTTAATTATAATTTCAATTTAAAATTGAGTATTCATACTTTTGGAGAACTTCCAGCTATCAAGAAAATCGTGAAGTAAAAGAAGAAAAGGTAGACCTCTAATACTAAGAACCTAACATAACAAGCAATGCCCCATGGGTTTAATTAAGCATTTATTATAATTTTGAGATTTTGTTGAAATTAATTAGGGTTTTGATTAGGGATGAATTATAGGGCTTTAATTTGGGATTTTGTTAAAATTGAGTATTCTAGGGTTTAAATAGGAGTAAATTATAATGTAAGTTTATTAACGAAATCACTCGTACCGTCGAGTTTAGTATGCAAGTTTTGCCCAATCGGTTTTTAAATTCAGAAACTGCCACTATTTATAAGTATGACTTATGATGAAAAAAAATATATATATATATATACATAATTAATATGTAGAGATGAAGCATGTATAATATGTGAGATTCAAATTCAGAACACTTTATGTGTGACGCGAGATGAGGATGTGAATGAGATTAAATGACGGTAAGCTAAGTGATGTTGTAGAAAAATATTTTAGTTGTATTATTTAACAAAAATAGTATATGAGAGAAGTAGACAACTTGTACTCCTGTTATGTATACATGACATGCTTATGCAACTGATACGCCAGACAAATCAATTAAAACTGCAGAATAGATATCAACAAATATATATATATATATATCAGTTTTGTTTTTCGTCTAAAAAAAAGAAATATTATTATACTAATTTGGTGCGTTACGTTATAATTACAAAATAATATAATATATAGTTTCTCATGTGATACAGCTGCTCAAATAGTCCATAGTCAACACAGTATGGTCCTACCATCCCCACTTGCCAAAGAAGGCCAAAACTTTTATCTAAATCACGGATGGGTATTCTGGTAATTTCATAAGGTACAAAACATTCAGGCCCTCCACTTTCCCACTATTTTATTTTAGGACTGTTAACGGCGTCAGGTACGTGCTTGGTCCTGTTATCATATGTGCCATCCCGTAGGTACGCAATAGGACCGAGTGGGCTCCACACGCTCCTTTATCTTTTTTTATTTATAAATACATAAATTATATTTTAAAAAATTTGTAAATTAAGTAATTAAAAGAAGGTAATTACTAGAACCTATTAGGTCGTATACGTTAGAGTTGAAACTCACTCCCTGGATACCGCTTGTATTCAAAAACACCATATTTTTTAAATTATAATACAGTGGAAAAAAATACCAGTAATTTAAATTTTTTTTTTTAAAAGCGAAGGCGGCAAACCCACGTTCCTCGAGCAACTAAAAGTCGGCACGTGGACAATGCTATTCTCTAATGTTATTTTAATTCGCCAAATAATAAATGCAAACTAATTCAATTAAATATGATAAATTTCTTAGATAAATGTTGAAAAAGTCATATGCGCATTGGTAAGGTTTTATTATTATTGTTATTATTTTAGACGGGTTTTATTATTTTTATTTAGGAAGAAAGATTCCAACTTGATACTCTTTTTAATGTAAACAAAAAGGAATTTTATTAAACACAAAGCTAGTTGTTAATTCATAAATTTTATAAAGTATTTATGAGTCACATATATGTCTTTGCCACTTTACCTTTCCTCTTTCCTCTTGGTGCCGTTTAAAACATATCGTATCAAAGTGTAAACAAAGTAATAAGGTATCGGTGTTTGGACCGGCATGCTATAAAGCATGAGAATTTGTTATAGAGTAAATAAAACAAGTATATGTAAAATTCTTTTCAAGAATGCTTTTTAAGGTTGTGATTGTGCTTTTTAAAGAAGCATTTCAATGTGCTTTTAGTAAAAGCGTCTAAACTTTATGTCTTGCGACTATATTAAATTATTGCATGCCATAAAGCATATAATAGAAACAAAGATATTAGTAACACAAAGGAAATGATAATTTAGTACAACTTTTAAAATGCCAACAAATACAATTATTTCAAAATAAATCAAGAGAGAATGTATGATGATACTATGAAGTTTTTTCACATACACATTGTCGAGATGCAATGAGGTTTTCAAACTTGAAACAAGATATCAGTAAGTCAATGTCTTTTTTCACTATGCTAAACCCCGTTTGAGAAATATATGAAAGAAATTCAACAACTTATATAAGGATATGTTTATGTAATTTATCGTGACAACATGATTAGAAATTGAAGTAGACATATACGAATATTTAAGAAAAAAACATTTGATGGACTACAAAATTTGTTCTCCGACTGAGTTGAAAGACAGAAAGAGTGACCAGATGATTCTATATACCTTTCTTAATTATTTCGATACTTCATTCATACAACGTTTGCTAGACCAAGCAAAGCTTCGATTCTCCTTGATTTTTAATCTAATCTAATTTAATTAATTTGATTTTTCGGCTTTAGGATAATTCCGTCATTGGATTGGGCAAACAACCACAAAGATGAAGCAACAGTTGTCAAACCCGTGTGGGAAACGCGGAGAGCGATGGGTGGGGCGCACATGCATCACACACCGCGTGCTGGCCCTCGTGGCCGAGTGTGATTGGACGGTGGTTGCAGAATATTTTCCTCGTGATGGCGACGTTTGAGCCCTGGATATTTTATTTACCTACTTTTGGGCTGGGGGAGCGACCGACACCGCTATCTATTTGTGGGCACTCAAAACTCTATTTCCTCCACGTGATCTTTGTGTCTGGTCTTGTGCTTCGCCCTGTCCTCCGTTTTGAACGAGGTAAAATAACTTGAAATTTAACTAAAAGTCGAAAATTTAGAAAGAAAAATTGACAATTACTTTATTTGGCAATTTAAGTATGTAATTTATTAAATAACATGTGAAAAAAATTGTGAAAGTTGAAGCATTAAATTTCCGAGTATAATTTCCATCAAAATAGACGTCATTTCACAATTTACATAGTGTAATTTACAAAATTTGATATACATAAATTCAAACACCAAAAACTTCAATTGTCAGAAATTGAAATGATGAAAATTTAAATTCCGTCATTTTAGAATTCTATGTAATTTTCAATCCTTCGTCTAAACAAAGGCTTATAATTTACGGAAATTACCAAACTACCAGCTGATATTTTTCAATGTATAGATCAATCAATGTCTGTCTATCTATCTATATGATGCTGCTGCTGTGGGCCTTCTTTAACTTTTTACGTCACTGATGATATTTTGTTGTTTCAGTTTTTCATTTTGTGTATATTAGAGAGTATTTACGTCCAACACAACATTTTGGATTTAACATTTAGTAGTTTGGAGGTGAAATATTCATGAAATGATTTGAATGACTATTCATTGTATCTTATCATCTAATGTATAAAATGTAAAATATTATAGTAAATTATTATAAATAAATAATTATAGTTATAAATAAATAATTACTACATATTTTTTACACTCGCAATGTTTGTCAGTTCGCTATATAATCAATTTAAATAAGTTAAACCCATCATGCAATGCATTTCCTTTTAATTTTTTGTGATAAAGTAATAGATAATCAACTAAATAAACATCCTCCAAAGTTTCAACAAAAATTTTCAAGTTTTTCTTACAATTCCCATGGTTTTTATTTAATTTTTATCGATTTCGATGATATTCCAATATTTCAATAAAAATTTCCGTATTTTTGAATTATCAAAATTTCTGAAACCATCAATATTTTAGACCTTGATGTCGAGGACATTAACTGAGGACCAGTATATTGTTAAATTGTGAGGGCATACGAAAAGGATGATGGGCTAGAGCCTAGAGGTTCAATCTAATGGCCAATTATAGACTAAGGACTAGGTCAAGGGGAAAAAGAAGACCTAAAAATACGAACCATAACTTAGACTTCGACTGGTGGTCGGTCATACCTCAATCAGGGGAGGTGCAGATAAGGCACTAGCGGGCAAATCCTATAGCTCACATTTCACACGCAATTGGATGCAAAATTGTTTAAAATTAAGATGTGCTTTAAATTGAGTCTTAACAATTAATGAGATCGTGTGTGGTTCCTTGTACCTTCTCACTTCTCACTGTTGGACAGATCATAGCGATGGAGCCTTTGAGAATGTGATTAATGTTTTTCATAAAAATCCGACCATATGAAACTCATGTTTTATATGCGTTGGCTCAAATATGATAAGCTTGATTTTTGTATGAATGTGTAATTTATATTTATAAAATCGAATAATGTAACATAAGTTCGATAAAAGAACATCACTCGTACATATGTATACGAGTGAGAATAATTGAAACTCCTCATAAAAGATAGAAAGAAATATTACGATGAACGTAGGACCAGGGTGGCCCTGTAGACATACTTATAACACCAAACCAGTACACGTGTCTTTTCTAAGGTTGATTTGTTTTGATATTGGTAATTAATAGGCCAACTGTTTTTTCTCCTCATACTAATGTTACGGCACTATCAAAAGCCCACCAAGTTTTCCATGCATTAACTTATGGGCATCTCCTGTTTGCCATCCCCTTGACCAGTCCTATTCTATACTTTTTGGGGTTGTTCTCACGAAGGTTTTCCGTACAAAATGGAGTGATTGGAATTTGTGTTAGGTCCGCAAGAGTTATGTGACATCCACAACATTCATACTAGTCAAGTAGAGAGGGAAAATAACGCGTGCGTGGGTGATTGTAAGTCATATATGAAACCTTATAATGGGCCTCACATTCATCAACGCCTTAAAGCAAAATACACGTACTTTGTATTAAAATTGAAAGTTATAAAATATAGTTTTCTCAAAAGTATGTTCGATTGATGATCAATCACAAGTGTGGACGACTGTCCCTAACACGCACATTCTCAAGACTTTATGGCTGTCTGAGCATTTTTCTTAGAAGTGAGTGATGTGTTAAATTAGTAACCAGTATTAAGTCTAAAACTTGCTTAAGTAAACCAAGTTTTTAGGTGTGTTGGTACCTGCTATCTCTTTGTTAATTCTATATACATAATATATCCTAATAGCATGATTGAAGCCACTCAGCCCATCATGTCCCTATCATTTAAAAATAAAAGAATTTCCCAGCAACTTCATGCACAAGTTTTACATTAATATATCCAACATTTTTGCATGACCACATTCAAACTCTACCTTTTCTTTTCTACCATTATTCTCATTATCTTGTGCTAAGAAACTTGGAATTGGTCAATGAAAGGGAGTGCATGTTCTTTAAATCAAGATGACCAATCAAACCAAGTGTTGCAAAATAGATTAATACAACGATTAAGCGAGGTTGCTGAAGCTCTTGTAAGTTGTACATCAGATTTTCATGTTCTCCATTATTAGGCAAAAAGGATATTAACTTGTACGATACATGAAAGCACCAAATCTTCTTACTTCTTAACAAAGAATGGCTGGAACTAGGATGAAGGGAATCCTGAGTAGTTTATGGTTTTAAAGAAACTGTCTCCATACAGTGTGTGGTAGCAACGTTTTAACCGGATGCATCGATTGTCTGTTAATATTTTCGATAAAAGGTAAGCATTGTTTGATTTGTTGTTTCAGTTTAATTTACTTGAAAATGTAGTTCTATGACATGAAGTCAAGTGTGGTATTTGTTTGTGTTTCTGATTTGGGTTAAATAATACAATTTTGTATGTTTCTAACATGAGCCTTTTAATAAAATTCTTGTAATGCAAAACATTTAATATAGCAATGTAAATTATTCATTATAACTAGCACTCACAAGATTGTTTGTGTTTCCGAAGGCGCACCAAAAAAATACCTGGTGGCATCACAACTCCCTTCCTCAAATGATCCAAATATACCTGGTGGCATCACAAGATAGATTGTGTTTCCGTCCCAACTGTGATAGTTTTGAAATTTACAAGAGATGGGTTGCCAGAATACAAGCAACCAAAGAAAGGAGCTTTGAAAGTTGCCTGAACATAAGCAACCATAACTAGGAATTGGTCAATCGAAGTGAGTGCATGTTCTGTAACATAACTTATAATGGTTGAGTGATCTCTTGATCTTTCTGAATGTGCAGCGATTAGAGGTCTTTATGTATAAAACACAAGCTTTTGTCATTGTGAGAGTAGATTAGTGTACAACATCAAACCTTTTTTTTTTTTTTTTTTTTTTTTTTTTTTTTTTTTTTTTTTTTTTTTTTTTCTGAACTGAATTTTTGGTATATACAACTCCATGTAATAAAAAAGCTATAAGATGAAAGTGAGAAAAAAAACACAAAAAAAGGAACGTAAAAACAACATAAACTGCTCCATCGATCTTCATCCTCCCAAGATGCTTCATACAGACATTGAAGTTATTGACCTCCAAAAAAAATGAGCCATTGATATGGAGAACCTCTCACCTTTGTCAAAAATCATAATCTATGTCTGTCATGTTCTGGGATGCAGAGTGCTTCACCAACTTCCCTTGCTCATCATACCGGTCAAGATTCTCACAAGGGGCAGGGAAGATGGTCCCTATTACACGACCTTGAACAAAGGCACATTGAAAAATGTGCTTCTTTTTGTATGTTAGACCTACTGACATATCCCGAAAAGTCACATTTCTCACTGGAATCTCTTCACTCCCATGGATACGAACGGGCACACGAACTCCCTGTCCATGGACGCTTGTGAAGCTTATGTCCTCGAGCACTGGAAGAGCCTTTGGATCATAGCCCTCATCGGGGTGCTCATTGTAGTCTGTCTTGATAACAATTCCAACTCGGACATTGTCAAATGTCAGATTCCGATAGGTTATGTGACGCACATATCCGCCTCTTCCAGGGGCAGTCTTGATCCGAACAGCACGCCTTGAGCTCCACACAAGAACGTTCTCTACCGTGACATTTGAAACCCCACCAGACATCTCACTGCCTATTGATACGCCAGCACTGTTGCATTTCAGCCAAGGGTAACTTCGAGTTACTACCAGATAGACACAACAAAGACATATACAGATAAGGGAGTGAAGGAATAGTAACTCTATTCTCTGACAGTATTAGGACATTAGTGAACTAATAGATGTCCGAAATATCTGACTACATGTTGACAATCAACTAAAGATGAAGTTTCTCCTTACTAGTGCAGTTGCTGGTGTATGGCACCCAGCACTGGGCCGAGAACCGTACAGGTAGAATGCTTAACAGTGTTCTACTCAAGACTGATGAACTGACCATTCCTCGCTTCCCACTCAGAAGCTTTGAAAGACTAGCAATTCTCCTGACCCTCTTCACCTCTTCTTTTTTGTTGTTTCTTTTATCATTCGTTATTATTCAGTATTTTTTGGGTTAGCATTTCAGTCCAAATTGAAGACCACATTCATAATGCAAAAAGAAATTGGAGCTAGAGGGCTTAGAATGCCCGGACAGAGGTATCAAGGAATTTTACAGGGAGTGCTACTGCATTACCTGTTGCCCTCTGCACTCCAGTGAAATACATACCCTGCACTGGAGCTGAATGGCTCCCCTCTATTTTAATGATTAAAGATACATAACATGATGCCAGGACCAGGATACAGTGACAAAGTAGTCTTTTTTACTAACAAGACGGCAATATACATGCAATTAAAGCCTGCTAGAAGCATAATATTCACCTGACCATAGAGCGGACAACAAGATTTCTAATGAGTATATTCTTCGATGGCCGTCCGTAAGAAATTCCGTACTGATCCCAGCCACTCTTAATTGCAATCCCATCATCCCCCACGCTTATGTAACAGTCCTCAATCACCATATCCTCACATGAATCTGTTTATACCAAAAAATCAAGGTTATTCAGTATTGATTAGATGACAAACCAATAAGAATAAAGCATACCACTAAAATCACAAGAGCAAACCAACAAAATGTAGCTCAAATGCCCAAACAATTTCATCACATGAGACTTTAAGCCAGATGTGGTCTGTATTTTTTTGGGGGGGCGGGCGGGCATACAAGAAAATTCTTCTCTCTCTAATACACACATACATGAAAAAAGGATTAACAATTAACAAGTTGGTAGGATGTTGATGAAATAATATTATATATCTATATATTAAGTTTAATTCTTTCTGTTCCAAGTGGCCTGGTTTCCATACTCGAGCAACCCATGCAACATCTAGACAAAGAAAACCAAACAGCATGGCAAGCCTTTATAATCATCATCTCTCAAAAACACAATTGACTTCTCCCTGTTCATCGATCAAACCTGTTTAGTTGGTTAACAAAACTATGAAACCTATGAATTGGAGCATTTCTGAACGTATAGTGTAAACTGCACAGTTCACTTTTCATTTTATGTCTTTTGTGTCACGCAATATTCTTTTTAGTGTCCAGTGGTGCATTTAAATATTTATAAGCTCATCTGCAATGGATAAATAAAGAGAATGGCAACCCATACAAAAAAACACCAGTGCCAGAATAGCATTATTCAGCACATCGAACATAAAGTCGGGCGAAAAAACCCCTATGAGTAGGATACACTTACCAGGATCTATTCCATCAGTATTTGGAGCTTCAACTACGGGAGCCAAAATTGTAACATTCCTAACAGTAACATTTTTGCAGTCATATGGATGAAGTGTCCAAAAAGGAGAATCACGCAAAGTTATATTACTGATCAAAATGTTGCTTGACCACATAATCTGAACAAGTGGACCCCTAGTGTGGTTCAGAAGCTTCTGCCGGTACTTCTTCCACCACGTTTGACCCTGTCCGTTTATGGTACCATTATGCCCTGTCGGTCAGTGAATACATAAATATAATTAGAACAAGTCAGAAATTGAACACTTGGAAAGAAGAGAAGTGTACAACTTAGACGTGCATAATAACGTCCATAAGAGTGCACTGGATACACCTACCTTCTGATTGACATACAAAGTAGGCAAGTTATAAAACCAGCCACAACATGTTACTCTTGTAGCAAGATGCTCTGATTAAGTATCCATGGCAAAAATGACTGCCAGCAAGAAAAGTGTCTAGGCTTGAAAACTATGCGATATAATGGAAAATTAGGATCATCAACTTCCCTAGAACACATGATGTTCAAGTGGATGACGAGAAATGAAATGAAGGCAACTTCCTGTCTCTGGTATTTCAATCACAATAGACTAATATGCTTTATCAATCCATTTTTAATATAAAAATTATTGCCAATTCTTTCATTGTCTTTGCGATATAAATTGTCAGGATCAACTTGGTTCAACTGAAGACCTACGGTGAAAATCTAAATGGGACCAAATTAAATAATGTTAACGAAACGGGAAACTATTAATCAACCTTTTATTTACAAGGTTCAACAGAAAATCATCATTGACTGCTAAGATGGCTAACTCATGTAATCTTTCTTGATTTTCAAAAATTTCAACAAATGCTAATTCATCTTTACAGGCTATAACAACCATATGAAACCTTATTGGTGTTTAATATCAAATTGGATCCTACTTAGATTAGCTTTTAAAACAATTACTTACCTTCCAACTAAACACTACTGCTATGAACTAAACATATAACCTGAACAGGAGAAAGGACGAAATAATATCTTACCTGTTATAACAATATCTTTAAGATTTTGACCATGAATCAAACTCCCATACCGAGGCCCAGGATGCTCTCTCCCATACCCATACGAAGGCAATGGAGGCATCAAAGGCCAATACTTCTCATCCTGTCATGTGCAAAAGAGTATGCATCATCAGAAATAACTGTAGTGATGTGTAGGAATTTTGTGTGTGTGTGTGTGTGTCCGTGTGAGTGAGAGAGAGAGAGAGAGAGAGAGAATCATGGAGCTCCAAAGCTTGATTCCTAGTAGCCTTATGTATTTAAATGGTCAGGTGATGCACCACATAAGTCTGGTTCAAGTCAAATTCTCATCTAAGGATATAAACATACCTCGTCTATTCTAGAGATCAAGGCACTGGGATAAGCAGGCATATCATCTATAACTGTGTGCATGAATTGTTTTCTAGTTTCTCAATCTCCAGTGAAAAGTTAACATTCCAACAAAGCCCAGAACCTCTAGGTTCTGGAAAACCCATATGCAGGGATCATTTTCAGGAAAAAAAAGATTAATAATTGTAGGGTCTTTTCACAAAAGCTGTCTAAAAGAATACGATAAGGAAGCAGATATTCGAGAACACATCTAGCATGCATGAATGCTATCTCCAACTCAATGCCAATCAAATGAACAAGGGAAAGTTACCAATTGGGTTCATATTATTACAAAGCTCATAACATAATTTACCAGCAGTTAGTCTGGGATATAGCTGTCACTATCATGTGACCCGTTGATTATTTGACAAATCCTAAGCTTACTACACGATCTAATCACCATTACTGCTTAATTATATAATCTATATTACCCAATCCAGAGGAGGACTTATATATAAATCCAAATAAGAAAAACAAATAAAGATAACAAAACCTCCCTAACTATTATCAAATGCCAAGTTCTAAAGATTATCATATAGAAAAGATCAAAATCCTAGGCAATGAACTTTGTATGTCCTTGTAGCTGACAAAATAGATATCGTGAAGTGGGAAATGACACGAAACAGATGCAAATACAAGGCAAGTTTTCAATTTTAAAAAAGAAAGCAGAAACTAATACAGATACAATTAAGAAAGACAAAAGCTAACCTGAATCCCAAGAATCTCAGCATCTTCAGCAAGAAATAGAGTCATGTGACTGGTGAGATTAAAGGGCGCTGTAAGCCAGCGTCCAGGAGGCACATTGAGCTGACCACCGCCTTTTTTGCCCAGCTTGGAAATAGCCAACACAGCCTTCTCAAAGGCCTCAGTGTTCAAAGTAACCCCATCACCCACTGCCCCAAAATCAGTCAAATTGAAAGCCACAGGTCTCAGCTTTGGCATGGCTCTCACCGGAACTCGCTTAAATATTGAAAACCCATCTACAATATTCCTCTGCCACACAAAAACCGATGCGAATGCCGCGATCCAAAGCACAGTGAAGAGGGTTTTGTGCGAGGACAAGAAGGTCGGGAACCAGCGCTTCAAGTCCAGCCTTTGGTGGTGGAACCGCCCGAGTGGTAAGGTCTCCACCATGGTCAATTAGACTGTCCAACAATGTAAAGCAATGATCTTTTTCACAGATTGGGTTGGGCCGATTTGATGCAGAAAATCGAATGGAGCTGTAGATGGGTGGTTGGGGAAGTCCGGGTGTTTGATTTTTGATAGCATGAAAATTGTGGTGAGACGTTAATGTTGTTGGTGAACAGAGTCAGGTGGGTTTGTTTGGATTGTGAAATGGTGAAGCTTGAGTGCAATTGAAGGGAGGGTTGTTAAGGTTAGAGAGAGGAGGAAAAGTTGGTTAAGATTTGAAAGCTTTGGGTTTTTGGGTCTCCAGCAACCAGAAAAACAGAGTATGGAGCTTTGGATTTGAGAGGTTGAGTTCTGGGGCAGTGACGCGAGTGACAGTTTAACAGGCAATCTCATGGAAATTTCGCGGTGCCTGTATCAGGTCGCGCCGCGTGTGCAGGGAAATAAACTCTGATTAATTATTATTATTTTGTTTTCGTTTTCGTTTTCGTTTTCGTTTTCGTTTTCTTTCACTACCAAATTCACATTCAGATTAAGGTAGTTTTTAGAATGTGTTATTAGATAGGTATTCATAAAACAAAACAAAATATCTAAAAACAATCCACATTGATTACATTTCTCTTTAGTTTGATAGTTAACTTTAGGGTTATTTATGGAAATATTTTTCCTCATCACTTTAATCCAAGATATATCATTATCATATTTCTTAACATTTGATATGTATCTGTGGGCCTAACCATAGTTAACTATTTACTTTGTATTTATGGAACTATGATTATACTCATGGACACGTGTGAAGTGTTGAGAAGATGATGATGATACACCTTGGGTTAAAATGGTGAGTAAAAATGTTCTATGTTATTTATACCAAAATTAAACTAAAAAATATCTTAAGTTCGAATCTCCTATTTCTATTAATTAAAAAAAAGAAGTTATTTTGTTATATAGTTGATAGTTAAGTTAATAGATTGTCAATCAATATCCCATGTTTACTTACACTAATTTATGGTCTCATAACTCATAATTGTAGCATACGCAATAGGATGCAAATGGAATGTCTCTTTTGCTGCAATATGAAGTAACATTGCAGGAAATACGTATCAGATAATATCAACAAAGTTAGTCGAACTAGTGATGACATTGACAGGTTTCAATATTAATTAATTACTATGTATGCGTGTGCTATGAGAAAGCAATGGATTGGACGAGCCACACCACCTACCCTAAGCATACTTACCACACTCAGCTGGTTGAGCAGATGATTATTTGGTTAACAAAATTGGTGCATAAATCAAATTGGATTTTTTTTAATAAAGAATGTTTGACAAATTGTTAGACTTGGATTGAATTATGGCAACACTGAAAATTTAAAAACAGTATAGATATTAGGTTTGGTTGGTGGGATTAGTACTTTCGTGAGTTCTCATTTATTTTGATAGATCAATCAAAATAAATCAGAACTCACGAAAGTACTAATCCCACCAACCAGCTTCTCTCAATCCACCCCAAGAAACAAAATCATCTTATTTTTTTTATAAATATCTCTCCCACTAATATTTCAAAATGAAATAATGAAAACAATACTTTGATGAAGGGTTATAGCCGTACTATTTTTTTCTTTTCTTTTATTTTCTTTTCGAGAAAGACTGATTGTATCGTTTGCAAGAGAGTCTGACATGGTGCTATTGGCACCGCTCTTTCTATGTTGCGAACCATGTTCGGATTCTAAACTACTTTTGACAACCAAACCATTAGCAAAATGTCAACATTGCAATACCCAATTAGGTAAATAAATCTCTCCCAAACACTCCCGACTTTTAAAAGTGGGTGTTTGGCTAATTAGATACTCCAATGGTGGACATCTTGCTAATGGTCTGGTTCTCAAGCATAGTTTGTAATTCTAGCATGGGTCGCAGCATAAATAGCAGCAGCGCCAGCAGCACAGGACAGACTCCACTGCAAAACGATACTCTCAGTACTTTATCGTTTTCTTTTCCTTCCATGGCAATGCAATAGGTCTGGTTTGTTGTATCATATCATTAGCCAATACGTGAAGCAATTACACCGCCGTGGACTTACCATGAAACAAACCCCAATTGGCCTCAGACCTTACCATTCATAAATGTGAAAATGTATCTGAAAACCCAACTTTCCTACACCACCACCAAAGTACACTTGGCTAGCTTAACATATATATACCAACCTTACTAGGAATTTGATGAGTTTTTAGCTACAACAATCACATAGTCTGCATGTGCACCCCTTGCCTGGACTAAGCACGTATTTGTGCAAGTATCATAATAATCGCATTGCACATTGTTGGAAAAAGCAGGTTGGAGTAGGTCACAATTTCCAAATGAATAAAACTGGATGGAAATGGAAACTTTGTAAACGATATCAACAACACCTTTTTATTCGGATTGTGTAACAACTCCAAAGCTTGATTTCTAGTACTAGTATTCTTATGGTATTTACACCAGCCATCTGAGATATTCCAGAGCAGTATTCATGGTCTGGATGTCCAAATTAACTAATCTAGAGAAGTATTTGTTAAACAACCATCTTAAAAATAAGATTTTTTAAATATTTTAGGTTATCAAATTCTCTACGAAACTCTCATTAACAACCTTTCCTTCAAACGCATTCAAACGTCCCCATTTCACGAACAATCTTTCTCGGTGAAAAAGATGCTGATACTTGGGAATTAGTTAAGATTTTGTCTTTCTTAATTGTATCTGTCTTAATTTCTTTCTTTTTTATTGACAATTTGCATCTGTTTAATGTCACTTTCCACTTCACTACGATATCTGCGAAATGGGAAATATCATCTAGTACGTACAAGGACTTCCAAAGTTCATTGCCTGAAAGTTTTGGCTTTTTCTATATGATTATTTTTTTATTTTATTGAGGAATCTATATGATAATCTTTAGAACTTGACATTGATAGTAATTAGGTGAGTTTTTGTTATCCTTTATTTGCTTTCTCATCTGGATTTGTACATAAGTCCTATTTATTTGATTAAATAGATTGTATAGTTAAGCATGATGATCAAATCATTGTATAGTTAACCACAACCATGATCTGATGATCATGCTTAACTATACAATCTATTTTATCGTGCCTAACTATACCAATCAAACGATAACATCCTCAATCTTATTATGGGAGCCAAAACTTTTCATATAAATTGTTAAATGTCGTACAAGTAATTGGCCACCTTTTTTTTTAAAGAGATATTTAGTTATATACCTATTCTTAGCTAAACTTAAGTTGAGTAAAAAGGAAAGAGAAAAAAAAAACCCTAACCTTATATTTCCTGCCACGTTTTTTTATTAGGGAAGTAATTGTTTGTTTCATGCTACTTCCCTTATATTTTCTTTTCCTGAAAAGAAAAAGGAAAAAAAAAAAAAAAAAAAAACATAACCTTTTCTTCTTTTTTACCCTGCAGGTTTTTTCTATTCCAGACAGTTGGCAACAGGAGGCTAAAACTTGCGGCACCAAATCATCAACAAATATTCTTATTTCTGAAAGAAGAATGGCTGGAACTGAGGGGAAGAGAATCCTGGGTAGTTCCTAGCTTGGAAGGAACAGTTTCTTTACAAAATGTTTCTTCATGGTGGGCTTGGATCAATGAAGACTTGTGGTGAATGAGAGCACAGGGCATATTTTTCATCCTCAGTTATAGTGAAAAAGCCCGATTTCCTTAGAGACTCATGGCCATTTGGTTGAAAGACAAGTGTGCAGTGAAGCAGCAAAAACGAGGACATGGGATTTTGAATGATTGAGGAAATGGCATTTTTATTTGTAGGGAGACTACATACATGGCATTTTGATTGATTAAAAGGGAAGTGTGCAAATAAGTGGGAGGACCCTTTATTTATTTATTTTATTAATATTTATTTATTGTCCTGCAAGTATCCTTTAAACTTATTATTATTATTATTATTATTATTATTATTATTATTATTAATAAATAAGCAAACACGAACTTAATTTGTCCACGTTATTAATTGTTGCACAAATAAGGGACAGCAACCAAAACTTGAGTTGAATTAAAAATCTTATTTAATTATTGATTAATTGTTTGTTTCCTAGCTAAACACGACTTCCATTCCAACTATCTTATTCCTCTTGCTGAACGAGATTCTCATTCTCTTTTCCAAGCCAAGATGGAGCCATCTCTGGAACCCATAAGCGAAGCTATCCCTTCTTCACTTTCTTCCTCAGCAAACCAGGTATCAAAGACTTTGAACGCTCACACATTTCTGCATCAAACATCTTTTGTCTCCACTTCCCTGTATCAACCAAGAATAATGACTGAAAATTTTATCAATTACTGGCAATTTCATCAATAAGAACTCTATCAATTTGTGATGCCCAAAACAATGACTGAAAATTTGATATTAAACATGCTTACCTTTGACTTTGGGCAGACTAGAAATCTCCGCCCTGAGGTTGAACTGGTCCAAGAAGTCTGCATCCGTGCTAACTTCACACAATGACACCATTGGCCATGCCTTGCTTCTCCTTGCTTCTCTCCTGTTTCCATCAACCCAAATCTTTTACTCCACAATCTCCCAATTTCAAACTCCACCTCAGAGTTCTAACGCCAAACCCCTAATTTCTTCTCTAACTTCTCCCAAAATCGAACCTACCCTCATATTTTCACAAACTCTAAGCCCTCTTCTCCTATTTCCCATTCTCACCCAATTTCCCCCTTTGTTTGAATTGAGAAACCCTTATTCGAAGATAGATTAAAGGTTAAAACGGAGTGGGACCCAACGCTCGTAATGGAACGACTAAAAAACTGACGGAATGGGTAACATGAGACGGTTTTTAAAAGGTTGGGGGGTACTTTGAGACGTTTTCAAACACATGTGGTAATCTGAGATAAGTTTGAAAGTACATGGGGCATGTACACAAGGGCTAAATTGTAAGGAAATATAAAATATTGGGCAAATAAGTAAATAAAATGAATTATGGGCTCTCTGATAAATTACATATCCTTTTTGTTTTCAAATTTATAATACCAGGTACCCCAAAAAATGGTATACTTACCAAGGTTCCGATTTTAATTCTGAATTAATCTCTACTAAAAAGAACAGGTGGGAAAAAGAATTATTATTATTTTTAAATTTTGAAGAAGGCAGAAAAATTATAAAATAAAAGTTCTCATTGGCTAATCAATACCTCAAAACTAATATCCAGAACACGTGCCAACTTCCCATTGGCTCTTTCTTCTTCATTTTGTGCCAATTAAGTTGTAATTCACCCTATCATGAACTATCCATCTTCCCGGTGAGTAGAAAAACTGTCAAACAATTTGCAGGGAACCCAAATTAAGCTATCAAACTCTGCTCAGTGTGGCTGGACCGTCTTGCCATCTATGGCCCTGGCTATTACTTCTGCACTCTCAACCATCCCAAGGAGGTAATAAAGTTGTCCTAAACCACATTCTTAATTTCAATCTTTCAAATACTAATTTTCTTAAATATACTGTTCATGTACAAGGTTTCTGATTGAGTACAGGGAAGTGCCTTGGAAATTTTGCCCAGGAAAAGTAAAACCATGCATACTGGGAAGAAGAACAACCAGTTTAAATGCAACAAAAGGAGTGTCAAGTGTGTGTGAACCACTCCCTCCAGATAGGCCATTGTGGTTTCCTGGTAGCTCACCTCCAGAGTGGCTTGATGGCAGGTCAGAAATAGTTATTAATTAAATTAATCAATTTGACTGTTTTAAATCACCCCTCCTATATTTTCAGCATATATCTATCTCTGCTTTCATCCTGACTTTTGTTTTGGGGTTAAAACTATAGCCTTCCTGGTGATTTTGGCTTTGACCCCCTTGGATTAGGTATGTACATGTTAATTTTAGACCATTTGTACACTCTCTGTGTATGGTCTTAGTTTGACTTATTTCCATAGAAATGTAAACCCAATTTGACGAATTTTTGCAGGGTCTGATCCTGAGTTACTAAAATGGTTTGCACAAGCTGAGCTGATGCATGGCAGATGGGCAATGCTGGCAGTGTCTGGAATTCTAATACCAGAGTGGCTTGAAAGATTAGGGTTTATTGAGAACTTCTCATGGTTTGAGGCTGGTGAGAGAGAATACTTTGCAGACCCCACAACCCTGTTTGTGGTGCAGTTAGCATTAATGGGGTGGGTTGAGGGAAGGAGATGGGCTGACATAATTAACCCTGGGAGTGTTGATATTGAGCCTAAGCTTCCTCACAAAAAGAACCCAAAACCAGATGTTGGGTACCCTGGTGGGCTATGGTTTGATCCCATGATGTGGGGAAGAGGATCTCCTGAGCCTGTGATGGTGTTGAGAACAAAGGAGATAAAAAATGGGCGCCTTGCAATGCTGGCTTTTGTGGGGTTCTTGTTCCAAGCCATTTATACAGGGAAAGATCCCATTGAGAATTTGATGGCTCATATTGCAGATCCTGGTCACTGCAACATATTTTCGGTAACGCTATATATATATATACTTCATTGCATGCTCTGAATTGTCCAAAACATAAAATGTATTACACACTTTGATGTGCTGATAAATTTTTAACTAACAATTCATCTGTGCAGGCTTTCACTTCACAATATTGATGCTGTGGGCTTGAAGACTCCTGGAAGGCTTGTAATTGAAACACCAAGCAGCCTGCATGCATGTATATCTCTATTCTCTGCATTATGTGATAATCTCTTCTGTTATAAGATCAAAGAAATTGTACATACAAAGAAGCCAAGACAGCCTCATGACTTCCTTTCTATAATTTGAATATTCTTTTTTGGTTAAAAGTTCATGACTTTAGTGTGAAATGACTGATGCTTGGGTGGCCATGGTGATATCCAACAAGCATGATCACGAGCAAAGTGTCCAGGCACCAGCTTTGAAACTTGGCTAGAATTGGTTGTTATTCACTCAATTTTATTTGTTTTAGTTCCCTTTTGAGATTGAGTTAATTAAGTTTTCCATGATTTCTTTTTAGAAGAAGTTTGCCGTAATATTGTTATAATTACACAGCACATTGAAATAACATAAATATGGTTTTGCTCTGCCTCTGCCAAACCAACGGAATGAATGTTTAGCACTTTTTGGAAATTGAAAGTCCTGAAATGTAGGGCATCCAGAGGCTGACAAGGTCAATGCAAATTCCACAACCTCTCTCTTTTTCCTCCCCAAATCCCACAAGAGGCAAATCCAGCCCTCTTTCCTCTGTCCCAATCTCTATTCTTAGAGTTTATCTTGTAAAATCTGGTAATCTCCATCCCCAAACCCATCTCAAAGCCACAAACACACCCCCAACCCACCACCCAACATGACACACCCAACTCCTCCTCCTCCCATACACCCCAAATTCATGATCAACAAAACGAAATTAAGCAAACACAAGAGAACCTCAGAGAAGAACCACCACCCATCTTTCTCTCCGAACAGCGGCTCGTTTCTATCCGGTGGAGACGAGGACCCATTGTCCCCCTTCCCGGCTCGGCAATGGCCGCTGTTCGCTTCCTCTTTCTCCTCCTTTTCTTCTCTTCCTCCCCCTACCTCTCCCTCTCCTTACCACAAGACCAAGAAGCTCTCCTCAAGTTCATGAAATCACTCACCCATGCAGGTGCCTTAGACAAGTGGACCCCTGATCAAAACTCATCTCCATGCAAAGCCAAATGGACAGGGATTGTTTGCTCCAGGGGCAGTAATGTCATCAGTGGTCTCCATATCTCCGACATGGGTCTCTCTGGAAAGATTGATTTTGATGCCTTGAAAGACATTCCTACCCTAAGAACCATTAATTTCATGAACAACAATTTCTCAGGTTCAATCCCAGACTTCCACACACTTGGTGCCTTGAAATCCTTGCTCCTGGCAGGAAATGGATTCTCTGGTGAAATACCAAAAGACTACTTTTCCCATATGACCTCACTGAAAAAAATATACCTCGGTAACAACAATTTCACAGGCAAAATCCCAGAGTCCTTGGGCCAATTGAACAAGCTAGAAGAACTTCACTTGGAGAAAAACCAATTCACAGGCCCTATCCCCAAACTAAAACAAGGATTGAACTCACTTGACTTGTCAAATAACAAGTTACAAGGTCCAATCCCAGACAGCATGTCCAAGTACAACCCAAAGGCATTTGAAGGAAATGAAGGGCTATGTGGCGTGCCACTCAAGTCATCATGTAAATCCCCATCTCCATCCCCATCACCAGCTCCAACCCCTGCCCCTTCCCCTTCCCCATCAACCCCATCACCATCCCCACCACCTTCTTCGCCGTCCTCATCATCCTCAGACGTGGATTCTAAAAGAACGACAACCATCATCATAATCATCAGTGTCATCTTGGGTATCATGATACTACTCTTGCTGTATGTGTTGTTTGTAGCAAAAAAGCGAAAGAGAGACGACGATTTCGATGTGCTTGGGAAAGAACAATTGGATGATCATCATCAACAGGTGGTTGAAGTTCATGTCCCAAGTAGCAACAACCGCAGTCTGGGCAGCACTAATCATAGCTTGGAGGTCCACCAAACCAGTAGCAAAAAAGGGGACTCTAAGAAGGGGTCAAATCATGGGAAAAATGGCATGAACGAGCTTTTGATGGTGAATGATGAAAAGGGTTCGTTTGGATTGTCTGATTTGATGAAAGCTGCGGCTGAGGTTTTAGGGAATGGAGGGTTGGGATCGGCTTACAAGGCTGTGATGTCCAATGGGATGTCTGTGGTGGTGAAGAGGATGAGGGACATGAATAGGTTGGGGAGAGATGGGTTTGATGCTGAGATGAGAAGGTTTGGAAGATTAAGGCACAAGAATATCTTGACTCCTTTGGCTTACCATTATAGGAGAGAGGAGAAGCTGTTGATCTCAGAGTACATTCCTAAGGGCAGCTTGCTATACCTTTTGCATGGTATGAACTTGTCACAATTTTGCTTTAACTAATCTTGTTTTAAGCTTCTACGTTATAACCATTTTGATTTTTGGTATTTTGGCTCCATGGTGACATAGTTATGTTAGAGATGTAAACTACAATGCGATCATTCTATTGACAACTAATGTGACACTACCTAATATGATCAGTCGTCTCTAGATTGAGAGTCTGCCAAACTAGGCTAATGCAAACGTTTAATTTGCAGGTGATCGTGGCATTTCTCATTCGGAGCTGAACTGGCCTATCCGTCTGAAGATAATCCAAGGAATTGCATGTGGAATGGGGTTCATCCACACAGAGTTTGCATCCTATGACCTTCCCCATGGAAACCTCAAGTCAAGCAATGTTCTGTTGAATGATGACTATGAGCCAGTCCTAAATGACTATGCCTTGCATCCCCTCATCAACCCCAACAATGCTGCTCAAACAATGTTTGCTTTTAGGACCCCAGAGATCACAGAGTCCCAGCAAATATCTCCAAAGTCTGATGTTTATTGCCTAGGGATTCTAATCCTTGAGATCCTAACTGGGAAATTCCCTTCCCAATATCTAAGCAATGGCAAAGGAGGAACTGATGTGGTGCAATGGGTGCAATCAGCAATGGCTGAGCAGAGAGAAGAAGAGCTGCTTGACCCAGAGATAGCAAGTGATGCAGACTCTGTGGATCAGATGGTGCAGCTTCTCAAGATTGGAGCTGATTGCACTCTCAGTGATCCTGAGCAAAGGCTTGATATAAGGGAAGCCATTAGGAGGATAGAAGAGGTACAAGTATGAGAGGCATATAGGCATGCATATATATATGGTAATGTGCTTGCTCTATAAACTTCAATTCAGATGGGCTTTCTTTCAACAAGGTGAGAAATTAAAAGGGCAAGAGGAGATCAAAGCAACCACAGAAGCAAAGCAATGGAATTGAGTGAAAAAAATACTAGATAATTAAAAGTGATAAATTTCTATACAGGTGCAGGTTTTTTTTCTCTTGCCATATAGGTGAGAAGAAAAGTAAAAGGGGTAGGAGGAGAGTGTTGGGTTGGAACAAAGGGAAGCAAATGGAATTTAGTGAAAAATACTGAATAAATTAAGTCATATTTCTATTCTGGAGGAAGTTTTGGTTCTTAGTTCTCTGATCTAATTCCTGATCATGAGGGTGTGATACCCTTTTTTTCTTCTTCTTTTTTAAATTAGTTGTACATAGGAGGATATTTCAGGTCACCATAATAATTTTCTTTTCTAGGAATACTAACAGAGAGACATTCATTCATGTACATAAATGACATACATACATACATGTATCACATGATTTTATTTAATGGCTTGTCATTTTCCAAGATTTTCAAAATTGTTTCCAACAAGAGGCTGGCAAAATCTCTATCCCCATATGCTTCCTTTTGCCATTGAGTAAAAATTTCTTTCCTGATAGAAATAATTGAGATTCCAAATGAAGTGAGCTCATAATTTAATAAAGAAATAATTGCCACATTATTTGATGAACAAGAGTAGTCAAACAGAGAAAGCGAAAAGAAAAAAGAAACACCAATTGGTTGAAAAAGAACACCACCCCTTGCAAAGAAAACGACGAGTCGTCTGATAAAAACCCATATAATATTATAGGTGACCTTGTCAAATTTGGTTAGCTAGCTCTCTTGTGCTCAATCTGTCAAATTACCCAAAACACAAAAATCACAAAGTGAATCTAAGAGTGTTGTCAGAGGAAGACAAAACAGGTTTCAGCTTTCAACAGATCCCACGGACATGGCAACTACATCACAGATTGTCGAGAAACTGAAATTGAATCCCCACCCAGAAGGTGGGTTTTATTTTGAAACTTTCAGAGACATCTCCATTGCCCTGCCCTTGTGCCAGCTTCCCCCGGATTGTAAGTCCTTGTAACTCTGTACTTGTCATTTTGTTTTTCAACAATTTCTCATGTTCTGTACACTGATCTGATCTGACTTTGGATGTTTCATTTCCTCTGTGTATTGGGTTTTTATTGTTATTTGCATTTTGATCCTGAATTTGGAATTTTGGAAAATATTTGGAATGAAAGTTGGCTAGATTGTGTTATATCTGCTTTTTGGTTGGATGATTTTGGATTTTTGTGAGAATCTACTTATTCATGCAACAAAGTTTATTCCTGAAATCATATGTTCAATTGAAATGGAAATAGATCCACTTTGCTCATCAAAATGAGCCTAATTGTTGTGTATGGGAACTGTTGTTTCCACCTTCAATGATGCTTAGTTGAACTATTTTCTTGCTACTTTGTATTGTTTTTACTTACCATTTGTTCTACTAATAGAGCTGTAGCTTCTTTTCTGCAGACAAGGTTGAGCGCCCTGTGAGTTCTTCGATCTACTTCTTGCTGCCTTCTGGGGATGCGTCACGCCTTCATCGTATACCAATGGCTGAAACCTGGCATTTTTATCTGGGAGAACCTATTACGGTATGCCCCGATCACAGCTCAGACATTGAAAGATTGAAATACTCTGCATTGACATGCCATTTCTATGGTCATTTCAAGATACAGAGAGCTTCTAAAAGTGGCTTTGTGATAGATTATAGTACATTTGTATTCAAAGTGATTGATTTCTCTTTGTTATTTTGTTGTTTCATCTTTGCTATCAGATAGTGGAGTTGGATGACAAAGATGGGCAAGTCAAATTCACCTGCCTTGGACCCAATTTGATTGGAGAGGATCAGCAACCCCAGTACACGGTGCCTCCAAATATATGGTTTGGTTCATTTCCAACAAAGGACTATAGCATTTCACCAGATGGGGCATTGCTCAAAGCTGCTCCAAGGGATGCTGAGACTCACTACTCTCTTGTGGGATGCACTTGTGCACCTGCCTTTCAGTTCCAGGACTTCGAGCTGGCAAAGCGATCAGAGCTTGTTTCTCGCTTTCCTAAATTCGAGCCTCTTATATCATTGCTTACATTCCCTGAAAAAGCATAAGCCTTTGCTGCGGTAGTCTTATGGTTACGTTAGCTCAACGTTCATCCTGAGATTTTACATGTGTATGGATTCGAATTTTTCAGATCATGTACTTATATGAAAAGCTTGTTAAGAATTCGCATTTGATGATCCAATCTACCATGCGAAAGTTCTTGTACTAGGAACTAAATAATGAAATAATAAGATTTCCCTTGATCCTGTGGCATGTGATTCAATATGTTTAAAGTCACGTACATCTTGATATGTTTAGGCCCCACAACATTCGATCTAATTTTGTTGGGGGAGGGGAGAAACATAGAGGGTGGAAACTCTGGCTTGGCCTGATTGGGAATACAATCTTTCTTAATATAAGCATGCAGTGCGGTATATGGAGAAACTTGTAGCATGTAAGCATAATGTGGATTCAACAGGAATTACCATCTTACAAATGTAATGACAGTGGTTGCCATGAAAAATCAAAACTAGGCATGTTTGACAGAGAAGCAATTGCGAATCTAAAAACCCTAATCAATTCTGTAGAACCCAAACCATGTTCGTGCGTATCAATCAAATCCAAATGAAGCGTGGGATGAAGGAACCATCAGCATTGCCTTGCCTTTACTAGACCCGGATAAAAATAACTTTCCCTTCTCACCCTTTTTTCAATGGGTCCTCAGAACTTATACTATTTCTCTTCTTTCTTCTTCCTTTCTGCGCTCCCATTGAGGTGAAAATCTTGGGTCACTGTCGCACTAAAATTTGCAGACATGGCCTAAACCCACGACATAAGGGAGGGCAAGTTAATCAAAATCGAGGAACTCCATTCTTTTTCTCATGGAGCCTTTTAAATCTGTAGCATCCCTCTCTGCTTTCTGAGCCTGAATAGAAGAGAAACATGTACTCAAATTACAGTGAAGTGCAAAAGACAACAATAGGAACAATCCAACCCAGATACCTGAATCAACATAATAAGATTGCACCTTTAATACACTAATCTTAAAAGGAAAGGATTTAATTGAAAGGTTCCAACATCCAGCTGATACAAGAGGTTAATTACTTTAGAAAAGCCAGAGTAAACTTATATTCCCACTCAAAATAGCAAAGGGCATAAAGAAGCTCCTCTATTAACACTGGCAGGACAAATTAGGATAGTGCAAAGAAGCTATCTATGCTGCATAGGAATTCACAAAATCAAAGTTCTCTTCATCCATTTGTCAACATGGTTTAATATGACCAAGTGCTAACACCCTAAACATTCAGATTGGAATTTTCAAATTAAGCATTAACCAACATACATCTAAAGACTTACCCTTTTTATCTCTGCTTCTGGTACTAGAGTCATATGTGGAGGAAGCTCCTCCTTACCCAATTCCTAAAATTAAAGATGCATAGCAAGAATTTAATAAAAAACTGATAACGTAGTCAAAAGTATTAAAAGTGGTCAAGTCTCCCAGAACTGAAAGAGAATGCAAATATACCAGCTCTCCAATTAAGACGACATTCTCCCCACGGATTACATACAGACCCAATGGGATGTCACAGTAAAGATCACCGACAATAACTCGTTCACATGCACCTTCAAGAACAACATTAGCTGGGCACAGGGAAGAAAATCACCATTATCAATAAAGCTTTCTAAAGAATAATAAGAGTAAAGCTAATTAGAACTTAGTATGGTACGTGAAGTGACATACCAAACTGATCAAAAGACCGTAGTAATCCCAAGAGCTTTCGGCCATCTCGCAATAAGACAAGAAGCTTTTCTGAAAAACAAATAAAAAATCCTAATAAGCCAAGTGCTTTGTAATTAATCAATCTCTAATCAGTTTACTGATATACCTCACATCATATGAATCCATGCAATCACATAGAACCAAAATGTAGGCATCTCATGCCAGTTTAACACCTTCTCCCCCAACCCGCCCAAACCCAAAAATAAAATAAAAATTCCAGTGCTTCAAGGAAGAGCTACAAAAGCACTAGAAACAAAACATTCTGCAGTGACATTAAACCACTAATTATGAAGCTTTAATTTAATGAGTGCATCTTCAGCATCTGGCTCACATTTAATAATGGTTTGAATCTTGATTTCTTTAAGAAAATATTTATCCCATTTCTACTTTTGTTTATGCAGTAAAGATATGTCTTCCATTCTAAGAAATTGGGAACCACTCTTGTACCCCAAATCCACAATTCAGCACTAGAAATTCAACATCATAATAATTACTTAGTGTAGAGATCCAAATTTGAAGCTTTACTCGTTTATGTTCCTGGTATCTCATATACAGTTGAAAAACGCAATCAAACAGAGCATGCAATAAGAAAGCTACAAATCAAACAGTAAAGCAGCCTCTCTAAAACCATTCCATGAAACAAATGTGCAAGAAAAATACTAGACAAGGGCTCTATAAGGCAATTAACAGCTAAAACATACAAAACAGCCAAAAATTCATAAAACCCATCTTCAATTACTTTAAACTAGATTCAATTGCTTCAAACTAGAGAGAGAGAGAGAGAGAGAGAGAGAGAGAGAGAGAGAGAGAGTATACTGTCAAGATAGCTTGCAAGAGAAGTGGAAAGGAAAGTGTCTTCTGCGCCAGCCCACGACATGAAGTAGACTTCTCTTCTACTGAGAATCGGGAACTTGAAAAACCAATCAACAGGACCACAGAGCCTTCTCCAATGGCATTGGCTTCCCACCAAACAACCACCTCCAAAATTAAAAAGAAAAAAAATCCCCAAAAGCCTCAAAGCCCAAAACTTTCAGTCACACACTTCTCCACTAGATCATCACCACCACCAACCCTAATTGCAAGCAATTTCCAACAATACCCATCAACAACTAAGTGTGTAAGTTGGTTTTGGACCATTAAAGTCACCGGCTCTCTCTCTCTCTCTCTCTCTCTCTCTCTCTCTCTCACACAATATTGCTCTTTTTTTTCGTTATTATTATTATTATTAGCTTTTTACAGTAGGATACAGTCTAGCTTAAGGAGGAAAACTTTGATTAATTAATTATAAGGTCTCCTTAATGGACCGTTGGATTAGATTTAGTACCATCTAGATTGGCGCCGAAATTAGATATACACGATCTAATTAATTATACGTTTCCTCATACGTAATCTTTTCATCATATATGAAGCAATTATTAGGAATATTATTTTCTCTTGTTTTTTTCCTTTTGCCTTTTTGTGTGAAAACAGAAATAAGGTATTTCGGGTATGAGAACATCTCATGGTATTTACTAAAAAAAAACCAGGAATAAAGTTAAATCTTTTTTAATTATACAATTCCCATCATTCGAAATGATAACTAATGTTTTTTCAGAATAAGGTTTAAACCTTTTTCTTATTCAATTCAAACATAAAAAGGGGGTTAAATTTTCTTCTTATTTAAACAATGCATATTTTCTGTTTTGCATATATCAGAAACAATGCATGTGTAACACTTCTAATCATGGAGCTGAAAAAGTTTTATCTACCAGTTTAATTGTAATATCACAATCGTTATTTGCAGTAGTTACATGATTCATTCAAAAAAAGTTTGGAGCAACACAAATAGGTTATGTAGATTTCATGTTGTTTTATTATTAGTTTATTGTATCGCGTTTATCATCGTGGTAAAGAAGGTAAAAAGTCCTTTGACAATATCTCATATGCAAAGGGAAAAAAATAAAAAAATAAAAAGAAAGAAAGATAAATAGTCTTTTTTTTCCCTTTCTTCTTTGATGATGAAAGATATACAGTCGATTTATTTTGTTATTTTTTTGTGTTTGCTGATTATGCTGAAATGGAACATAGGCCAAGCTGTAGGAGACAGTTCATTCATACAAAATGCCACTCTTGTTGCACAACACAAAGCCAAGTATGGAGCTCAAACATTTTGTTAGACAACAAATTAGGCATGCAAAAGAGGACAACACCACCACTTTGGCAGAAATCTGCAGGTCAAAGTTAATTTTAGCATAAGATCAGTAAAAATTTGAAGTAAAAGATTAATGTTTGGGGAAGAGACAATCAAGCTACATCAAAAACATACCCTGCATGAATTCTTCCCAGTGGTCTCTATATCTCTAGAACAATATCTGCAACCAGAAAAAGAAAAATGGTGTCAACAACTTTGCAAAGCATGTCCATGCTTTAACCAAATGACATAATTAAGTGAGTGCTTACATTCAGAGTCAGTCTTGACCCATTTGCTTCCCTCATCTTCCTTATCAATATTTATTTCTTCATCATTGGCAGACTTGGCAATATTGTGTCTGTTCTCCAAGTACTTTTTCATGGACATTGCTGAAGCACTTGAACTTTGGGGGTATATCTTCTTATGAAGTATTGCCTTCAATATCTGTCAACAAATCAAGAAAGGAAAAATAATTACAAATGTCACAAATCCCTCGCTAGTGGAAAATTAGTTATGTGCATGAATTGTAATGTTCAGATTTGAGCTAGGCGGTATATCACATCACCGATACTTCGTGAATCTGAACCATTGATCAAATTAACTATTGCATTGATTGTTACTTAAACGTGTGGTCTAGCTAGATTAACAATCTGACAACATAAGTTTAACATGAGAACGTTGTATGATGTACCTTCTCCATTCTTGACTCAAGGATTGGATCTCTTAGACCAGGAGCAGCAGCTGGTGCAAACCCACTTCTACAAACAAACACTTTCTTGAGGAGAAAAGACAACGACTTCTTGCCACTGGCAGTGTTTGTGTTCTCCAAACAAACATCTTTCCCTCTGCTGAGAACAACACTGCCGCTCCGTTGGAAGCGACTGCCATTTTCTTTAGCCTCATCACAATCTGCATTGTTACCATTTCTCTCAGCTTTCAAGCTTGACTGTCTGTTTAGAAACTTGTCCAGTGGAAGAAAGTTTGGAACTTTTTCAGGCTCTGCGCCCGAATTTGATTGATGATCAGCTTCTTCATTCAAGTAGGAGTTCAACTCATTCTGAATGTTTCTTACTTCCTCTGGTGTAAATCCATGGAGATGGTCTTTAGGGGAAGGTGGTGGGTTGCTCTGTTGATCTTCTTTCAAGTCACTATTTCCTAATGTCCCAATTGTCAGCAATCCATGAGGCCACTCATTCACTTCTTCTTTGGGAGGTTTTTGCACCTTGTCATCTATAAAAACAAAGCACAGATTAAAAGAAAAGAACACTCAGTTGTGTGATTGAACATGTCATATTTTCATCTATATATAATCACCATCAAACACTTTTGAGCTTGGCTTCTTAATCAGGGTTTTTCTAGTAAGCTTACTTTGCATCCAATCAAATATCTGCAATCAAATCAAACAAGTCAAAAAAACCTTCTAAATTGAAGCATACAGAATACAGATAAACTGATAACAACACAATCACCCAAGCACAAGTTTCTTTTGTTACCTTCATTTGTTTGTTACAAGAAGAGGAAATGGATGAAGTGGGCTTATAGAAATCAGGTGTTTGTGTACACAGAATCCCATAAGCCACTGAGAGCTTAGCTGCAAAAGCCTTTATATAGAGTTGTGAAGTGAGAAGTTCCATAGCCAAGCAAGCTGGTAATCTTGCCACTGGTTCAAGTTCCCAAACACTCACTTTTCCCGCCTTTTTTCTATCTTTCATATCTTAGTATATCACCTTAATTTTATCTCTCTTCTTCTTTCTTTTTTCTTTTTTTTCTGGTCCCCAGATTTAACAATTTCAATTTTAGTTTTCATTGTTCGTGCTAGAATATAGAGGAAATTGAGAATGAGAAGTGATGATGAGATTGAGAAAGAGGATAAGAATTGCTACTTTTACATCATAAGATAAAGAAAATAGAATTTTATTTTTTTACAGTTTGTGATAAATTATATATTCCAAAAAATCAAATAAAATCGTGCCTCACATGAGATGAGATCTATGGCGGGCCAACATGCTGTTCATGGGGGTTTCAAGACCACCCAGCCACGTGAACATGTCCAGTCCAATGCTAAACCAAAACCCAAAAAAGGTTGAATTGTTTTTTTTACCGGGCCGCCCTTGACCAGACCGGCGGAGGGAGCTGGTAAGGAGATTTGCCAAGTGTCGAATGACGACATGGTGATGACTGGTCATCCGACTGTATCTGACCAACACGTGTCTCAAAGGGTATTTTCCATTGCTCGTTAACTTTGTGCTACGTACATCTCTAGCATTACACAAAATAATAATAATAATAATAAAATAAAAAAAGTGAGGCAACTTTAATCTGTCTAGTAGCCCCTCCACGCAAACTGTCTCTAGCTCCTTTGCCATCTCTTTCTCCCACTCCCATTGGAAGGAGTTCACTCATCTCTTCTCTATATGAGATTTCAGTAAATAATATTAATCATGATCAGCACTATTTTCAGTGAACTATGACTCCCAAATTCACCATTTGAACAGCCATTACATTGCGATTAATGCGATCTTAATAAAATTACAACATTCAATTCAACCGATTCGTTGAAAGTGGAAAGACTCAAAATATTATATAATCGCATTACCAATTTAGACGTATTCATAATTAAACCGACAAACAAGTTTATAATGTGAAACCAATTAATCACGAGTGAAAAGGCACAACGACATTATATATTTCTCTAACAATCTTGCAAAACTGGGCCATGTGATGCAACGGCCTTGAATCAAGTGCATTAATCTTATATTTACAGAGTCCAGTTGCATCCACCACCAGGTGAAGTCTTGCAGAGCGGAAGGGTTGTCCATACTATATTTAGAAACCCTCTACAAGCAGTCCAAGACTTCCCTAAAATGGAAATGTGTCATATTACAACAACAAACACATACATCAAAGCTTTACATGTATAACACATGATCAGCCCAAAAACAGTTCGTAATAATATATGCAACAATCAAATATGGTGTTGTTAAGTTAGTAGGCCCCAAAAGCAATTTGGTTTGGTTTCTCTCCACCTGGATTGTTCTCTTCTCTCTGTTACACCAACAGTTGAGGTTGTAATACGTGTCGTTGGTTTGACGAAAATGTTGCAATACGAGGACACGTGTCGAGCTGACACCACAAGTTTTAATATACAAAGCTTAATGGATGGTAACTGCCGTTCTTCTCTTTGAACTTATCAGTTGGGATTTTGAGGGGATAGATTTTCTGCAGCAGCAATCATCATCAGCAATGGAAAACTCTGTTCACATTCTCTCGTTTTATAAGTTGTTTTTTTGGGTTAATTTTTTTTTTTTTTGTTTTTTCTAATCATGGGATTTGATTATCATTTACTGTTTTGTTCAGGTTTAGTTGATATTCACATTGAGCTAAACTTGATAATTAAAGTTGTCTCTGGGAATGGAACATGTTTGAGTAATGGCGTCACATTATGCCTCAGCCCATGAAAGCATATACAGAGATCTCTACCAACCAGCTGTTATCATTGGAGCCTGCTTTGCAGCTGTGGCGCTGGTCCTCTCCATTTTTCTCATCTTTCAACATCTCAGATTGTACACCAAACCCACTGTCAGTTCTTCTCCCATATAATTCACCATAACTCTTTGAGTCTCCTTTTTTTCGATGCATAAAATCCGTTTTACTCTGAAATAATTGCAGGAATCAATGCAGTTTATGTTATATACTTGGCTGAATTGTGTTCATTATGAAGCTATCTTGAGCTATGTGACACTTTATGATGTTTGTTTGTTGTGTTAGATTTTTCTTAACTGATGCTTCGTGATCTTTTCGTTTGCAATTTGAAGAAATAGGAAAATGCTTGTTTGTTTGTAGTTTGGACTAGACTGCATTCAATTCCCTAATTAATCTCTTTTCCAGGAACAAAAATGGGTGGTTGCTGTAGTTTTCATGGTACCTGTCTATGCTACTGAGTCAGTAAGTATGGTTCCCTCTCTCTCTCTAAAATAGATATCCATGTCTATGCGACAAGATTGCATTCTTCTTTCGTCGACCTTTGAATTTAAATTTCTCTGTTCACAAGAAAAAACAGAATTTAATAGTCAAGCTTTCTTAGGCATGTCGAACGTTTTAGAGCATGAATTTATTCTAAGAGAAGGAAACATGATATTATAGGTTTCTTATCTTGACTATATCTGTAACCTTCATTAGCAGATTCATTTTCTGTCGTTTCGTTTTTAATTACTCTGGTCATGCAGTATTGGCATTGATTTTCTGGTTTTGACTTCTTCAGATTTTATCCTTGTGGAATCCAAAACTTTCTCTTGCATGTGACATTCTAAGAAATTGTTATGAAGCATTTGCCTTGTATTCTTTTGGAAGCTACTTGGTTGCTTGTCTGGGTAAGTCATTTGTTTCTGCATTGATTTCAGAAATGTTACTATTTATATCTTCTTTGATGCAACCATGCCAGTTTTACTGTCGTAGTTGTACCTACAAATATAATCTTTGGAGTCCTATTAATCAAACATGACCATATTTTCTAGAGGGCTCAATATCTTGAAACTTGGAATATTCACAGACTGCTAGTACAGTTGAGATCAAGCATTTATCTCAGTAGGAAGACAAGCAAGGCAACTGATGTAGGTTACAAATGGTGCTCCCTTTGGCGATCCCATAACCTTAAAATATTCTCTGTGAAGTGTGTTTCTTAATCATTACTATAATTCGTGATGTTATAACTTGTTTAATTATTCTTGAATGGCTATTATGTAGGAGGTGAAAGAAGAGTTGTAGAACTACTTGAAAATCAATCGGGAAAACTGCTCAACAAACCATTGGTAGAAGGAACAGATGAGAATTGCACTGAACCACATTGGTCTCTTCGTAACTTCTTCTTACGACCATGTATTCTTGGGAAACATTTGCTCAATATAGAAAAATTTGGTCTTGTACAATATGTAAGTCACTATGTTTTTCCCTTCTCTAAATCCACTATAATTTTTTTTGGCTCTAATATCTGCCGGATAGTCCAGATGATTCTGAAGACAGTTTGTGCATTCTTAGCATTAGTGTTGGAGATCTCAGGTGTTTATGGAAATGGGAAATTCAAGTGGTATTATGGGTATGTAATTCATGTAAATATGAGTAATTAATTATTATACAAATTTATAAATAAACTCAATCCTATACATGTATTTATAAAAAAACTCAAGCACTATTTAAACATAGAAACACACCCAAAATCAACAATTGTATATTTTTTGGGTGTGTTTATAAATGGGTTTTGAGTGTGTGTAATGATGGGTTCTGGGTGTGTTTATAAAGTGTTTTGGGTGTTGGGTTTTTTTATAATTTCAGTCCCCATTTTGGGTGTTTTAATGAAACTCCCTTAATTATAACACACTGCTAATGTCATTGAATTATATTACTCCAATATTCTTCATGGAAGCTTAGTACTATCACCTTTATTCTCTTGCAGTTATCCGTACATGGCAGTAGTATTGAACTTCAGCCAGATGTGGGCATTGTATTGCCTTGTGCAGTTCTATAATGTAACTCATGAAAGGCTTCAACCAATAAGACCACTTGCAAAGTTCATCAGCTTTAAGGCTATTGTTTTTGCCACTTGGTGGCAAGGTGTGGGCATTGCGCTATTGTGTGCGTTTGGTGTTCTTCCCAAGGAGGAGAGACTACAAACAGGCTTGCAGGATTTCTTGATATGTATCGAAGTATGTTACTTCTTTTGCTGTGGTAACTCTGTTTCTGCTGGACAACTTTGTTCTGTTAAATATTAAAACATTGCTTGAACTAGGAAAAGAATCTTCTCTAAATGTTTCGGTTGAAGTGTTGAACTTTGATGGCCACTAAGCTTCATTATAATCCTGTTTACTCCTATAGCCACGATAATGCAGGTTTATGTCTTATGGCTTGGCAGATGGCAATTGCAGCTATTGCACATATGTTTGTCTTTTCAACAGCACCATATCATTACATTTCGGCTTATGAGTATGGGAAGGTCACCACAGAAACAACCAAGACTAAACTGAAGTTGGAGGAAAGTGACACCGCAGCTGTGTTCGAAAGAAAAGAAACTCAGGTCAAAGCTCCCGGAACAAGTGTCACCGAGAGCGTTCAGGACATTGTTGTTGACGGTGGTCAGCGTGTAAGTTCTTTCCCTGTCAACAAGGATCGGATAGAATACATATTTCGTAGATCATTTGATTTATATTCAATTTTCACATTTTAAACAGGTGGTCAAGGATGTTGTCTTGACCATAAATCAAGCAATAGGGCCTGTGGAAAAGGGTGTGGAAAAGGGTGTGACAAAGATCCATGAGACATTCCACCAAAGAACAGAGGGCTCAGAATCAGGAGACCAAGAAGTTGATGAACAAGTTGAAATGAATCTTACCAGAGAAACTCATATGGATCCTTAAGAAAACACAGTACTCTTTCTGCTTGAATTGAAGGAAAATGTACACTTATATTAAACTTGTGTTGCAAATAATGATTTAAGTAAGAGAAACCAATTGCAGACTGGAATGTTTTGCCTGGAGAATGAGAATCTATGACAATCTTTATGCAATCAGACCATAGGGGAGAATAAGTTAAGGGTACACCCACCCAACCCACCCCCAGCGCGCTTGGAATAGGTCAAGCCTACAATATTCTTAAAATATAGAAAATAAATTTTTTTTCAAAAAGAAGCTAACATATAATTAATTTTAACCATATATATCATTCCTGGTGAAATGTACAGGGTTCACCCAGACTGTCATAAGAGCCCAAACAGTATCATTATAACAGTATGAATTGTTTGTCTAATCATAAGACCGAGTATAGAACTAGCTGTCTAGCCGTGCGTATTTGATGCCAGTCCAAGAGAAAGAACAAAATCCTATACACTATTCTACAAGAGAGGAGGGTTTGTATGGCCAAGATTTATGATCCACCATCTCCGCATCCACGGCAGCAAAAGGAGCAGCATTTGAGGCAGCCGGCACATGCTAGACCAGTGCAGAGCTGGGCAAATACATTTGCACATTGAGGATTTATCCTGGAGAAACACTTGATGCAGCCCATGCAACAGCAGTGAGTGCACATAGAGCCACAGCAATTTGATGCTGCCCTGGCAAAAATCTCAGCAGCTTCCGGCTGTTTTGGTTCTTCGGATCCTGGAGGAATGTTCTCGGAAGTCGCCACTAAGTTGCCAAAGCCAATGGACAGACTTGGTAGCAATATCGGTCTCTGGCTTTCAGAATCTTTCATCTTAATGCGGCTTTTCTTTGGTGCCTGTTATGATGTTCGTTGAAGAACCAGTCAGAAAATAATGGTTTTACATTTTATCAATCATATGAAATTACCGGTTTTCACCTATACTTGCAATCATCTTGGAAATGAAAAATGTTCAAAAACGAAGAATAAATCAAGAAAGTAACACTAATTTTACATGAATTGATAAAGTTATGGACTTGGTGACAGCAGTATTTTAGTTCTTCTTAATAAATGGTTACCTCTTGTGGTCCAGATTGTTCTTTGTCAACTATGATCATGCGCGTATACTCACTCACAACATGGGACTGTATGCTCAATTTAGCTACCTGCCAATAGAAGGATATAGAATAAGAGATACTCATAATTACTACGAAGTAGAAATTGATGACAGGAATAGAATCAATTATAAAATTAATTCCTACACATGAACAACTTTGTGTCAGCACACCAGGCTGGGAAAACCGATGACTTATAAATCAAAGCTATTTACCATTGTACATGATCCAGTTCTATGAAACCTTTCTACATTTTATTTTTCATGGTGGTGAAGAATACAATAAAACAAGCAACAAACCTTGTCCTCAAGCTGTTTGTTATCTGCCAACCAAGCCTGAGCAGTCAGCAACTCAATCTGCCCTTTTGCACATACCTGTTAGAAAAGGGGGAAGTTGTCAAGAAACAGGACATAAGGAACAACCACAGAGATTGCTACATGTGGAACTCCTATGACAAGAGGAAGTTTTTTTAACCGGAATAAGAACATACAGAACCCTAACATATACCGAAATGGGTCATTAATGTAATCATGCACAAGTTATGAGGCAGATATTTTGTGAGACTAAGCACCTACAACTTAGGCAAAGACTAAGTGGAACATGATTTGGAACCATGTAAGCATGGAAAGAACTGTACAATCCAGTAGGAGGTAAGGTAAGGAACACCATCATTCAGTTCATGGAAATACAGAGCTGGCAAAGCCAACTCAATAACAAAATTATCAGAAACAGATACATCTAGCCCATATACATATTTACTCAAAATTTTTTTTCTTTCTAACAAGATTAAGGAGCAGAAGTCAAACTGAAGTTAAGCTCACAAATCAGTGCCTTAGTAGCAGCCTTACCATGTCAAGAGGTATGTCCTTTGCATCTTGTAACTTCAAATCGATCACAATACTAGACATATCAAGTGAGAGGCCTTTAGCTTTAAGCGTGTTGGGAAAACTTCCTCGGAATCTGCCAGATACAGTTAATGGACTCTCAGATGAGAGATCTGGAATATGGGAAGGGAACACCTACCGCATAAATTGCAAATATGTCATGATAAGTCAAGATAAATTGTTAAATTTGATGCAAGTTGGATAAGTTGTCCAAATGAAATAGCCAGTAATTCAATGTGTAAGGTTGCGTAGCATTGTAAATGCAAAAGGTTCATAAATTTTAAATCAGAATGAGAATACCTCAACTTCGTCAAGATCATCCAATGTCTCAAGGGTTATATTTGTAAGAATCAGAGATGAAGCTCTGATAAATAAGTTCTGCATCCGAGACTCGACAAAATCTGAACATTGAAAAAAAATAAATTAAGGGTTTAATTAAGTTTAACATCTACAAGAAGTTAGCATAAAATTTCTTGTATATCTTCATATAGAAGGATTGATGCAGTGATGGAAGGACTCAGCTGATGTTTTATTGTGTTATATTTGGTTTTGTCAAATTCATGATACTTGTTCAGGGCCCACATATGACAACAGACTTTGTCCAGAAAAAAAAACATATGACAACAGATGGAGGTAAGTCATACAATTTGTACGATATGAAGGTCGAGTTTTTACAAGTGTAGGGGTTATAACAGCTTTTAAGATGACAAAACGGAACAAGATTCATACAAGCTCTAAGGTCCAATGATTCATATGTTTTTTTATACAAAATTTCGAAAATATCATGCAACCTGAAGTACAAAACACAGTCTTCGGGATACAAGATTCTTTCCCAAAAGAAAATAGTGAACTCACCTACATCGTACGCAGCATCATAATGGCCCCTGCCAATCATTGCAAGCATCCACAGGAAATAATGGTTGCAGAATGAACCTGGAATATTTCAGATAAAAGTTAGCCAGAAGGTAGAGCATACAATAGAGTTGATATTATCTCCTTTAAATGCCAGTAGACTTAATAAAATGCGGGCTTGATGATAAAAAAAGATGGGATTCTAAACTGGAAGAGAAGAAAATTCTGTCAAGTGATTATTAATCGTCCAAAAGAGTTTATAATGTCACAATTCAAATCAGTTTTGAGGAATATAATAATTTGCCACTACTAGCCTGATCTCTAGTGGCACAAAATAGCTAAACCCTCACCTATTCCAAAAGTGCAAATGCGTGGAGCTATAGAACCTGCTTCTGTAAGACGCTTTTTCATTACATCACAAATGTGTCTCTCATCTTCAACAGCCCCATCGGTAACAAGGAAGATGATAGGAATTGAATCCCGAGTATTGGATAGCATCTCTATTGCCTAAAACAAAGGAACAAACAAAATAAAATGAATATGTCCATAATGATGTCATGTTAATGCAGAACATATATGATAGGGGTAAAAATATAGAAGGTAAACCAAAGAATACAAAAAGATGAAGAACGGATACTCATTGAAATTACATTTCTGACTGGTATACTGCGCCTTAACACATGCTTGTGTTTATGCATGAAAGAACCAGAAACAAAACCATAATGGTGAACTCCAACTGCAGAAATCACAAAGAGGCAAAGGAGCACGAGACAATACCTGGTTAAGTGGAGTTAAAATATCTGTATCACCACCAGCAATAAGATTTATGCCAATCCACTCAATGGCCTTTTCAACAGCCTCCTTGGTAGCTGATTTCATTGACGTAGATGACACAAAAGTCTGTCCATTAAAAGCTATAATGCAGAATGAATCTTCTGGATCAAGCTTAGAGAGGGCTGCAGATAGTACACTCTTAGTATCATCAAGAGGCTTTCCCTTCATACTTCCACTTATATCAACAACAAAAGCTACATCCTTTCTGAAAACCTGGACGACCAATTAAGAGGGATGATAAGAATAATTTTAAAAATAAAAATAAAAAAGAGAAGAAGAGTAAGACATACTTAGAAAGAACTGTAGAAGTTCTATTTAATACAATACCAACCTTTCTGTTCTTCTGGTTTCCTGGTAGAAGATAGACAGAGAAAATCTCTCTTTGATCAACATCATGCATGGGTGGTGACTGCACGAGAACAGCACCATGTATATGACTTGAAGAGACCTAGAAATGCACAAATGTGTTAGAATTACAAAGAATTTGTAGAATCTGTGCACAGGAGCTTAGAAGATTTCTTGAATACGCCCATGCATCTATTCTGGAATCAAATATCATGTGTTTTTGCACTCCAAGAAACCCTCTTTTGTAAGTATATTCATGATAATCAATACACAGACAAAAAATGCTCACGAGCCTTACCACATATGAGAAGCTAAAGTCAGTGTTTGACCAAGTGAGAACATCTGCCCCATATACAAAACCCAATTTTCCTACTTGGCCTCCCCGTAATTCCTGGAAAGTGAAGAAAAAGTTTTAAAATATTGGCCACCTTGCTTCTGAAATAATAAGAAAGTAAGCCCTCTGAGTTATGATTAAAGTTGAACCTTCAAAGGATGACTAATTCTCTTGGATAGAACTTCAGTTCCAATACCAGAGTTCACGTTTAAGTGGATCTTTTCCTTTTTAAGGTATTTCTTTCCCGCGGGAACCACAAATTCAGGAAACGTGAATGGAATATTCAAAGAGAAATCGCCATTTTCATACAGTATTTTCTGAGACCAGCTCATTTTGATTGAGAGATTGGCTCCCCCATTGACCTTGGAAAACAAGAACAATGCATATTAGAGAAAAAATAAATAAATTGAAGATAAAGGATTCTTCATAAGTAATTACCTGGGGTGTTGTTAATGTAAATATATGTGGTTTGAGTTTGAGAAAGCCTCCCTCTGCTTGGGCCATCTTCTCTATCTCCTTTTCATCTTCCAATTGACTTAGTTGAGTATGGTACGATTTACCATTTACGTCGACCTCAACACCTAGAATTGAACCCTGTTAGCCAAAATATACATTGCTTAACAAGAGGATCAAAATCAACAGACACAAATTCAATCAACTTCAAAGTTCCATTTCTGAAAAATAACATCACTATCTAACTTCACAAGCCCAACAGCTTGTTTGACAACCAGAGACTCAAAAGAGATCGAATTCACAGACGAACACTTTAAAAAGATTCAAACTTTTCTCAATTCACGTACCTGTTCACCCATAGGAATGGCAACGCGGCAACCGCAGCTCTTGTTACCCTTGACGCAATGGACCCTCCACGACCCGGTGACCCGAACAAAGGCGGTGTCCATATAACAATCGACCTCAAGCTCGACCCGGTTCATCGGGAAAGGAATGAGCGCGGCGGGGTCGCACCTGCCGTGCACGTGAGGCTGGTAGCTGGGGATGTCCGGGTTGTCGACGATGGCCGGGTCAAAAATGACCGCGTAAACCATCGGTGCCGTCGGGAGGAAGGCGCCCGACGTCGTTTTGTCCATCGACGGCGGCGGCTTCGGCGGTGACACCGCTCGATCCTTCCCAAAGTATAATCGTTTGGAGAGCTTGAGACCGTCATCCACGGCTTTGGAGAACTCCTCGGCCATTTCGGACGATCAGGGATTGGGATCCGAGATTAGGGTTTGTGAGAGACGAGAATGTTATATCGGATTGATGTTCAACGCAAATTGCAAATTAGCGAGCGAGAGAGATGACAGAGAGAGAGAGATGCGTGTGACCGTTGGGAATGGGGTTTTGCTTTTTTTTTTGAATATTTAGGCTGGTTTTTCGATGGGCTCCAGTTTGAGAGACCAGCTGGCTTTCGGACGAATGGACGATCAACACGTGGGGTTCCGGCTGGGAATTGGGATCGTGTACTTTGCGGAGGACGCAGCGTTGCGTGTTCAGTGTGCTGGGTAGCGAGGATTGGGTGGCGCCATTGAAATTGTACGTCGGCGAATCGAAGCGCGTAATCTAACTTCAATGGTTGATTGCGCGGATGATTAAGTGGATAATTAGGAAGTGCGATTGATTAGGACGTGGATCTTTTTTTTCCTAAACGAGAGATTAACATAATGGACTCTCGTGGAACGTTGAATTGACACCCTATGAGCTGTCGCTTGGATATAAGGTCAACGTGGCATTGCTGTCGTCTATCTGTTTGTGTCACTAAAAATATTAGATGGAGTAGATTTTGTGACACGAAAGGAACTTAATTAAATAATTTTTTTTTTTATATAAAAAAGGAAAAAGATCAGACGAGACGTGAGCCATGACTTGAGAGTCAAATTATTCCTTCATTTTTTATTTTTTCCAGTATGGATAGTTTGAGAGAGAGAATAAAATCTAGGCGGGCGCCAACACATTGAAACGAACTTAACAAAATTGGAATCATTGATCAATAGTCACTTTTTTATCCCTACCTCTTTCTAGAATTTGTTATCGGCACTCTGAAAAAGTCATCATACGTAATTGATTCCGATGAAAGGTCAACCGATGCATTTGAAGTTGATATACATAGGAAAAAAAAATGTTCCTCTCCTCTGTGACAATAATGCTTATATACCATATCTAAGGGGAATGAAGCTCTATAGACTATTTGTAATTAGATATAAAATGTACAGTAATAAATTATCAGACAGAATTTCACATCATATCCATTACTAGATCAGTCTTGGCACTAATATGCAGAATATTTGAACCTCACTTCAAGAATGCCCTTCTCAGCTGTACCTGTAGCGGTGCTTTCTCCGACAACCACCGAGTTAGGATTAAGCGAAATAACCAAAACTTAAGAGAAGCTAGGGATTCATTTTGTCCACAGTATGTTATCGCCTGTGAGCCATCTGGTTGCCATTTTCTGCCCTGATCAAACTTGGCACCTAACATCTATGCAGAACTCCACTGCTGACATCCCCCCTTCTTTGAGATCGCAGCATTTATAGGAGATTGGCATTCAGATAGCAGCATAGAGGCCTTTAGCGTTTTACCTGACCCTTAGAACCCTTCCGAGGCATTTGACATCAGCGTCTTAATTCATTGGACTAGATTTGTGCAAAAAGAATTTCATTCCATGTATCTGGAACACCAGGTAAACACCAATGCAGACAATCTTGCACCCCTGATTTGGCTGTAATGCTGAACCGAGATATATGACCCTCATCCCGAACCTGGGATAGAGCTGTTATGTCCAAGAGCTTAACCCCTGTTCCCTGCACTGCGCCTGCAGCATCTGAGTCATTTGACACATCTTGCAATACTTCCTTTCCTATTGACATAGGAGTGGTGTTGTCACAGCTTCCTCCTGTGTTCCAGTCCCCACCAACAAAATGCCTAGGCGAGAGGGTCCGGTAGAACGCTTTGAGACCTGGATATTTTGGGAGCTGTGAGTTCACCCAATTAACAACACTGTGGACTGTCACATTCTTGGCCCTCCAAATCACTGCTATCTTCTTGTTAGTGTTTGGCACACCCCCAACATGCATTACCCAGCGGTTAGCCTTAAGCTTTCCACGATTCCAGTGGTGCCCTGTATTGAGGACCAGGACATCAAATTTGTGAATATAATGGCGCAAGAACGCTGGTGGCCGATCAAGGTGCATGGCATAATCAGTGGCTGGGTTTGTGACATTAATAGGCTCCACATCGCAGAGGGTCGATGACCAGTAATAGAGGATGGTAGTGTTCGTGCTTGGGAACCGGTATGCCCAACCACTAGGGCGGGCATCACCACGTGCCTGGGCTATCCCATACTCCATCCCCACATCCATGACATCATGTCTCTCCTTACCACCTGTGATCATACACATTAAAGACTGGAACTGCTGTCGGCCCAATGAATCTCCAACAAAAGCTAGAGTTTTGTCTTGCATCCTGAAAGCAACAACACAATACTCACATTATAAATCATCCAAAGAGGTTAAATACCAAAAATTTCAAATAGTTGAGAGGACAAGAGAAAATGGGATGCAAGGTAGCATATGAGGTGACCATTATTTGGACAGCCCTGCAAGGCCTAGCAACTAAGGTAAAGTGCAGAAATACCAATGGTCTATGAAGCACCAACATTTCCTCGAAGGAAACTTATGTTTTCAAGATAAGAGGCATTGCTTCTAAGTGTAGTCATGATAGACCTCAAAGGAAGATTACCCTACTTTAATATATTATCTGAAGAAACGATCTACTAACTCAAACACTGCAACTTGAGAAATTTGTTAACTTGAGGAAAAAATCTGTTGCATTATAGGGAAAACAATCATTATAGATCAGATTTATAGACATGGGATACTACAGCCACATCAGACCAAGTCCAAAATTTGGAAAAATAAAAAATTTATATAATGAAACCTTCCGCATGATGACTTTTAATTTTAAATTTTAACATTGTAATACCTTTTCAAGAACTTAGAGCCTTCAAATTCTTCCATTTGACAATCTTTTGGCTGCCATGAAAGTTTTTCATAGGCAAAATCTGTCCGCTGTGTCAACTGGCAAGCCCACATCCCTGACAGCCATTGCTTGCAACCATGCCCAGAATACAAAGGCTTCTTATTGTCTACAACCCATTTTCCTTTCGCATAATTACAGACTGGTGCTGTGGTCAGATAAATGAGAATGAGTAATCAGTGATATAATCACAAAACAGAAAAACATATTGGTCTAGATAGATTCTCTTGATCGATCTTTCCATAAGTTAAAAAGCAAAATACCCTGCAAGACAATTTTTCAAAAACAAAAGCCTAATTTATAACATAACTTCAAGAGTTACCTGGAGTTTGCGTGGGAGTTGTCAATTTGTCAACTGAGGTATTTGTATATGTAGAACCTATTGGTGTCATTAGGTCCACATTTTGGTTCTGTAGGTCAGAATTCTTTTCCTCGGCTTTTTCTTTGTGTCTTGTATCAACTGCTGTTTGTTCTTCTTGATTTGAACCTTTTTCTTCAACTATTTCTACGTCCTTTCCATCAGCCTTTGTTGAGCAGGTGGAGCATTCTGCATTGCCATCTCTATCTGCTTCCTGAACTTGCTTATCTTTTGCTCCATTTAAGAAAATCCCTGCACCATGATAATATACAAAATTTAAATCCATATTATTTCATGATGTTTAAAGCATATAGATGACTTTGGATGTAATGTTAAAAGCAAAACAGATTTAAGGAACCATGAACGTGGAAATTTGAACATGTTAAATTGTAGAAAAACACAAGACAGTAACATCATAATAAGATTATTTCAACAGAAAAAATATGATTTCGCAACACTACTCATGCTACTCTTATGAGCACAAGAAGTAGAGATATACAATCAGAACAGCAACATATAAATCAAAAACACGGACCAATACAAACTCTTCATATAGTATCTAACCCAAAGAACACACAACAACAACAACAACAAAATTAATAAAAGAAACAATATCGTACCACTCTCCTTAACGTGGGTTGTTACTAGATCACTACTAATCTCATTGCTTTTTTGAGAGCTTTGCTCAGAACCTAGTTGAGCTGCGACATATGATTCTTCTTTTACAGTGTCCCTTTGTGCAAACGTTGCTACACCTCTGTCCACATGTATTTCTGGTTCTGATGGTACAAACTCTACAGAGTTATCTACAGAATCATCATATGTCTCTGCACCATACATGAAAAGGAAAATACGAACTGTGAGTAAATCTACGAATTGTTATTCAGTGCAACCAAATTGTAAGCTAATGACAGAAAGTCAATAAATTTTGTCTAAAGGAAAAGGAATGTACTATTGGAGACAAACCTGGATCCAACTCTAAAAGGGTTTGGGGCGGTACCAAGTTAGTAAGAAGTGGGGTCTTCTCCCATCCCCATATAAGAATGGCGGTACACATGAGAACAATGGTAATAAGAGAGAGATGTTTACCCTTCAATCCATAAAAGCTTCCTTTCATTCTATATGCACAATAAGAGATCAAATAAGAATGTTAGAACTTAAACCTAAGCAATGACACATAGTTTCTGGGTATTGAAATTCATATATAGTAATTTAACAGTTGCCCACTTCAAACAAATTGATTGCAGAAACAAAAACCCAAATCAGAGAAACAATTCCATTGTGGATGCAAAATCCTAGCATACAAAAGGTTAAGCAATCATGGGTTGTTCTAACTTCCAACAAAATTTCGGATTATAAGCTGAAAAAATAGCATTCTCCGCACTCCATTTAAAACCTACCTTTCATTTTCTCAGTAACATGCAAAAGCAGATCAAGTACATATTTCCCAATACAGAAAACCAATATGGCAAGAGCTAAAAGCAAATATAGAAGAAAATAAAATGGATCTGAAATGGTATAAATTAGAGATTAGATTTTAGCTGAATCTGAGAAGAAGAATACCTGAGAGGAAAACAGCCCAAAAACGTCAGCAACCTCCCGATAAATCAAAACAGCAACAAATAGTTGCCGAAATAGCATAGAATATCTGAACAAATTGGGAAGTTGATGAAATTTTATAAGGAAATGGAGCCGTGGAGAAATTTGTTTGGCATAACAAGGTGTTAAGAAAAAAAAATATAATCAGCAAAATAAATAAATAAATAATGGGTTTGGACGCACATCACAGAGCCTTGAAGACGTTTAGGCGCATACACACACAGTTGTAGACAGCAAGCGTACGGAGATTCAAACATTGACGACGACTTACGAGTATCACGGAAAATTAATAAATTTCAAAATTTTGACAAAAACATAATGTTGTTTTATTTTTAGGAAAAATCAACTAATTAATTACCATAAATTAGTGTGATTGGCACATGAAAAATGAGTGCGTGTCACGATGAAAATTTGTTTTCATGTCAACTTTCGTGGTTAAAGGCGTCAAATGACTTGACTCCATATATTCGTCTTTTTCTTTATGTTCTCTTCTTTTTATAATTTTTTTTATGTTCTTTTTATTATAATAACAAATGGTCATAACTCCAAATGTCATTCGAAATGGACACAGTTTTTGCTGAGAGGTCAGAGACAAGGATCATGATTAAGGATGCTACTTGCCTCCTCTCTTTTTCTTTGTCAAAAATACTACTCGCTTTTTTATTACTTGTAAAAAAATACTTTTTCTTTCTGCGAATTACAGTTTAATACATATGCAAAAATAATTTATAAAAAATATAAATAAAAAAAATTTATCCATACATGTCACACTGCTATTAACAGCAAACTAATGTATATGAGAGGAAAAAAAAACCATGGTTAACTGATTATTTTCTTTTTGCGTTTTTTATGAATTATTTTTGCATATATGTCAAATTATAATTTGCAAGAAAAATGAGAATCTTCTTACAAGTAAAGAGGATCCATTTTATATTCATCTTCCTAGAATGATAGGTCCCTTTCACAATCCAATAAAAAGATTTATGGATTGTAATTTTTGTACTTCTAATATTTGAAAACACATTTAGTGTTGACTATGAAATTATTTTCAAAATCATGAAAATATTATCGGCATTAGTATGTGAGTCGGAATTCGGAATTCGTCTCGTATCAAGGGTTGATGTTCGGAAGTGTGGATTTTGGTTGAGGTCTCAAGTCCTCATGTCTAGATGTCGAGTTTGGAGTCCTAAGTATTCTAACCAAATATTGAGTTTGAGCTCAAGAGAATATGAGATTCAAAATTTAGAATTCGAAGTACCATGCCTAAAGAATTTTGAATCCAATATTTCGAAAACAAAAACATAGAAAATAACTTTTTGCGATTAGAATTTCATTGAAAAACTCATTTCCAAAGAACCCTCTGCCAAACGTATATATTTTGAAAGCATCACCTGCGGACTAACTAGTCATTCACGAGCCAAAATGTAATTTTATGAGGTTAGCCAAGTGTGACTAAGCAAGAAAGAGAAAATAAAACTAGTCAATCTTTACAATATATAACTTTTTTAAGTTAAAGTTTTTTATTTTTGGGTTTCACTTTATGGAAATAAATTAAATTTTAAGGTTAACCAAGCTTTTATCTAGCATTGGTGGACGAGCAAAATATAAAAATAGCTAGTTATAATAATTTAACTGATCATAAATATGGGTCAGATGTTCAAAGTAGTAGTGTGTCTACCCCTTTGTATTGGTTTGAAACCAAACAATTTCATCAATGTGCATCCGATCCAATATAAATTGGATTATGACTTTTCCAATCCGATCAGATCACATTGAAGGTTTATCGTCATTGGATTGGATTGGATTAGATGATCGGTTTTCATAATAAAATATGAAACATTTATCGTCAAATTTAATATAATCAAACATTTTAATATAAATAAATGTAAAATATAAATGAAATGCTACATAAAATTATTTTGATTTTATAATATATTAAACATAACTCCATCAAATTACTTAAAATGTTTATAACTTTCTTAATGAAAATTATCAAATGAGCAAAATAAATATGAAACTAATTAGATTGGATTGAATTGGATCATCACAAACAAATATGTCATTCAATGTAATCATGTCAGTTTTGAAAATTAGGAATCCAAGGATTGCCAAATTATCGAAATTGATTAAAATTAGATTGGAATGGATCGATCGATTTGATCAGATTAAATTGAATCTTACAGACCCCTCGAACCCCATGTCCGCGTATTAAAATAATTAAAAATATGGCATTTTTCAGGAAAATAAAAAACTTTACTAATCATTTTAACTCAAATTTTGAATAAAGTTTTTTTTTTTTTGGTCTGAGAATAAAGTTTAGCTATCACATGCAAAACGGTACGGTTTTCTGAATCATATGTCAAATGGGCCCTAACATTTTATGGTCTAGTGCTTTCACAAAGAATTGGGCCTCCCCTGTCAGGTTTGTGCGCTTTTACGACACGGTCCCTTTAGGAACGGTTCACTCCACGCCACACTGCTCGCGTCACTCTCCACGACAAACAAAGGAGAAGAGGAAGAAGAAAAGAGAGGAGTTCAGCTGACTGAAGCAGCAGCAGACACAAAAGGTACCCTCTTACATCACCTTCAGGTAATCTTAGGTTCGCCTCCTCTTTCTTCTCCCACTTTAATCCCTAACTATCCATCGTCGGAACGTCGTCGTACTAGGCTCTGCTGGAATGGCCCTTAACTCGGAGTTCACAGAAGGCACCGAAGCGGCCAACTCTCTCCAGTCTATCTGCTACAAGCGTGGCTCGCTTCAGCTACTCGATCAGGTCTCTCTCTCTCTCTCTCTATATAATAATAATAATCCAATTAATTTCGTTTTTATTTATTGTTTTTGGGTAATTTAGCTCTGTAAGTATAGAATTAGCTTCCAATTAACTGTTAGGTTTGTGGGTTTTGAACAGAGGAAGCTACCTCTGCAAACTACATACTTGGATATCCGAGACTCCACAGATGGATGGTAAGGACCAAAAAAGCTCGCTCTTTCCCATTTGCATTTAACTGTTAATTTGTCAAATTCACGATTTGGGTTTGTTGTGTTTCAGGCATGCGATCAAAGATATGGTGGTGCGCGGTGCGCCTGCCATTGCCATTGCCGCAGCTCTGTCCTTGGCTGTAGAAGTGTTTAACTTGGAGGATTTCAATGGAACACCCGATGAAGCGTTTTCTTTCATTGTAATGAAATTGGAATATCTGGTCTCCAGGTTTGCACATGTTATATATTATAATTTTCAGGTGTTTAAATTGTATAGTTTAGAAGATGGCATTCTGATTGTGTTGTTTTTTCTTTGATGGTTCTTCAGCCGACCAACTGCTGTCAATCTTTCAGATGCTGCAGCTAAACTAAGACAAATTGCATCCACGGTAGCTGCTGCAACTTTGGATGCGAAGAATGTGTTTGAGGTATTAACTAATTACTTCTATAATTCTATTGTTTTAGGTTAGTGACATTGTACTTGCTGGTACATGCTTCATTTCTGTTGCTAATATTCCATTATACTTGCTTTGTCTGTTTTTTTTATAGGCTTTTATAGAAGCTTCTGAAATTATGCTCAAGGACGATGTTGCTTCAAACAAGGCTATTGGGTCTTATGGAGCAAGTTTCATTCAGCACCTACTGGAAAACTCTAAGAGCATTTCTATGTTGACCCATTGCAACACTGGCAGGTATTTTTCTTGGGACGCATCCTTCATGATTTGGTTATTGCATTTTGTGGTTGCCTGTATGGGTTTTGTGTAGGTTGAGCATGTGCTCCACAAATAAAGGGTGGTCATGAAATCCCTACAATACATTGTGGAGGTTTTACGTATATTTACTGAATTTTGCTTATAGGTCTTTTCTGACTGTGTTATGTTTTGTATTTCTAGTCTTGCAACAGCTGGTTATGGTACTGCCCTTGGTGTTATACGTTCACTTCATACTGAAGGAGTGTTAAAAAGGGCCTATTGTACAGAGACACGCCCATTCAACCAAGTGAGCGTCTACTCTTTAGTTGTTCATAGTTTTCTGTTAGCATCCTCAAAAGAATTCTCCGTGGTATTCACCTATATAAAATGAGGAAATTAGTTAAACAAAGTGATCTTGAGAGGAGTTGCATGCTGTTGTATTGTGTGTGGTGTAATTGTTAGGTCATTGAAATGGTTGTTGTATTTATCCTCTCACTTAGTTTAAGCATTCAAAGTGCACTACTGAATATTATTGATAAATATTTTTAAATATATATAAATTATTATGATTCCCAACTAAATGCAGGGATCCCGACTTACAGCATTTGAGTTGGTGCATGATAACATACCTGCCACTCTTGTAGTAGATTCGGCTGCAGCTGCATTAATGAAAGATGGACGTGTGAATGCTGTAGTTGTTGGAGCAGATCGTGTTGCTGCAAATGGTATTTGAAACGAATCAACAACTCATTGCTTTAGCATTCTTATTTACAAAGGTTTTGTGTAGCTGATTTCCTTTTCACTTACTTCAGGTGACACTGCGAACAAGATTGGGACCTACAGTCTTGCCGTAATCGCAAAGTACCATAACATTCCATTTTTTGTTGCTGCACCACTCACTTCCGTCGACTTAGCTCTTTCTTCTGGACAAGAGATAATAATAGAGGAAAGATCTCCAAAGGAATTGTTGCACTCACAAGGGGGACTCGGGGAACAAGTTGCTGCATCTGGAATCTCTGTCTGGAACCCAGCGTTTGATGTTACCCCTGCTAATCTAATTGCCGGCATCATAACAGAGAAGGTATCCACTCTCACTCTATGAGAAATAATCAATTAGAGCCTGTTGTGTTTGAATCTGATGACCTTTTGTTATCTAAGCAGGGTGTCATAACAAAAAAGGGCACCGATTCTTTCGACATAAAGGGTTTTGTTCAGAAGGCAGCCTTGCAGTCCGGTGCATAGCAGATGCTTCTGGGATTGGATGAAACATACACCACTGGTTTATTGCCGTGTAACTTAATATGAAGAGAGCTATGCGCTATATATGTTAAATAATTGGGAGAATCAGTCTTTTGCCCCAAGTAATGACTTTTTTCCCAAAATGTAAGCCGGCCATTTTATGGTATTATTGGTCGATGTAATAAGTACAAAGTTAATAATAAATTAGAAAAGCAGCTGTTGTAGATTTTAAGGCAAATTTGTGTGATTTTTTTGGGACCTTAATCCATGAATGTGAATGTTGTGTGTATGTACCCAAAACAATATGTACGGGGCTTATGGCCTGTAGAGTCAATAACAATTTTCTTTGGGATGAAGCGTAACAGATTAATGGCCGAAGTGATTACATTTTCGTTGCATTTGTTGACTAAAATTCTAACAGATGTTGCATTCCTTCGCTTTTTTATTTAAAGAAAAAAAAAATCATTCTCGGAGAGAAAATGTGATTTGAGCTTGTGACTTCTTCCAATATTAAGAATAGGAAAGGTATAATAATTAGAGCCCCACCACTGTATGTAGCCCCAACCCACCAATGTTTAGTTGAGAAAATGTGATTTGAGCTTGTGACTTCTTCCAATATTAAGAATAGGAAAAGTATAATAATTAGAGCCCCACCACTGTATGTAGCCCCAACCCACCAATGTTTAATTGGTAAGGCCCTTGCATTGTATGTGGTTGGGTCTCACATGTAAGTTCTTTCGATTAGAGATTGTGAATCTGTTCTAATGCTGGTGGTGAGAGTAGTCAACCTCCATGTAAACTATTTTTCATAAATAAATAAATAAAATTTAATAATTAGACTAACAACTAATTGATAAATAATTCATCATTTTCGTTATGTTACATGACATGAGTGAGAGTTTGGATCACATTGAAAGTGTTAATGGATTATAGTAGCTACTCCTACTAGCCATGCAACGACGTCGTAACGGCCCAGCATTTTGGCCCATATCAAATATCAAACTCTTCATTTTTTCCCCATCAGTCTCTCTCCTCTCACAAAAATTTTGCTTCACGAATGACGACCAGATTGTGTCATCTGTGAAAAACGAAGAAGAATTCTTCTAATACAAAGTATCCAAGCAATTAGCTTTTTCGTTTTGAGGACAAATACTTGGCCTGAAAATTGGGTGGTGTTTGGTTACAAGGGGCAAGTGGAAAAATGAAGAAATCACCATTGCCGTTGCAAAATGCATGTGGCGGTAGTAAGAATCAGAGTCTGGGAAAGGAAGCTTTGGTGAAGCTATTGAGGTGGCATTTTGGGCATCCTGAATTCAGAGGCAAGCAATTGGACGCCATTGAAGCTGTCTTATCAGGTATATTGTACCTACATTTTCTTCATGCCTGGACAATCTCATTGTTTTTGCCTGTTTGGTTGCTCAGAAAGCGTGGGAAAATGTAAACACCTGACCTTGGCAAAACCCCATTTTCTTTTCTTTTTTTGCGTTTTCTGGGTTGCAGGAAGAGATTGCTTTTGTCTGATGCCAACTGGTGGCGGGAAGTCAATGTGTTATCAGATACCGGCCCTCGCCAAGAAAACTGGAATTGTGCTTGTTGTTTGTCCTTTAATAGGTGAATTAGATGTATAAATACATTTAGTGTTCGAAAAATCGGCCTGGGCGGGTTGGTGTTTTTATATAATTTTTTTTTCCTGACTTTAAACCTCACCTTGCCTCTCTCTCCTCTGAGCCGTTGAGAGAGAGAGAGAGAGAGAGAGAGAGAGAGTTTGAGTCCGATACCGAGAGAGAGGGATATGGAGTGGAGGAAGAGTTAGACTTAGAGGCCTAGCCTTTCATTTCAAGTATTTTTCTTTGTAGTACTATTATATGCTTTATGCTTAACTTTTTTCTCATGTTTTATATCAATTATGGTAATTTATAATTTGTATATCCTTTTATTTTGCATGATTTTGGTATAAATTTATAATTTATAATTTATAATACAAAATAATTAAAAAGAAAAGAAACGCCTAGGCCCCGATTACTCCTCTAGGCGCTAGGTCCTTCAGAAAACTTTGCTGAAGGGCTTCTGATGGGGCCTTACTTCGTGCTGCTTGAGCTTCTTCACTTAGCCTTTGGCTATGAACCTTATCCAGGGTTTTACAAAGTGTGAATGCAAAGATTGATGCTGATATCACAGAGTGGAAGGTGGCCAAGAACCAAAAAAAACTCTATAATTATCTGAGATGGATTGAGATGAATGTACTGGCTATTTTAGTATTAAAATTTTGTCAAATCTCTATAGTTTATGAACTTTGGTTATTTTGTATGAAAATTTTGTCAAATCACTATACTGCCTAGCGATTTTTCGAACACTGATAATTTTTTATGTTTTACATGTTTTAACAAATGAAAATACTTTGTGTAAATGCTTGGACTTGGCTCTAAGTTTCTTATGCATTCTGTGTGCAGCTTTGATGGTAGGTAGGCCTACAATTGCTCTCCTGGACTTGTGGTAATTTTTGTACTATGAGAATTGAGGTGTGGGATTTTCGCATTTTTTATTTGACCAGGAAAACCAGGTGATGGCATTGAAGGAGAAAGGAATTGCTGCTGAGTATCTCTCCTCGACTCAGGCAACCCAAACCAAAAATAAGGTTGAAGTTGGATTCACAATATAATCTCTTGCTTTGCATTAAAATGATTTTCACTGTGATGAAAACCTTTGGGTTTATTTATATAGTAGTTTATACAGCTTTACTGAGCTTTATGAAGAAGCAGGAAGTTGTTGTTTGGTGATCACCTTACTTTGTATTAGTTCACTTTTATGGAGACTTCCTGCAGCATGCAAGCGTAAAAGCAATGACCCCTGATGAGAGTATTGATGTCTCTCCTTCACATTTTAGATCCATGAAGACCTTGATTCTGGAAAACCATCTCTGAGGCTACTTTATGTGACTCCAGAACTGATTGCAACACCCGGATTTATGACAAAGCTGAGAAAGATTCACACGAGAGGGTTGCTAAATCTCGTTGCCATAGATGAGGTGTGAAGCTAAATTGTATGTGTACCTGTAGCTAGTATATGTGAACATTTGAGTTTTCTCCAGAAGTTTGAGATTTTGTGCATAAGTTCATCTCTCTTTTGAAATTTCAGGCACACTGCATCTCTTCATGGGGCCACGATTTCAGGTTTGTGATACACATATATTTTAGCAACAATTGGTGTGTTTCACATTTATATTTATTATTTTGACCCAGACAATTTGGGGCTTCTAATTGATCTGAAACTTTAAGTGAATGTGATAATAAAACCAAAACTTTCTAAGAACCTTAATATGTGGTAGTAAAAGTCAGATGGAAGCATAATCCTTATCCCTCCGTCCTGTGTGCTGTTGATTCTATAGTTTCTTAAGATTTTCTTCTTTTCAATTCCTTTGAGATATGTACTGCTAGATTTTTTGACCTATTTGCCTCAACTTCCATATCATTATTATTTGTATAAAGTGAGAAATGGAGTGGTGGTAGTATTGATCTATATATAATATTGAAACTCTGACAATCAGGCAATCAGGTTCTTTCTTTTGGTTCTCTGTCTCCTTAATTGTTGTACTGAAACAGGCCTAGCTACCGAAAGCTGTCAACTTTAAGGAGCCACCTTCCAGGTGTACCAATATTGGCTTTAACAGCTACAGCCGTTCCTAAGTGAGTCTTTTGCTACACTCTGCAGAGAAACTTAGCTCATAATTTGCAATGCCTCTGACATTTTTTATCTTTCATTTTGGTTTTTTGCAAACGATGCATTGGTTTGTAGATTTAAAATTATTGAGCATCATTTTTTCTTTTAAAGTGAGAGGCGCTAACTATTGTATTTTCTTTAATCATCATATTGTTTTGTTTCACAGAGTTCAGAAGGATGTGATAGAATCCTTATGTCTTCAGCACCCGTTAATCCTAAAATCTTCTTTCAATCGTCCTAATATACATTATGAAGGTGCACCCTGCTTCCCTGACTTGATTCACGTCCTGTTTGTGACGTCTCTTGGCTAGTATTATACAAAGCTCGGGGAAGGATAGGAGTAGTTGTTAAATGTAACCTCTGCCATTACCTCACATCATGTACATATGGAGAAATCTGACCAGGTTTCTCTATAATGCAGTTCGATACAAAGATCTTTTAGATGATGTCTATGCTGATTTGTCTGATGTGCTAAAATCTAGCGGAGATGTCTGTGCAATTGTTTACTGCCTTGAACGTACAATGTGTGATGACTTGTCTGCTCATCTATCAAAAAATGGAATTTCATGTGCTGGTAAATCACTGTTTTTCATCGACACTTTATGGCCTATTCGGTAATGTTAATACTTTATTTCATTTAAAATAAATATGAAGAGATGGGAGATGTAGATGAGAGAGGAAGAATAATACAACAGTTTTTGAAATAAACAATTTTAAATGGTTTTCAGTTTTCAGTTTTGATTTTTTCTATTCTTCCTCCTCTCATCCTCACCTCTCTCTCTCTCTCTCTCTCTCTCTCTCTCTCACACACACACACACACACTTCTCTTCTCTCTTCCATTTTGTTTCCTTACTTAGTAAAATGTTAATAAATGGGCCACTAGTTATTGATTAGTAAATTCACCACTTTTGTATTAATAAAAAAATTGGCTTCCTTTTGCTACTTTCAGCTTATCATGCAGGGTTGAATGATAAACTACGGAGCTCTGTCTTAGATAATTGGATTTCTTCTAAGATACAAGTTGTTGTGGCAACGGTGGCTTTTGGGTATGATTGTATATATAACTTAAACATTTTTCTTCTTGCCTTTTGCGAAAAAAAATTATCTTATTGCCCCCAGCTCATGATTGGGATTGTGATGTCCTTGCCTCTTTTCTTTCTATATTTGTGCTTGGAGCTTGTTCTGGTGCATGCACAGTAATTGAGCTATTGGTGTCCCTTCAGGATGGTATGAAACTGAATTACTGTTTGTTTAAAGAAATCTTACAAATTTTTTTTTTTGGTTCAACTCTCCAGTTGGAGATAATGTTTGGCATAATGTAATGTGGCTCTGGTTAATTTAAAGGGTATAGATAGAAAAGATGTCAGAATTGTTTGCCATTTTAATATTCCCAAGTCAATGGAAGCCTTCTACCAAGAGTCGGGTAGAGCTGGTCGTGATCAACTACTCTCCAGAAGCCTGTTATACTATGGAATCGATGATTGCAAAAGAATGGTTGGTTTAATAACACTGCTTACTTCGATGCCTGTATACGCTTAGTTCCATTGTTCACTTTAGTTTCTTTCAATTGATTATATTGTAGAAATTTATTCTAAGCAATGCTGATAACAAGAAGTCAAAGGCCTCAAACTCACAGGAAGAGTTGTCAAAAAAAACCCTGACCGACTTCCAGCAGGTGACACCAATAACTTGTATAATGTTTGAATGAATTCTACATAATTGATGTTTATTGGAATCTGAATTGAAACACATGTAGATGGTCGAGTATTGTGAGGGTTCTGGATGCCGTAGGGGAAAAATTCTTGAGACTTTTGGTGAAAAGGTAGTATAACCTACTGAAACTTTTGCTTCATATGTTTCTAGAATGCAATATCAATGCTCCAGAAGAGCTAATTACTGACATAATTCGAAACAGGTACCTGCATCACTATGTGGAAAAACATGTGATGCCTGCAAACATCCAAACTTAGTGGCCAAGTATTTGGAGGAGCTTGCAAATACTTGTATCGTCCGGCAAAAGTTTGGTTCATCTCGAATTTTTATGAGCAGGTGGCCTATTTTTATCTAGTGCTGATATTTGCAGTGTTATTTAAATTCTTTCATGTCAATGTAACCAGGCGCATGCTTATTCATTAATGTCTGACTTTCAGCTCTTCAGATACGATTAATGAAGTTCGAACCTCTGAATTCTGGAATCGTGATGATGAAGAAAGTTGTTCTGAGGACGACATATCTGATTCTGATGGTATTTTATTTACCCCAAAAAAAAAAAAATCTATTTTTTCTTTTTTGGGTTTGTGGGGTGGGGCAGGAGGTATGGTAATTCGTGTATCTCATTCACTCTTTTCGTCAAATGCCAGATGGTCTTGCAGTCAAGAACCTTGCCAGGTCAAAGTTGCCAAAAAAGTTGGGAATCAGTGAAAAAATTGAGTGCTTGCAGCGTTTAGAAGAAAGATATTACCCGGATAAATCTTCTGATAAGCAGGTTCTTTCTGACATACTGAATGGTCTTGCAATTAGAAGTTTTAGAATTTCATATGTGCCCTAACGTTCTTTATGTGCTTTAAGAACCATTAGTTGCTGGATCCGCCACTTGATAGTATGATTGCCATCCAAGTGGCAATTGACATGTTAGCTAACTTGCTAAAAAACTGCCGTACATTCACTGTTCATATATATGATTTATAAGGGTAGATCTAAAATAATCTCCACTTAGACCTTTAACCCTGAACAACTATTATTGCCTAATTTGACCACAGATAAATAAACCAGAGAAGAATGCTATATCTGATACGCTGAGGGAAACAAGCAAGCAAAGATTACAAAATGCTCTCAAGCAGGCTCAGCAGCGGCTTGGTAACTTAAAGTAAGCTCATTGCAACAAACCAGTTAACCACTTGAGACATTAATTTTTCTCCCAACAATGGAACTATCCTTCTTTTGTGAGTAATCTGGAGGTCCTCTAAGTTGAAAATCTTCTATGCAGGATTGAAGTGGAAAAATCAGCCTCTTTTCTCGAAAATGAGTGTTACAACAAATATGGGAAAACTGGGAAATCTTTTTATTATTCTCAAGTGGCGAGTACAGTGAGGTGGCTATCATCTGCAGATTATACTGGCTTAACTAATCGCCTTGGCACCATTAACAGTTCCCTATCAGACGATGCTCTGCCTGAAACAGAACCTCCTGCAGCACAATCACCTTTGGTGGAGGGACCAACAGAAATTAACAGCAGTGATTTCCATGATAGTGTTAGATCAGAAACTTCTGTAGCTGTGTCACCAACGGAAATTGCTTCCCCAAGTACAAGGCTGCCACCAATTCCGTCCTTCTCACAGTTTATCAACACCAGAAAGACAAAAGACAACAGATCAAGTGCATCAGAAAAGAAATCACCAAATGGAGTTCAGCAGAACCTAGATAAAAGAATGAGGTTGCAGTAGGTTGAATATCTTGGTTCTTTTATTTTATAATTTTTTTGAGGAAACTAGGCATACAGATACTCCGCAATTTCTTCTCATTGTCAATAGCTGATCTTCAGCAGTTATTTCCTTGTAGTGTTCAAAACCCAGCTATAAAATCTTACATGTGGGAGAGACATGTATATCTGGTTATGGTTATTTAGATTCTATCACAAAAAATCACAAATTGGATTTACCGTTCTACACCGTGATGGCAAAGAATTTAAGCATTTCTTTCTTGTCTATGAATTCAGGGGTTTCATCTCATTAACCTTCTTCCTTTGGGAAACTGATACGAAAGGTTGGCTGAGATATAACTAAAGCTTATTACAGAAAGAGCATTCAAAAATAAGCTTGGTTTGTGACAATCCATTCGTCCTATTGCCTCTTATTCATTTTGGTTCATGCTAGTGATGCTAGCAATTAGGTAATTTATGCATCTTTGAGTGGCAACTTGCCAATGAAATTGGTGTGCAGGCTTCCCAAGTAAAGATGATCCTCAAATTCCAAAGCATTTGTCACAAACGACATCACGCTTCCATCTGGATCCTCAAGCTTCTTCACAATCTTACCATCAGCTGCCACATTCACCGCCATGGCTTTTGTGCGCAAGCCACTGACTAGTTCAGTCAATTTCCGAGATGATGCTATCAAGTGTTTGGCTGCTTTGGAGGTGTGGACAAACTCCAGCCCCTCTGTAGTCAACTGTGTCATGCATCCAAACACGTCATTCTAGTTGGCATATGCTCTACCAAAAATTCTTGGGAAAGAGGTGGCACTGTCACATTGCGTTATACTATATATATAACCACCATGTGACATTGTAACTGTCACACCGAAGAATTTCTCGTGGTTCAATAAATGAAAAATGAACATAATTAAGGTTGTATTACCTGAAGTAGAGCGATCCAGAAAGATCCATCTGGGGCAAGATTGATGTTGTCAGGTCCACCAGGAAGGTTCTCAATGAAGATCTCTGTCTTCCCTTTGTTCTCTCCCTTCAGCCAATGCCTTTGGCACCTAAATCTGACCCATAAACGCAATATTATTACATGATAATTTGGTTTAAGTTTTTCCTAACTGATGAATGAGCAAGAAGTGTTAGTCACATCATCAAGCTTACTTCCATGTTTCACAGACCACCAGATAATCTTGGTCTTTGGACACTGCAACTCCATTAGCAAAACCCAAATTATCAAGTAGGATTGAAGTCTCCCCTGATGATGGATCGTACTTGAGCAGCTGCCCATGTGGTTTTGCCTCTAGCACATCTAGATACCAATCATGGAGTCCAAATTTGGTGCTTGCAACACTAAAATATAGACTGCCATCTGATGCCTCAATCACATCATCTGCAAATCTGATTTCAACATGAATATAATAAGGCTAGCCACATTTAGATATCAAACTCATCACAAATAAATTTTCACATCCATAATACTACATTCAATCTATTCATTTACGTCAACGGATCTAGCCTAGTGGAAAATGGTCTTAACTTGTAGAGCAGTGGTCTCGGGTTTGAACCCTCCATTGGCACCTTGATAGAGTGTGTGTGTGAGAAACTCTCATTCCTTTGTAGTTAGACTATCGCTTATATTTTTTTTATAAAAAAAAAACATCTTTTCATTTATTGGGCCATGCATTTATTTTCAACTGTTACCAACATCTATTGGGCTTATTTTGTGATAAGAAGCACATGCATCCTTTGTTACTGGGTCGGAGAGTTGTGGACCCAGGATCCCTTTGGGTCCACTGGTACCTCCATGAAAAACACGGGTGGAATATTTGTGGGGTTCGTACCAACATTGTCTTACTGAACCATGTTTTTGCATTTCTATTGGATATGCTTTAGCAGAAGAGAGTTAATGCATCAGACAAAAACACAGGCTGCTATCAAAGAAAAAAATCTCAGATTAAATGTCCAAACAAAACCCTTAAGAAAAAGTACCAAAATTTGATTGCAACGGCCATGGATTCATATCGAATACCAACAGACCATGATGTGACATGTAGCAATCGGTCGCCCAAATTTTTTTTTTTTTTTTTTGGGACGAATCGGTCCCAATATAAAACCAAAATAAGAAAAAAGATTCCTTACAGTATCATCGCTAAATGGTACAAATCCCAATTTCGTGAGGAAACTGCCACAGCTCACAATAGAAGATGACCTATTAGATTGTTCTGTTCTGTCACATCAGAAAATATTTGGCATGGCTTGCACATGGCTCTTTTTCAAGTGAACGCATTGATTTCTCCAGCCATTTTCCACAGTTGGATGAAATCACAGCCAACTTGTGTTCATGTAGTTTTTATCTTAAGGGTAAATCAATTGATTTTGCAGCTTTTTGCACATTTCAAGAATGAAAAATTATCTGACTACACATGCGTTCAGAAACATGTTATACCATATTGGTCTTTATAGTGTACCTCCTCTTACCTTATTTTGGACCCATTAACATGTGAAGTGAGAAGCTTGACACCATTTTCAGTAATTTTAAGCAAACCCTGCACAAATCACAGTAACATGCAGAAAAATAAGCAGAAAAACTTACTTGTAACTGTCCGGTCAATAACACAATGACGCATGAAAAAATTATCTCACATGTCATTGTATTATTAACCGGAATAGCAAAAAGTGTTATTCTCGTTGCAATGAAAGTCTTTTTCGAAAAATAAGACTAGAGTGCTCTGCTTTAACCAGGCCACAGGCACATACAAGGGGATAAGAGGGGGTGGTCTTACCTCTTCAGTATCACATGCAACAACATCACCTTCCTTGGTGATTGTGATCCCAAGTACTGTATCACTGTTCACCCTTTTCCAGTTCTCCCAGTTACCATTTTTGTGAAGCCTTTTGATCCAACCATCTCTTGTAGCTGTATATATTGTCCCTTCTTTGTCCACATCAACATCTTCTGGTTTCAGAAGTACCCCATCCCCAAGTTTGATCACTTTCTACAGAAACCCAAAGAGGAGAAAGAAAAAGACAAAGCAATCAACTAATGATAACAAGCAGAGTAATTAAACAGACAAACATAACGATAATCACAAAGTTAAAGGTTATTAACACAAACTTGGAGCTTCACCTGCAATATGTTGTTTTTAGGAAGATGGGAAGCAGAAGATGGTGGAGGCAGGTGAAGTGAGACTGGGGATATTGGGGACGAGAAGTATATTTGAAGAGTGAATGCAAGCAAACATGCCAGAACAAATGAGGTTAGCAAATGCCTGAGAGCCATGGGACCACTTTTCTGCAGTGAGGTGTGTTTGCTTTTGCTGGAAAAAGATTAATGTTGATGAGAATGTTGCCAATATTGTGAAACATTCACATTGCAGTCTGAGTTAAGTTGTGGCTAAAAATTGCAGCTGTCAGGAAGATAGAGAAGCCAGTGAGTGACTCTGAATTATCGAGTTTCTCACTAAAACTTATTATTATTTTCCTTTTCAATTAATCATGATGAAGAAGAGAGAGAGTCTCTCTCATGTTTCAAATGTGTTTAGGATAAGGGTTATCTATTCAGTGGTCATGTTATTGTCAAATCCACCGCAACATCTTCCTGGGAACATCGTGTGATTGAGAGTTTTGGGGAAATCTAACCATCTCAAATTGCTAGAAGAAGAATTCAAAGATGGTAGGGAAACTGAATTTGAGAAAATTTAGCTGCTTCTAATTAGAATATTCTTTCTTTCTAATGGGTTTAAACTCTCCTTTAATCCAATATATTAAATATATATATTTTTTTAAATGAAGTCTTGATGGAGTTTTGTTTTCCATGCCAAACATGTCCTAATAAAATAGGCCCAAAAGTTCAATGATTGGGATATATTGAATGTATTTATTTACCCAATACTGGCAAAAACAAAAAGAGGTAGTTACCAAAATAATGACCTTGAGTCTCATAAATTCCCCCATGACCCAGTGTCCACCTAATGACACAAAATGATGCAAACCCATTTTTGGCCCCTGGCTAAATGCTAAATAGTAAGAAAATCCATGACACAAAACCCTTTTTTATAGCAACACTTTAATTACAAGAAATCCAAATAACTTAGACTTCTACTCTCTCTTCCCCTTCTCCTCCTCCCACAACACAAAGAAACACACATAAAAACACACACAGAGAGTCTTAGAGAGAGAGAGAGAGAGAGAGAGAGAGAGAGTTCAATGTTCTGCTTCATTCCATGGCTCTTACAACAAGTTCAGAGTCTCATCCAACCTCTACAAAACCAACCCCAACTCCTCCACCAATCGAAGTCGAGTGTGTGAAATGCGACTCTTGTGGGTTCACGGAGGATTGCACCCCTGCATACATCTCACGAGTCCGGGAACGTTACCAGGGCCGTTGGATATGTGGGCTCTGCGTTGAGGCCGTGAAAGATGAAGTCTTGAGATCAGATAGGCTCATCTCCACCGAAGAAGCCCTGAACCGCCACATAAATTTTTGCAGGAAGTTCAGATCATCAAGTCCTCTGCATAAAGAAACAGAGCACCCCATCTTTGCCATGGGTCGGGTTTTCAGGCGGAGCTTGGATACTCCGAGAGCTCTCAGGTCAAATTCTAGCTCTTCTCTTGATGGTGTCGAAAGTGTTCGCGGCCCAGCGCTTGTTCGTTCAGGAAGTTGCTTCTCTTCTCTGTCTAGGTGAATGGTTAGAGCACACTTTGCAGGTACATATGAAACAGAGGAACTCTGTTTTTTTCTTAGATATGATAACAAATTGGGTAATTTTGGCTCTCTTTTTTTTTCCTTTTTTTTTGCTCTAATGGATTGATCTTAATGGATTTTTAAGATAATTGCTGAGAAAACTAATATGACTGATCTAAGATTGTTTGTTTCTCTAGACTTTTTCAATGTATATATTCCATAATTTAATTTGCTTAAAATAAATTCTTTTCTTTTTCATTATTTTGTTTCTCTAGAGTTTGTACATTGTTTTGTTGTTTGAAGGAATATGAATGACATGGTTGTGTGATCAAGGTCAAGGTACATGAATTATACAAAAGGGTTGACAAATTAATGGAAATAAATCTAGGACCATTAACTGAGTGTATATAGGGTCTGGTTTCTGTATACAAATTCATGAAAGTGATGCCACTGCATTTTCCCTTTTATTCTGGTGTAATTACTAATTAGCTGGTTTCTTTCCTGTTTCAGTCATGCCCAGTTGTGTAAAATGGCTTATTTGAAAACAAACAAAAAAGAAAAAAGAAAAGAAAAGGTAAGAGAGAATTCAGAAACACAGAATGAAATTGCTGAGAAATTTCCCATAAAGAAATCAGGAAAGCAATTGTTATGTTATTTGATCCAAAACCACCAAGTTCACCCTTGCAAACTTCTGTTCAAATCCCCTCTCCCTCAATGCGGCAAAGTGATGAACACATTATGTGTTGATATTCAGTCAGCCAATATAAAGACAACACCACTTTCCACTTCTACCATGTGTTGTGCCACTAGACTGTCTTTCTGGAAGGAAGGCTGTGGATATTTCTTCCAGGTCTGAACACTTAGAATATATCGCATCTGACAAGAAAAAAACACACGATCTGTGGGACAGCCTGATTGTCACCGAATGCACTCACTCGGGTAGGTTCAAGGGTTTTTTTCTTCTTCTGATTTTTGTGTGTTAAAAGTCAAAACAACCCGAGTGAATGCAGTCGGTTATTTGAAATTAATAATGTTACCGACTAACTATTAATTTAGTGGTATTTCTCTGCCTTCTGTGATACTGCTTCATTCTTAATGTCACTAGGCATCTGTTTGATTTCAGAAAGACTTGGCATCAATCACAGAAGAAGTTTCGGTTGGGCAATTTCTTTAAACTAGTTTACCTAACCTATGATAAAACTATGGCCTCTTTTTTCAAGTGCTAAATTAATCATGGCCCTAATGTTCTTCACTCTACCATGCCACTGCATTAGAATGGATTATGACAGTTCATAATCTATTAAACCGTCCACGATTTGACATAAGATATTATGGAAGTTCGGTGGCCCCGCATTTGACAACAAAGGGGTCAACAATATATAGAGAAACAGTTCAGCCATTGATGCTAGCGTTTAGTATGAGCGTTACACACCATGTGACGGTGCAACTGTCACATTATAATATTATATAATGTACATATGCATGTAATAATTTCAAAGTATTCCTTCCAAGTGGTAAAACAGTTCAGACACATTTTCATTACCACCTATAGCATTTGACCGAAAGAAGAAGATGGCTCGATCGACAAAGAGCCTTCCTTGCTAAAAAACAGAAATGCTCTGCACTTCTGCTCGAGCAATTTGCAAGGAAGCTGTCCTCCTCGACCAATTTTCATGGTCGCCTAGCTTATCCGTTCACATTAACTGGTACTTTTTTTTTTTTCCTTACCTATCACCGGTTGTATACGACTAGTGGTCGATAATTTTCATAGTGGTACAAATTATCTGTTACCATCAACTAGCATAATTTTTCTTACCTATCGCCGGTTGTGCACGACCAATGCCCAAAGGATCATCAGAGATATCTTGGCCAAGGCACGAAGGTATTTCAGTGCTTGCCCTGTCAGTCTTAGTAGCATAATAAGATGAGCAAGCCAGAAACTAGTTTTAGATGGATTGAGTTAGTGAAAAGGTCAAGACTGCCAGACATTTCGAAGTTTAAGGCTGTCATTCGTAGCTATCTTATCTAAGTTTGTCGGACCCCAACAGGGTTATCAACTTGCACTATAAAACATCTGTTGGGCCCTTTTCTTGGATACGAGCCGAAAAGCAAAAGCACAAATGCCGCAAACCAACAAGCCAAACCATTCAGAAATTGACTGCTTTTATTTCTCAACAAAGATGAAGAAAGTTCCAATTTATTTATCAAGATTAGAAATCTGGCATCAGCATCATAAACGTCATAAACATCTGTTCAGGTTTCCTTTGGCACATTCAAGCTGGCAGGCTACTCGTAACCTTGACAGCAGATTCTGCTGAATGTACCTTCTTTGACCTGTCATGAACTCGAAATCATACCGAGCCCTGCCGGGAAGCCTGGTTCACTTAACCAAAATTTATACCCTGAGCAAGTGGTAGTTCACTCCCATAATTGATCGTACTGTAAAAGATAGAAAATATTCAAGTTATTGATGAAATATCCATGTACACAGTCCAACAATCAATGCAGATATGCAAGTCAGGATTCGAGCAAATCAGAAAGTGTCATGAAAGATTACCATGTCGAACGTCTCATGTATTGCTTCCAGGAGTCACTTCCTGCTTCACGACCACCGCCGGTTGCCTTTTCTCCGCCAAATGCACCACCAATCTCAGCTCCATTAGTAGGTATATTTACATTCACTATACCACAATCACTACCATGTGGCCTGCATCATATTTGAATGAAAACAATTAAACACTGTAGTTTGAAATGTTCATTTCACGAAATCAGTGTCACTTTCTAGGGTCGTTGCCCACTTTAGAAACTCACCCAATCCATTTAAAAATAGTTTCTGGCTTGCTTGTGAAGACTGAACTACTCAATCCTTGTGGTACCGAATTGTTCAGTTCAATTGCTTCTTCAAGAGTCTGCATATTTTGAAACAAAAAGTTGCAACATTTCATCCAAGAAGAAAGGTATAATAAACAATAATGCAAGAGAAACCTTTAATAAGTTAAGACTACCTTAATTTTCATAACATAGAGAACTGGGCCAAACAATTCTTCTTTCACCACAGAGGCATCTGAAGAAATCTCTACAATTGTCGGTTGTACAAAATTGCCATCTGACTCTATAACCGATCCGCCTGTAAGGATCTTCCCCCCCCTGAATAAGTAAATTACAACGTGTAAGACATAAGAATCTTTTTTTGCTCTGGGGTTGAGTGAGTGCGTGTGTGTGTGTGTGTGCTTCTCCAAAAGACAGAGAACATGCCTGAGATTTTATGGTTGAAATCCCCTTCTCAAAGTTCTCTCTCGAAGCCTGAGTATGTACTGGCCCGACTAGAGTTCCTTTCTCCAAAGGATCCCCAATTTTGACTTGCTTGTAAAGTCCAACTAGTTGATCCAATACACTTTGATATATACTTTCGTGAAGATACTGCACTCCAGTGAAGCCATATAAACACAAATTTGTACATTTTATTTAAAAGCAAAAAAAGAAAAGCAAAAAGCAAAGCAAAGAAAAACCATGGTGAAAGAAAGTTTACTTCTATAACCACATCAAATCACAAAAATGGAATTTTAAAGGATAAATAGTTACCAATCTGCGGCACGTTGTGCAGCGCTGACCAGCAGTACCAACAGCAGCAAACAAGATAGAACGCACTGCCAGCCCAATGTTGGCATCATCCATAACAATTAAGGCATTGTTTCCACTTAATTCAAGTAAGCATTTACCAAACCTCTCATTGACAAATTTTTGCACCTTCGAACCTACCTGTATTTGGTAATGTAAAAGATAAGCTTGGCGTCATGGTGATGGGGAGAAAAACAAAAATTTAGAAAGGCACATGTACATGACCAATGTACCTTTGAGCTTCCAGTGAATGAAACCAAGGGTATCCGTGTGTCTTTTGCTATTGCTTCACCAATTTCAGCTCCCCCACAGAAAGAGGTGAATATAGCACTTGGCAAGTTATTTTTTTCAAGAACTTCAGCAATTAGCTTTGTCACAGCAATAGTTACCAATGGAGTTGTTGGTGCACCCTTCCTACAATGCATAAACATCACAAGCAACCACTATTATAAAACCTGTATATCTTTTTAACGAAATAATATAATAAAACTCAATAGATTTAGAAAATATGTCATATTAACTTACTTAAGATATCTCGTAGTATAAAAGTGAAACAGTCAAGATATTGTGAGTACACTTAAATACTTATGCTCTGACATTACTGAATTGAAAAATTGATCAAAACTCCAATTCTGAAATCAGGAGCACGTATAAACTTACCATACAACACAGTTACCACAGACTAACGCAATGCAGGCGTTCCATCCTAAATCACCAAATAAAGAAAGAAGTATGGTTGGAAATCTTGCAGTTTAAAATTTATAACGCATACAGTGAATTACAGTGACAAATAAAGCACATCTTTAATAAACAAATTACTTTTCAATATATCCTTCTGCTCCTTCATTATGTATTATAATTATATGTTATACAGTGACAATGACAAGGTTTCCATGGCGCACAGAGGATTACTGCACTGATAAACAAGTGAACGAAACAACATTCAGTGAAGATCATTGCAGCTATGAAATGCCAAGATCATTGTTGACAGATAGCAAAGGCATATTTGCTTAGGGTAGAATATATGATAGTGGATGCTTCTAAGTTCTAAAATTTCACAGTAAATAAAAAAAAGCAAGATCGATGCTGACACTAAATCCTCAATTTCTTGGATGCTTTAATGCACAATAGATCCAGCATCATGATAGTTGTACATAATAACAAAGGAGCTGTTTAACTGATGTTTCAGGCCTGTGAAGACAAAACAGAACAAGAACCCACCAAGAACAGCACATGGGAAATTGAAAGCAGTGATGACACCAACTACCCCCAATGGATTCCAGACCTGTGGTGTATAAAAATGCACACGTTAAATGCACCAAAATCAATCTGAATCACGTAAAAGAAAATGGTCAAAGTTCTAATAGTATTATACAAATTGATCAAGGTTCAAGGTAAGATCTAGTAATGCACCTCAAACATCATATGATTTGGACCTGCAAACAAAACGCAGACAAGGGCCTATTATGTTGATTTAGCAACCAGATATTCATTGTGGAGCTTCTAAAATTTCATGAAGCAATTCGAAAGAGGAAGATAAAATAAAAATTAGCAAGAAATACAAATTTTGAGCTTACGTTCGGAAGGTACGATAGATCCATTCAGTTGTCGGCTCAGTCCAACAGCATAGTCACACATATCAATAACTTCCTGCAAAAAGTAGTGCTCAGGACTTCAAAATTTTAAAAAAGATTATGCCTACAAGAAGGGTAACTGAAAATTCCATCTTAACACTTAAGGGCAACAATAGCGAACTTCTTCAAAAGCTCATTCACAACTCAACAGATGAATAAGATAAGAAATTTTAACTAAGGTATCATTTTGTCATACCTGAACTTCCCCAATTCCTTCAGCAAGTATTTTTCCCATCTCGAGGGACACAAGCCTACCCAGATGCTGCAATTTCTCTCTTAATGCGTCTCCTATTTGCCTAACAATCTCACCTCTTTTTGGTGCTGGGAGCTGCACCAAAATTATATTAACTTTGTAAAATAAAGACATGTCTAAAGCATACAAATTTCACAAAGTAACTCTGAGTTGTAACTTGTAACAAGAACTGACACTCTTCCATGTCTTGGCTGCTTCATTGCAGGCACGCAAGCCCTCCTCATAATCTTCTATAGACACTTCCGTGACTTTAGCAATTTGCTAACATCCAAATGCACAAAAAAGATATTAGAAACATTGAAATTCCGGGTTTGTGTGATTGAACTCAAATCTTCAAGTTCTTCTTATCAAAATTATATCTTTATATAACAGAAAAGAAAAAATCAATCATCGATGAAGAAAATGGAGATTAAAAATAAGTTACAAACCTGATTGTTAGAAGGGTTAACAGTAGAGATAACTGGGCCACTTGCCTTCCACTTGCCATTGATGAAGCCACCAGGATTCTCGGGACCCAGACCGATCCCGCTTAGAAACTCATACTCTTTCTTGGCAAAACCCATCTCTGCATATTCATTATCTCTGTGTATTAGGATTCATTACATCAAAACAAAACAAGAAATAAACGTAGAAGAAGAAGATCGAGAAGAGCACATCAATACATGAGATGATCAGAAGTTGAAAATCAATTACCGGAGACCAGGCAATGATGACTGGACAGCTTATGAGAAACGATGGATAAAATGACTGAAATCAGTGAGTGGCTAATTTACTTGCCGGGTTTGTTTGTATAAAGTGGAGAGTGCCATAGCGTCACGCCACAGTTATATATAATCATTATCTTCCAAAAAGATCGACACATGTCAAGCACAAACGTAAATTGGATTGCGTGATCATCACATGCTGAGTATACAGACATGGGTTCACCGGAGGATATATATATATATATATATATATATATGAAAATCAAAGATTTGACCAAATCCACAATGGCCATATGAGTTTTATACGGACATGAATGCGCCTGTTAGTTAAGCTAACCAGGCCCCAGCTCACATGCTAGCTGACTGAGCTACCATATCACATATCACATATCACATATCACATATCACACATAGAGAGCCCATACAAAGATGACCAAATTTTGGTAGCAAGCAAGCATGGGAAGTTCTCAATCAATAGGAGGGGTTAAATATCACTGTTTGCCAAGCTTACCATACTCGTAGAAGGCTGAAAGGTTAAGCCTTTTCTTTTCTATGGTCCAAAAACGATAGACTAATGGAAAGGTCAAGTCTTGAGATTAAGCAAAAGTGATGAAATGAGTAGGATGGTGTGTTAGAATTTAGACTAGGCAAGAGTTGTACGGAAAGGTTTCTGTAGTGGGACATTTCAATGCTAGTCTTAATTTTTCATTCAAATGTTATTCATATTGTACCAATTGTAGTGATGCAAAAATTCTTACTCTTATTTATTTTCCGCTATATATTTAGTAATATATTTCCTTGAAAATTACAATTTTAGTCATGAAGGTATGGCCCGGAAGTTGGACTATGGGCCATTTCTACCCGGCCTTTTATAAGGTGGGCTGGGTTGGCCCATTAAGAAGCTAATTTCTGAGCCAGATCAGTAAAGTTTCCCACCAACTATTTGGATTTTGGGACCAAAAAATCAGAATACAATTGTTGTTGGTACGCGCAGGTAAGACACGGCCTCTGCTCTCTCCTCCTTCCTCAATTGGCAGACCTGAGAAACTACGAAGAAGCTGCTTTTCTTTGTTCTTCTTAGCACTCTTTCTGTTTCTCTCTCTACCCAGAAAGAGTGCTAAACCTCTCTCTCTCTACCGGAAGGTACCTCCTCCTCCTGACATCTTCCTCAAATACCTTACATTTTGGCTTGTATAATATCAAAATATCGTTGTATCTCTTACAATTCTCAACTCCCTTTCAGAATTCGATGTCTTTTTACCAATTAGGCCTTTGCTTTGGCCAAACCCATTTGAAACCCTAGACTTGTTTCCATTCCCCTACTCAGGGTTTATCGATCGTCGTCTAATCGAGTCTGAAATTCAGAAATTTAGGGTTGGATAGGTGGGGGCACGTAGAGAAATCATGATAGAACCCAAGTGTTTTTTCGGGGCAAAAAATTCTCAATTTCGTGGGGTTTTCAATGGAATTTGTACTTTGGTTTTGTTCTTCTTATTCTACAACCAGGACAGTTTTCTCAGAAACCAGTTTCTCGGCAGTTCGCATTCTGTTCTTCCTCCTCGTTGGAGCTCCAAAGTTAATGGCTTTGGTGATCAGGGCGATCGGGTTGATATTATTCGCAGGAGAATTGCCGAAGTTAATGTTTCTTCGTCGAATTATGTAAGTGTTAATGGGTCGGATGCCAATTTCTTATCAGCGACTCATCCCCAATTCTGTACCGGCTTGTTAAAACACGAAGGTTATCAGAGCAAATGTGAGTTCTTAATTACCCATCCGGAGTGCAGTTCCGGTGGGTATTTGAATTACATTCATTTCTTTTATTGTGACTGTGAAAAAGTTAGTATTTTGGGGTATGTAGTGTTGGCAATATGGTTGGCTGCTTTGTTCTATCTATTGGGTAACACTGCCGCAGATTACTTTTGTTGTTCTCTGGAGAAGCTTTCTAGTCTCTTGAAGCTACCAGCGACTGTGGCTGGTGTGTCTCTGCTTCCACTTGGGAATGGTGCTCCTGATGTGTTTGCCAGCATTGCTGCTTTTGTTGGGAAGGATGCAGGCGAAGTGGGCCTCAATAGTGTGTTGGGTGGAGCTGTCTTTGTTACTTGTATTGTTGTTGGGATTATATCTCTCTGTGTGGCTGATAGGGGGTTTCAGATTGATAAGAAATGCTTTATCAGAGATATATGTTTTTTCCTCTTTACTGTCATGTCACTTGCCTTCATGTTGATGGTTGGTGAGGTTACTGTCGGGGGTGCTATAGCATTTGTCTTGATTTATGTGGTTTATGCGTTTGTGGTCGCTGCAAACGAGATTCTAAGGAAACATGTTCGGAAATTAAGGTTGGATGCTGTAACTCCATTGCTACCGGTTAGAGGAAGTATATTTTCTCAGGCAAGTGACGAGGATGAATCTTCGGTATATGCTTCACTTCTTGAATCTGAATCTGACAGTGAGGTACCCCAGCTTCAAAGTAAGTTGCCGCAGTGGATGTGGGCTTCAAATGTGGCAATTTATTCAAATCAGAATCTGAAGGCTAGTTCAGACAGCCCAAGGTCATTGTGGGGTTGGAACGATGAGGAAACAATGGAGGAACACTCTTCCTCTTTTAAATTTTTATCACTGTTGGAGATTCCATTGACGCTGCCGAGACGCTTGACAATCCCAATTGTTGAGGAGGATAGGTGGTCCAAAGGTTATGCTGTTTCCAGTGCCGTGTTAGCTCCCATTCTTCTTGTATTCTTATGGAACACCCAAGATGATGTGGGATCTCTGAGTAAAAAGATTGCGTACTTCATAGGTTTTGTCTCTAGTGGTGTCTTTGGCGTTCTTGCATATCTACACACTCGTGTTGACCAACCCCCTCGCAAATTTTTATTTCCATGGGTTTTGGGAGGATTCTTTATGAGTATTATCTGGTTCTACATTGTTGCAAATGAGCTTGTTGCTTTGCTGGTGACATTGGGTGTAATCTTTGGGATTAATCCGTCAGTCCTTGGATTGACCGTATTAGCATGGGGCAACTCCATGGGTGATTTAATGTCGAATGTAGCGCTGGCAATGAATGGTGGAGACGGTGTACAGATTGCAATGTCAGGATGTTATGCCGGGCCTATGTTTAACACACTTGCTGGCTTGGGGATCTCAATGCTGCTTGCAGCCTGGAACAAGAGACCGGAGCCGTTCATAATTCCCAAAGATAGTAGCTTGTTTTATACTATGGGATTTCTAGTATTAGGGCTTCTTTGGTCACTTGTTGTGCTACCCAGGAATGGCATGCGCCCTAACAAGATCTTAGGTCTCGGCCTTATAGCAATTTATTTGATATTTCTCTCCCTTAGGCTAGGCACATCAATGGGAATGCTGTCACTTGTAAATGTATGAGGAATAAATTTTGGATTGGTAATAGCAAAGTTGTATCTTGTACAGAGTATCAGTTGGAATGTCAGCTATGTTAACTGATGTTGAATTATTCTCCTGAAAAATGTATTACAGATTCCATGTTAATATGAAACAGAGATTTTGTTGCCACAAATTCAATTTGTCTAACTTGTATAACCTTATCATTATTCGTGTTTTACCCCTCTATTCTGTAATAGAACATTGCTGTACTAATGCATTGTATTGTATTGGTTTGTTAAATTTAATGTCTGAAGAATGCTTGCATACTCTTTTGACATTTCTCCTACCTATCTTTAAATTCTGAATTTCCTTAGATTAGATTACCCATCTAGGTGGCTTCTAACCAGGAGTTAGTTCTTTTCATGACCAAAAGCATATGCGCTTGAAATTTTCTGTACATGTTCTTCTTTTGGTCTTTTTCATGTTTGTCAGGGAAGATGCTCTGTGTCTTTTTTAGGTCAAACAAGGTATGCAGGGGCCAAGCTCCTTTTCCACTTTTCTTTTTTAAGATTCTTTGACTACTCAACCGATGAATTTTCTGATTAGTGGACCTGAATCTTAATTCATCATTAATCTGTGTAATATTTAGATTATAGTTGACCACCTGCTGCCAAGACATTGCAGCTGCTGTTCCATTGACTACTATGAATTGGTTGAGGGAAGCAGGCAACTAGGCTCATGTTTAGATTTCCTTGCACATGCCGATTCTCGTGAAGATGGTAGAGACATGAAGCTGAGATGTCTGAAGAACTGTTGACAGAAATCTTAACGAGCACTTGGGTAGGATAGCAAATAGCATCAAAGTTGTTAAGTTTCTGCGTAATTATCATTCTTGTTACAAATCTGTGTGCTTATCAGTCTCTTGTAATCTTATTCAGTCAGACAGCAAGAGAACATTTAGATTTGACTGTGGCTTCCTTTGGAATGGCAAGTTAAAACAAAAACCAATCTCAAGTCTCATTAGTTTTTCTGAAAACATGATTCATTCGTAAGTGATTCCCCTGTTCCACTGTCCCTAACATATCTTGTTAGCTTTTCCTTTACATTGTGAAATTGGTTTTCATTTCCATTGCTTAACCATAAAGGTGAAATGCATCCTTGAAGAAAAAAGTAAAATGTAGTCTCATTTACACAAACTTGTATATATCACCAGTTACAAATCAAAGAGTTGCGACGATACCTCCCCAGTTAGTACAGGTTGGGAGGACACAACTAAAACACAATCCGGGAAAAATGAAAAATGAAAAATGAGAGAGAGAGAGAGACCAAAACAGAGCATTAGCAGTATCCAAATTGCAGAAAATTGAACCGTGGAGATGTCATGTTTTGATGCGACATCAAGGACAGCTTCTCTTGAACATCTGAATTACTAGCACCTAGTGGATTCACCATATATGTAATCAAGAATCGTAATGACCCCGATAACGAAAGCGTGATCCATGCCTGGTGTCACCACAACATGGTAGAGATCCTTGCTTGCCATCAACTCCTTCTTCACCCCTATCTATGTTTCATAGTGATCAATAAACAAATCCAAACATTCAGAATTTCAATAGAAACTCACAAACAATGAAACTTTTTATATTCTTTCATGAATATGAGTTAATTACCTGTGCCATTGTGTTGCCTTTAGAGTCAACAATGCTACAATCTTTATCAGGAAAATACCCCTTGATCTCAAAGTCCCAGTCTTTGTTTTGCCTAGCTTTGGTGGAGATTCTGATTGCATGAGTTCTTGCCAAACATGAGTTTGGCTCTTTTAAACAGAAAACCAACTGATCCTGTGATCCTTCATAGTCTAAAGTGTAGCCCTTCCATTTCCTGTAAATGCTTAGTGCCTCAACCATTGCTCCCTGGTACATTATCATAAGAATTAACAATGCATTACGGAAATTGATTAAGCAACCCCAACATCTCCCCATGAGCATATGCACAACCAAAACAGAACATTTCTTTTCTTATAGATGTATGGATGATTGAACTTGTACATATATACCTTTCGACGAATGAGAAGCAAGGCGTCTCCATCACCATCCCTCAGAATCATCTCATCTTTCGTGCCCAGAATTCCACATCCATCAACCCTGAAAGCAACCTTCTGACTACAATCTGTGACCACAAAACCACCTCCATTTATTACATGTGGCCTCCTCCTTACCGCAAGCACAGCCTGAGAAGAAGAACAATACGTCTTGCTAATGATAGGCTTAATCACACACGGTTTTGCTGCCATCTCTTTATTTTCTACGTACCAATGGCCTAGTTCAAGTTTGAAATCATGCTATAGAGGGTCTTTTTATACACAAAGTTAGAGATAAGAGTAAGAAAAGTAGATAAGCTTGTTGCCTAAGGATCTAGTGGTTTCTACATTCAAAGGTTTGGCAAGTTTGACTGTGTGTGTAATAATATATACAATATAATGCGTATAAGATGGAAGAATATATGTATATACATATGCTTTGGCATAGACCAAGTTGCTTGTTGAAGAGGATGATTGTTAACCAATGAAAGGGGGAACTTTTGGCGTGGAAGAAAATGTTATCAGCTGAGGGTACTTGGCTTTTGGTTTAATCTCTAAAGAGGTATACCAAGTTTCCTGATTTGAGTAAACCAGTGAAGAAATCCCAGAGGGGTTTTGAGAGCTTCTTTGAATTTGGCAGCTCAAAGTCTAAAAAGAGAATATTTCCAGAGTGTTTCATTCTTTTTGAAAGAGGGAATTTGGCACCACGTTCTTAAGTTATTTCTGTTAAGCATCTTGTAGGAGTTGAATTTTACTGCGGTTCGAAAGGTTCATGAAAATGAGTCTTTGGCCTTTTGAATTATTGGGCAAGAGATGCTTGTCACCTTTCAAAGTTGCAGTTAACCAATGGATTCGACTCCATATGATTAACTTTATAGACTTTAGTTTCTCGCTGAAAAACGTGGTTTTGGATTGTGTGTTCTGTGGTCATTTCTGAACAAGAAGAACAAGAAAAACACAAGGGTCGTTTTCCATCTTTCTGACTTGTGTTATTAACAGCCCATTTCTAGATTGACATGCTCAACTTCAATATCAAGGTGATGACTGAAACGTGCGACACGCGTCGAGTGTTGCAGGGGCAACTATTGCAAGCAAGAAAGACACGATGATACGAATACGATTCACCACCGGCTCACGTTAGCATGATCACGGAGAGGGGGAGGGAGGAGGAAGAAGACAGTAGGGGAGGGTGGGTATCTTGGGCTTGCAGCCCAACTGGGGCCGGCCCACTGGACACGTTATCAGCCACCGCTCTTTTGCCGTGGTACTTTGGGAAAGAGCAGGAATTCATCGCCTCCTGCATGATATGTCTCTTCACCGCGGGCCCCACAACCCCCCGCCTGGCCCCATCCATGAATCAGATCAATACACACTAGGGCCCACCTCTCCAGAAACGTGCTCACATCCCCCAATGGCGCGTGGGTTTCAAAAACTAGTTGAGGCCCCTATAATATGGTCAAGGAGAAACACTTCTGCAAAACATGGATAGCATCGTTTTCCTATTTCCAATCAATTGCATTATGTTATGCTTGATAACTTTTTTACATGGCAATTTGTAATTAATTAGAAATGACAAGATAGTATTATTCTTGTTTCACATAAGTTTTTCAGTTTCTAAAAAGAGCATATCTAATTATCCCTATTTATATGTTAAATTGTGAAGCATACATGAAATGATAAGAGTTGATGGAAAATTTTATTTCAATCGAGTAGTCAAGGCATATATTCATTTGAAGGCAACAAGTTTAATGTCATAATTAAATAGCCTCAAAATCATGAATGGAATCACCTACGTAAAGTGGTTGATCCGATTTCAATTCCTTAATTCTCATATCAAGTTTCCCAATTCATGACTTCCCTAATTCATATTAAGTCAACATGTTGTAATATTTTATAATATTTGAAACAATTATTATATAGTTTCTTTTAAAGCTTTACTAATCATACGACCTTATTTACTTACGAAGTGTTATATTATCACCTAAAATCAACAAATCCAAATGTAACATTTTTCATTTAACATTAGTATTTGTGGTTTAATTAAGATGAGTGATCTTCTCAATCTCATCGTACTTTTGTTATTAGGCTGTTAAATTGGTCATGCACTCCGATTGATCCTAATTTTAAATATTTTGTAGGCTATACATACATCAACGGTCGAAATCAACTCAAGTTTCCGTGCACCTTAAAACTGCTGTATATGAAAATGTCTCTTATTAGTATTATCCTTCTGAAATTTGTGAATCTAAACTCACACTCATGTAAGAACAGTGAGTTGCGCATTTAGAACCCAGAAAGTGGAGCTTTGGATACCTATTTATGTGAGAAAGGTATAGAAACTAAAGCTTGGGACTTTGTATTTCATGTTTAGAGCTTGAACTTGCCATTAATGAGCCAGCTGTGTGAGAGTTGATGGACCGTTTTAACTGAGAATGTAGCTGGAATGGGAAAATTCAAGCCCAAGTTCAAGCTCTGCCTGCAGGGTTTAGGTCATGTGGTTAAATTCAGCTTAAATTTTCTCTGACTGCACCTGACAATGCAGAAGAAGACCATACTTTGGGGGTAGAAAATAAATTATGGGAAAGTTCTTGGTGCAAAAGAATATTTTCAATATCAAAATGTACTCTACAGTAAAAGTGGTTGGGAGTGAAAAAATATTACCGTTGTCATTTGTCCAAGCTACAGTAAAAGGGTGGGCCCACAATTCCAAAATTAAACAAGAACCCATTTTTACTTCATTCAGGCTAGTTGCTGATTAAAGATAGAATTGTGAGTGAATGATGGCAGGAAGGAATTGTTATGGTACAAGGTTAAAGGTAAATTGACAAGAAATTTTACCCAGATGGTAGTTATTCTCAAAATCAGGGCTGATTTGTCCAAGTCTCTGTTTTGCCCAAACACACAACGACCTTTTCCCCCTTTTCTCTTTCCTACGCAGCGGTCACGTGCGGTCTGAGGTACTTAGCCATCGTGCTTTTCGCTTCTTCTCTGCAAATCTGCAACACCCCATCAGAGAAATTAGAAAAAAAATTGAAAAAAAAACAGAGAGAGAAAGGAACTTTCACTATATAAAAACATAAAGCTTTAGTTTTTAGCAGAACAGTGCCAACAGGGCTTTCTTTACTTGTTTTTCCATAAACCAAACTCCAAAAACCTCACTCAAATCCGATCAAAATCCCTCAACTTTGCCAAATGGGTTCGTACAGACACTTGCAGTTGCAGGCTTTTTTCACAGCCGTCTTTACTATTACCATTATTAATATTATCGGCACTATTATATCAGCTATTATTACCAACCATGCAAACACAAAGATGTGCCTCGAGAACAAGAATCATCTTTCTTTTTTAGCCCCTTAATGAAACATTCATTCATTCATAGCCTTGTGAGCTGTGAAACTTTCAATAATGACTCTCTTTTTAGCCTCATTATAGCCCCTTTTGTTGTTAATTAATTGCCCTTTTAAAGTTTAAACCTTTCCCGTTAATCCCCTTTTGCAGAGCAAAAGCTCAATATCATTCAGAGCATTTATGCACTGTACAACTTCTCTTTTTATCTTTTGTGGTTCTGGGTCGTAATTATCCTTGTCAGAGACCCTAATTACTGCTTCTACCCCATACTTTTTTTGTATACCATTTTTTCACACCTACCATCATTTGTTTGCCGCTTCTTGTTTTTCTCTTTCACTTACCATTAAAGCTCTGCTGTGTGTGTGCTTGTGAGCTCCCATTGTAATTACTAGCTTTTGCAGTAATAGTAGCTAGCAGCGTTTCTACTGTTGCTAAACTCTGAAATCTCCTCTGTCTTTTCTTTATTTGTGGGCTGAGTTCTTGTGATTCAACAACTGGGTTTGGTTAGCAATGGCAGCTCCCTCTGGTTGTTCTGCATCAGTACCTTCACTGCCACCACCGTGCCCAAAGTCGCCTCCACAGTATCCAGATTTGTATGGGAAGCGCAGAGAAACAGCCAGGGTTCAGATGCTTGAGAGGGAGATTGGTTTTCTTGAGGTGAGTTTAAATTTTACTTGGCTTGTATAGTTGCACCCTTTTTTCTTTTTTTCTTTTTTTGTAAATGCGCTAGATTTACTACTTACTAGTTAATTGATGTGAGTTCTTTGAGTTGAAATATTCAAATTTGGAATGTCATTATCATTTGGGTAAAGATGGTAATTCTAAGATTTCAAGTCTTTTCTGTCTTTTCTATGGTTTCTTGACAACTAACCAAATTTGTATTGATGTGAAAACAAGCTAAAGAAGTTCATGTCTGTATATGGGTTGTCCAGTATAGATATATAAAAAATCTTGCTTGGATTTGAAAGGGTTTCTTTTTCTGAAGCTGGAATTGGAAAGGTTAACTTTTTTATTAATTTCATTAGCTTAATTATGTGAAAAGTGAAAAGTACTTTCATTTCTGCGAACTATAACCATGACTAAGAAAATCTCCCCTAAAGCGTGTGTTCATAAAGCTAGACAATATGTTGGTTTAACACTTAGCTTAAAGTTAAAGATATAATTTTATTTTTTTAAATTATCAGGTGGAGAGTGATCCTGATTTACTATAAACCATTTCAATCTTGTTCCTTTTTATGAATGAATTAACTGGGAAGTTCAGACCCTCTCAATGACTTGATGGTGTCTTGCTTGGAATCTTATAGGTTGATCAAATGAATGGTACTCCTCTGTTTCCGTGGTTGGTTAGTTTCAGTTAGTTTTAGATTACAGGTTTGTTTTGACTGTAGTTAACTTTGTTCAGCACCGGAAACCCCACTGTCTCACCGCAAGCCGGCATGGGGGATCAACTCAGTGAACTGTTCCTACCTGTTCTGCATAATCTTCTAATGCAGAGACCCGTTGATCAACTTGAATTAGTGATATTGAATTATTAGAATATAGGGCAGCACATTATTGTGTTCTGGTTTCATCATAGGTGGCTATTCTGTACTTCTGTCAATTTGTACACTCAAAAGCTGTTTGGCAGGTTTTCCATTGACTTCATTCGATGCCCCGTTTGTCTTTAACATGTCAAATAATGGAAACAAGAAAGTTTTTTGACGGATAGGTTAGGTAGGTATGGTCTTTGGGTAATAATTTCAATAATTTTATCCTTTTCTGTGCAGGAGGAACTTAAATCTGTTGAACGCCTTCAACCTTCTTCAAGATGCTGCAAAGAGTATGTTAGTTTTTCTATTACTTTTTGTGGTTCACAGGAGTTTAAGTATATGTGAACTGGTAATAGATTGAATATGATCATTTTACAGGGTTGCTGATTTTGTGGCTGCAAACCCAGATCCATTAATACCTACGTAAGAACAATGTGATCAAATTTTTGGTTTAGAGTGTCTTATAAGCATTATGGTCATTTGATTTTCTTTCTCTTTCAAGCAGGAACCGGAAGAAACGCCGGTCATGTCGCTTCTGGAAATGGCTTTGGTACCATTTTCTTTTTCTTTTTCTTCTTCTTTTTGTAGAATTATGTTAGTTTGTGAGTTTTTCATGCTCTAATTTTGTTCTCTCCTCCTTATTGAGAAGAAGTTAAATTTATACTTGACAGATACTGCAATAAGAAAAACAGTGGAAACATTATAGAAACATTGAAATAAGAACATTTGTTTCCTAGAAACTGTCAAATTGGTTGTGGTTACAAATCACTAGTGAATTAACTCCTGGTGGTTTGGAATCATAAGAATGCGGTGCTCTGAACATTTTTCTTTCAGTATTGGAAAGACTTCTAACATTTGAGATCCAGACTCCATCAGACCCTAACCTTCTTGTGATTGATAGAATTAACAGTGAACGGGGGACACATACATTTTGTTTTTTGTTTTGCTACTATATAAACATTAATCTACCTTCATATTCAACTAGCAGTGGTGAAAAGATTAACTTGTTCAGAAGCATGAACTCAAAAGAAATCGGGCTTTTTCTAACCAGTTAGTTATAATGCATAAACTTCTGAATATGACATAAGTATGTTTGTCTTACAGCCGAATGCCCTGTTTTAGCTGTTCATGGATTTGCTGTTGCTGCTGCAATCGGTGCTCTCTTCACCTAGAAATGCCACGCTGCTGTGACTGCGGTCAGTGTAACTGTAATCCGTGTGCCTGCTGCTGTCCGCTTCCAAAGTGGCGATGTGGCTGCTCATGTCCCCGGTCCAGCTGTCTATGTCCCTGGTCCAGCTGCTCATGTCCCAGGTCCAGCTGCTCATGTCCCCGGTCCAGCTGCTGCAAAAATATTTCCTGCAGCAAAAATTGTTGCATTTTTCCGTCGTGTTCATGTCCTGATTGCTCTTGTAGCAATTGTTTCAAATGGAAATGCTCTTGTCCTAAATGTCCAAAGTTACGGCCTTGCTGCTGTTGTAGAATATCCTGTTGTTGTAACCCCTGCAGTACATGTTTGTAGTATTGATGCTTGACGTTTATGGAAGCTTTGTTCCTCAACATGGTTTTTCAATTTAACTAGTCTAAATTTTGCAGATAGTGAGGGCTCTGAAAAAAATTGTGAGCTATGAAGTAAGTTTTATACTATTGGCCTCTGCATTGTTGGTTCCCTGTTGAATAAGTGTTCTTTTTATATGAGTAACTTTCATGTTGGGTTGGTGGTTTATCATCTGCAACTCCTTTAAAGTTACAAGCCAAAGTTGACATAATATACAATGCATCACATACAATTTTCATAATATAAGATAAAAAAAATTGGGTTCATTCAATTGGTCTTGACAAAAATATTGCACAACGCATCTCGGTGACTCGAGCCATTTCTCTGATCCAGTCGAAATGGTTAAGATGGATTCATGGGAGCTTTTGTTTCCTCTTTTTAGCATGATGACTATTTTGGAGTGCTAATAACTATTTTCGAAAAAGAAAATATAAAATGGGCAATCCAATTGTAAGCAAACTCCACTATGAAATTAACATGTGGGTATGTTATAAAAAAAAGGCATACCTATAAACATCGGTATGTCATTCACTCTATTACATTAGTTTTTTTCTAGCCAAACGAATTTGCAGTTGCCCTTTGAGCTGCCTTCCTCAAGGCAATAACCAAATAAACATAAACACTCCCAACTCTTGGTTAATCTTCAATTTTCACCCGTGCTTCTTTCCGGCCCGACTTGCTCAAGGCCAAGCAACAGAAACCCCAAAAGAAGAAAGCCATACTCAATCTATCAACTGCGTCCATGCAAAGGCGATTGGGCTCTTAACCTGGTGCTGTGGGTTTTGCCACACAATTGAACCAAATTCTGACCTTGCTGTCTTGTCTGCACCTTTATTAGCCACAAACGTGACTGTGTACTTCTGCTTCTCTCCTACATTCTTGAACACAAGCCTTGTGGGCTTCACCGCAATCCTCACCATTTGAGGTCCAGTCACAGCCACTCTGTATATGGACCCGGCAGCCCCTACATTAGTCAACTCACGGCTGTATCTCACAACCCGTTTCTTCCCGAACACTACCGAAAATGAAGGGTAGTTGAGTTGGCCAGGGTCTGAATATTTTCTAGAGCATGTAACGTTGGGCTTCTTGACAATGGCTTGCACATGTTCAAGAGTGTAGTCCAAGGAGCACAAAAACGCAACGTAGTCGTCGGTGGATATGTCGTATACTAGGCCCGGCGACAGTGCCTTCTGAGGTTCGACATGGCCGGAGCCGTGAGCCCACGGGTTCGAAAGTGAACCATCCGCGGCGTCCCGGAGAGGGGCCTTGGTGTTGTCTTGGGTATAGGCTGTGGTCATCAGTGCAGATTTGATTGCACTTGGGCTCCAATCCGGATGGGCTGCTTTGAGCAATGCTGCAAGCCCACTAATGTGTGGACATGACATTGATGTACCTACAAACAAACACACAGGTTGAGTCAACGGCCCAGTGGTCAACATCATCAACGATTAGCATTAATCAAGGCTTACAAACTAGCCGTTACCTGACATGATGTTGAACTGGCTCTTCCTAGTGTCCTCTTCAAGCCCAGTGGGCCCGATCGACTCTGACCATCCAGCCAAGATGTTGACACCTGGACCAATCACATCCGGCTTCAAGATCTGGGGAGTCACCAGATTGGGCCCCCGTGAACTAAACGCCGCCACTACCGGAGAGGGTCGTACATTCAACACGGTCCCGCCAAAGCTAATCAGAGCCGTTGGATTCGAATCGTGCTGGGCGTATTCCCTAATTAGATCACCGACTCTCATCCCGACGGCCACAGCCGGTAACAAGTGACTGTCAGCCACCAATTCCTCACCGCTGGCGGCCGTGTTGGCGAGTATCATCCCAATCCCACCCGCGGCACGTACAACACCACCTTTCTCCACACGTGCGTTGATGCCGCGATCGCACACCACCACTTTCCCACGTACGTGCTCCGGTTGAAGCGAACCGGGCAAGCACAAGTTACTTGAGCTGTTGGACCCCTTGTTGTAAACCAACTGAACCGGTTTATTTCCCATCCCGGTCCCGCTGTACAGCGACACGCCAGTGAAACGTTTTTTGTTACCGAGCAAAGCGTAAGCCGGGAAATCCCGGTCCAAGGTCCCGGCTCCAACGGTCATGATCCACGGGGCCGTGTTGGCCAACGAGGCCTTACTCGGCCCACTGTTCCCGGCAGAGCAAGAGACAAAAATGCCCCTCTCCGTAGCCGTGAACGCCCCAATCGCGATCGTGTCGCGGTAGTACGGAGAGGACCCACCGCCCAAAGAGAGCGACAACACGTCGACGCCGTCCACAATGGCCCGATCCATGCCCGCCAGAATGTCCGACCCGAAACATCCGGTGCTCCAGCAGACCTTGTACGCGGCGACCCTCGCGTGAGGCGCCATCCCACGCGCCGTCCCGGTCGCGTAGCCGAGGAGGCTGGCGTTGGCCACGTGGGACCCGGCGGCGGTGCTGCTGGTGTGGGTCCCATGGCCGTCTCGATCTCGCGGCGACTCGGCCTCCTTCGATTTTCTCATGAAACTTCCGCCGGAGGCCATGTGAAAGCCTTTTGAGAAGCACCGAGCTCCGATCAGCTTCCTGTTGCAGAGGGACGGGGCGAAATCAGAGCCTGATTCGCACTGGCCGCGCCACCGGGTAGGGATCTCGGGCATTCCGGCGTCGTCGAAGCTCTTGGACTCGGGCCAGACGCCGGTGTCGAGAACTCCGACAATGACGTCATTGGAGGCCTGGTTGAGGTCCTGGGTCGAGTGACCCGCCCAGAGCCCCGATTCGATCTCGAGACCCAGAAACTCGGGGGTCCGAGTGGTGTGGAGAGTGTAGAGAGTGTCTTCGTAGACCCCGAGCACCGAGTCGGATTGGCGGAGCAACTCGGCTTGTTCGGAGTCTAAGGAGGCGGCGAAGCCGTGGTAGGCGGTGGTGTAGGTGTAGAGAAGAGAATCTTCGGTGGAGGAGAGAGACTGGAGGTGGGCAGAGTACCAGTCATGGTGGGTGGCGTAGGAGGATGGCTTGGAATGGTGGTTCATCTGCACAATGTAAGTCTGCTTGGCCATGGCGGATAGACATGTCACAAGAAGAAGTAGAGCAGCAAACCAGAACCGGGCCTCGGAGGCCATGGCTGAGCTTTGGAGCTGCGTATACCCAAATGTGGAAGATGAGAGAGTGAGAGAGTACAGTCGCTCTGTAGCTGCGACTGCCAGAAAGGGGGGGATAGAAGGTAGAAGAAGATAGAGACTCATGTCGGGTTTATAAGCAAGTGGAAATATCGAATGCGACATTTATTTTGCTTTAATTACCCCAATGCCACTTTCTTCTTCATCAGATCAGATGTATGTGTATTTACAATTTACTTTTTCTTTTCTTTTCTTGTAATTGTATTTAATCTTCTTAGTTTAATAATTAATTAGGATTAGTATCGTGGAAGAAAGCTGGAGACTCCATGATTATTGTTTATTAATTTAGCGTTGAAATACAGTGTTTCCAGTTTGAAATCCATCTGCATGCATATGCAACTTCTTTATAGTATTCCATTAACAATTAGATATTTACTTGATTTACGTTGGTTTCTAATAAAAAAAATAAAGACGGGAAGAATATCTTGACTGATTAATTATTATATTCATCTCTATGATTTCCACTTAATTAATCTACATTATAATGAAAACACAATTATTTTTATGCATTTGTTCGACATAATTCGACTAGTATGATTTATCTTGTAATCTGTCGTAAATCGAGAAAGTAATTAAGTTTTTATGTATCATTTTAAAATCTATCCAAATTATTTCTTGCACTCGACGTAGTTAGATTTTCTTGTACATAAGACTGGATAGATTTTATTCTCTTTATTCTTGGAGCAGTCACGGGCATATATAGTTTAACCACTTTTGGTGAATGCAACAAATTGTTTTTGTTGGAGATGGAGATGGAGATGGAGATGGAATAGGCTTGATTTGCAGGTAGTAGGGTTAATTTGTCTTCATCAAACACAGCTGGAGGCACGTCTTGAAGGGGCCAGCGCACTCGAGCGCCGCCAAATTAAGTTCAATTTAATTTGTGTCCTTCCTATCCTGAACACTTGGTGGTGTTACCTACCTTTATCTTCTCTTCATCTTATGAATGTCGAGAAGGTGAGTAAATCAGTGTAAAAAAATGCATATAATTTTTACTAAGAAAACTTGATTTGAGAGAACTTATAATTGTATTCCCAATTACAACTATTTTATGTATCCAATGTGCAAAGGAACGTGATTCATCGGTCTCATGTTTAATTACAAAAAACATATATATTTAAATTCCACTTCTAAATCAACATTTCATATATAATGTTGGGTACATAGGTGTGACACACGGTGCAACTTATGAGCACATCTCAAGTTTTACACATAAAATTAATCAACAGTATTGAAATACATAGATTTTTCCATATACTACTTGATACACAAGAATCTTAAGATTACATGAAGATCTATACGTCTTGGAGTGCAAGATAAGTTTCCACAAAATCGCAAATAAAAAAAATTACATGCAAATCATATGTATAAGAAATTACTTATAAAATCCAAAACTTATATGCAATGAAATGTACAAGTCTTATTTACATTTTTGTATTATACATTTTTTTATATAAGCGATATTGAGGGAGGGAGGAATCGAACATAGGAACTCGAGTGCATAGGTAAATGATCTTATAGTAACATGTTATTTGGATCGAAATTCCAAAACAATAAATTTCCACAAAACAAAAAAATTACAACAATCGAGTCATGATATGATATTTTTATTTAAATGATGCTGGGATTGAGCAAGATTTTTCAACGTGATCAATTTAAACAAAACATATTATTTTTTTTCCCCATATGTTGCTTAATACGGAGTAAACCCATGGATGAGTCATCATCACTCATTTTTGCTGCGGTGGCTAATCTGTAAACAAAACACAAGACAAAGGGCATTTATTTATTAAACTTGAGATGAAGAAGGAAAAAAAGAAAAAATTCTTATGGCATGCAAATTTATTATTTTTAATTGTTTTTAATTTTGGGTCATGCAAATTACGCGGTATAATTTTGTCTTTTTTGAAACTGGGGAATTGGATTGGTAACGTACGGTCATGTAACGGCTACTTTTTACGGTCAAGTCCCAACTTTTCTGAGCTCTTCTTTTGACCGGGAAAGGGAATGGCATTCCTGCCATTTCCACTTTCCAATACCCGATTGGATATTGGATTCTTTACATAACTGCACAAACCACAAAGTGACTGGATCTCTCTTTCTTTCTTTTTTTAATTCTAAATATTTGTTTACTTCTACGACTCCCCCCCACTCCCGGGAAAAAAAATATTACCTCTCTATCTAACACGTGGCAGGTAGCGTGCATTGTACTTCATTCAAAGGGAAGCCTCCCCTTCCCTCACGCGCAAATGATGGTCAGCGGGATCACCTTTTTTTTTATTTTATTTTATTTATAAGCGGATATTGAGCGAGGAGAATTTATTTATAACACAGAACCTCAAATGCAGGTAATCGTTTATGTTTCTCAGTTGTATAATATAATGAGCTCCATTTTTACCCATTTAACCTATGCTTAAGAATTAGGAGCATTTTGTCAAAAAGGAAAAAGAAACTGAATTATGAGTAGACATATCAATTACCACATCACATCGCATGATAAGAAAATACGATTTATTTAATATTAATGTAGTTTGATAATGATAGATTAAGTTGGTTTTTTCTTTTGTTAATAAGATGTAGTTTTGGCTACAAGTATGATTAACACTTGATTAAAGTTGTTCAATAAACCATTGTCTAAGTATGATTAGTGTCTCCAATAACAGTTAGTTTTACCCAATGAGCTAATAAACTTCAATTTCTTTACAAATTCATGTTTAAATATGTGAAATAGGAAAATTAAAATCCACCTGTAAATAAAGAAAAAGAAAAGGCCAAAATGCAGAGCTCAATTATTCTCTAGCACATGAGAGTGTATACACGATCTGAAATGTGGGGGCCCCACCAAAGAAAACCGCAGATGGTGGCGCTAATCGGGCCAACGCTTTCTCTCTCTCTCTCTCTCTCTCTCTCTCTCTCTCTGTGATGAAAAAGTGCACAAAATTATGCACGCTTTTCACTCTTTCTTTGCATTTCCAATTACCATATTATCCACGGGCTTTATGCCATTCATCTCTCTCATCCTCTTTCTCTTTTCATTTTCCTCCTATCAGCTCCTTTGAGTCCAAGAAAACAACTTCAACATCACATCTTATTTTCCTACACTATCATATGCATGTACCTAGTTTACTTACCCCACCTAATTTATGTGACCCCTTTGATAATTCTAAGGAAGGAATCCTATAATTTCATCTCTTTCGGCTATGAGTTTCGAAACTTAACTCTAAGTTAAGGAGAAACATATAAAGAGGGAGACATGTAGAACAAAGTGTACACCCCGTTGCATATAAGGATCGAGCTATTTTTCTAATTTGATGTCAACTGTTACTTTGGGCACATGATGAGTAGTGGGCATTGGCATTATTCTTAGGTGAGGTCCATAATAATTGGGCTGACACTTATAGTTGAGCTGAATAATCAAGTACCCCAGAATTTACAAAAGCATACCACCAACCACATTATCTCCTTGAAAAGCACAAGATAACCTGAAATTCATATCCATTGCAGCAAATGTTGAATGCTGCGAAGGCCAAGTAAATGGTCTAAACTGGATCAAAGTGAACAGAGTTACAGAGTTGGACAAGATAAGGTGCGTTTGGCCTCATTGCAAGAGACCAAATTGGATACTGTGCGCAAGCGGGATCTAAAGCCATCAAGCTGCATTGGGACTAGCTTGATGGTGCTTCAATAGCAATTCAAGGTAATGAGATTTCAGAGAGATGGGCTAATGGCCCTACAAAGCTCAATACACGTGAAATTTATATTACAAAATGTCTCGGTGCTATTAATAATGGAAATTAAGCAATTGGCAACAATTGGAAGCTGGTATAATTCGAAGGGGATGGAGCCACAAAGCCACTTTCTTTGATATATCCTTTTAATTGTCCAAATATGGGAAACAGATCATGGGAGCTTGTGATCCATGATGTGCAGCTAGCTGCCTGTGGGCCTCTCTCTACTCTCAACCTGTCTAATTCTGGTTGGTTTCTCACATCAGCATAACACAAACTTGAGCCACTAAATGGGGCAAGTCGCATGCTTGTTACGCCAATGGAGTTTTCATTTTTCAATGGGGAGAAGTTGCCCCCACAGCTCTACTGTCAGTCTGTTTTGCTCTCTAATTGCTCTGTGGCAGAGAGCAACATTGGATAACAGAGGTTCATCCCATCATACTTTTGTGTGGAGCTAGAACTTTTCCCCACTTCTTTATAGTGCTTCTTTTGGTGCCAGTACAACAATTAAAAGGTCCCCAACCCAATATGTTTTTAATTTCAAGTGGAACTTCAAATATCTAAAGTAGGGAACAAAGGCTGCCGTTATATGAATGAAAAATGCTAACATATTTCTTTTTTAAACAAGCGATCTAGAGAGAAGGGAATTAAATTTAAAATTTGGAGTGCATGGATAAATATTCTTAACCACTTGAGCTACTTCAAACTCCTTGCGCGAATAATTTAGATTTTACTCCCGTCTACAAGCCTGTGGAAGTTTTATTAAGTGACAAAATAGTTAAAGCACATAGCACCATGACAAAATAGTTCAACCACCTAGCTAGCACAATGAGGTCCAGTTCCACTCCCAGAAGTGTGCATGATGGAAAATTTCAAATGCAGTTCAACTTTTATAATAATTTCCAATATCATGCTTGGATAAATTTTTTGAAGTTCCTTTGCCCTAAAGTTTGGGGCAATAAATAACTGAGACTGGGTGATGAAAAAGAAAGATTCTCACTAAGAAGTTCATGGGTTCATTATCATTAAAAAAGAAGAAGAAACATAATCATATCCCTCTGTAGGTGTGCCTTCTTAAAGGGTGTGTAAACCAATGAAAAATGAGGTGTGCCTGCCTTGTATAAAAGTGTGTGTAGAAATCAGAAAGTTCCCTTCTTGTTTCTTCTTGGCAGCTTGTGAGAGTTTGCACATGCAGAGATGCTCTGTTTCTTCTGCTCTTCTATCTCCAATCCATACAAGTTACATACAACAACAACATTGGTTGTTGAAAGCTGCTGTCAAAGTATTTCAGAAATTCTGATATGCTCTTCAGCTGATCTATACAACATTTTGTTATCTGAGCTTTTAAGAAAATCCCTGTTGATATTTGTTGGGGAAGGGAACAGAGTTTTTTTCTTTATTCTGAATAATCTAGGGACTTTAAGGTAAGAAGTTTCAATTTTTTTTTTTATTTGTTACAAGTGATGTTACTTTGTTTATATTGCCTGATATACTTTGACCAAAGTTTTCCACATCAAAAGGAAAGACACTCGTTCGTTTGAATGATGTTTAGTTTTTGACACGACTGAGAGTTTATTGTGTGTTTATTTTTTAATACAAACAATAGTTACTGCACACTACCAAAGTGAAAGGGGATTCGAACCTGAAATTACTGGTCAGCAAATCATGATCTTTTTTCACTAGGCTAGACCCTCTTAATTTGTGTTGTTAATTAAAATAAAATAGAATAGTCTGAAGCTGCTTTGCTATGGTAAAAAGGGAAAGTGGAAAGTGGGTCAGGCTGAAAGTAATGGGGTTTTGGGTCCTGTCTTTTGTAGCCCATGGTAGGCTGGGTTACTCTTCAGGTTGCAAGAACACTCGAGGCCTAGTGGTATTCATATGTTATAGCCCAAATATTATGTTATTGCGACCCAAAACACACTTGCTGAAAGCAAAATCTTCATCTTTCTTCACTTTCATAACAAGAAAAAGAGAGAGAGAGAGGAGGAGGTTTTTGTGTTACGTAGCCCATAAGTTGGAAAAATTGCACTCTTATAATTGAGAACAACTTTATCTTCTAACATCATCATAAATCAATCACACAACGTCATGTATTTGAATTTTTACTTATTACAATGCGTGATTGGTTTAAGATACTGTCAATCTGCCATTTCAAATAGGAGGAACTTTTTCTCCATATATAAATGTTACTTTTACAAGAATTATGATGCAAATTATTTTTCATGACCGAGTCTGGGGTGGTCACCGATGGTCACATCTCACATGGCCAAAATACTGGAGTCAACCAATCATATTCATGTGCGACTTAGACCAGTTCAATTGCTTTGACTAGTGTATACAAATTTTAGATGATGCTTCCAATTCCAAGTCTCATGCCGGTCACATTCAGACTGAATTCAACTTTGTCTTTGGTGATATAACTTTTTTGCCTCACCAAAAGAAAAGTTCCTAACTTTGATCAAACATGTACAATTTTCTTTTCCTATGATCAACAAAGATCCCAAAACAGAAGGAAAGAACAAAAATACACAATATTGTATGCTAAAATTAACGAAACATTGCTATAAAAATCAATTGCATGGAGCTCCATCCACCCACTACGACAATTGATATCGAAATCTCAGCCGTTGATAAACAAAACATTTACTTGCTTACCCATCTCATCAAACGGCTAATAAGGTGCATATATCCTTTGCATGGAGTGTCAGCGTCGATTACTCACCTACCTCGTGATGAATTGTTACTGTTACTGATCGCCAAAAATCAGCTGCCAAACGTAAAGAAGAAACAGCAACAAGAGGACAAGAAGGAAGTGCTTAAAAAAGCCAATCATAAGACGGTAGCAGCCGTTGCCGTTGCCGCGGCGGCGGCCACCATCACCACCTTCCTTTCCCTTGTGTCTCCGTCGTTGACGTTTATGCTTCATGACTATGTCTATGCTTTTGTCCCTCGCCATTCCTTCCCCCCCCACCCTCAAAACTTCAAATTTTGAAAGATCCGGTCAAAAAAATATACAAAAGAGAGAGAAGGAGAGCGTTTTTGATTTTCTGAATGTTTTAGGAAAGAAGAAGGATGAGTTTAAAAGCTATGAGTTTCCGTTTGTCTTGTGGTGTGGAGTTCAAAAGCTATGAGTTTATATAATTTCTTTTGGTTTCTGAGCAAAATCATAGCAGCTTCTAGGAAATTAAGAAGCGTGTGAATTCTGCCCGGCTTCGGCTAATCCAAGAATGCAAAATTGCATGGCCGAGGAGGAGAGTTTTAATATGCTTCTGTATTGGGCTTGCATGGTTGGACACTTTTGGTCCTGTGCTGTGTACGTAATGGACATGGGCTTTGCTTCCAGGACGTAACTAGCGTTTCACACTAAGCTCTTCGGTCCTTGGGATACACGGGATACCATCTTCAGACCATGTACATCCTTAAAAAATGCCAAGTTATAGGAATTCTGTAGTGAGGACATTATATATGGCCTTTAGGCAAGACTCCATTTCTTTATCGTTGGATTAAATTAGTTAGCCGTTGGATAAAATTGATTAGAATAATCTAACAGTTAAGAGATAGAACCTTACATAAGGGCCATATACAAGGCCCTCACTATAGAATGACTTTGCCAAATTAACCTTTGTTTCTTTGATGTAGCACTCAATCAGTCCATTTTGTGTTTACATAAAAGCCCAATCTTTGACACATAAATTAACGAATGTCATATGAACAACAAAGACGAACAATCTTACAAAAGACTCACTAGTGTACTAGTTTGAAGCAATTGTCCTAGCAGACAAGGTCTTGAATTCGAATCTTAGTATATGTACAATATGTGTAAATTTAGTATAAAGAATACCTAAATCTTTTTTAGGCATAAAGAGATAAAACAAAAATGATTTAGATGACATTAATCTAGCACCTATGATGTGAAAAAAGAAAAAGAAAGGTCCATTGAATGTCGAGTTAGAAAATAGGGATTAACTTGATAGTTTCACGTGATCATTGACCAAGAGACTAAGATACTGTTGATAAGATTGACAGGATGGCCAAGTCATATCTTTTGCGCATTTGCTGATCATTGACCAGTGTTAGTGCACGTTTTATAGTAGGTAGCTATTGTAATACATGGTTTTCCTAATGCCACGTTGAAATGGAACATGTTAAGTGTATTATTGTTTGAAAAGATGATAAATCAATTCCCATTGAAAAAAATTTGACTTGGATTTCTAAGAGCATCTTCAAGGGAGATGTCAAATATCAAATATCAAATATAAATTTGATGGCTGATGTGGCAATTTGACATCTTATACAACTTTACACTCCACTCGATATGTCAAATTAAATTATTATTTATTACATTTTAGTGTTGATTTATTTTTAGTTAAAAAGAAAAGAAAAGAAAAAATAATAAAATATTAATTTGACATCTTGCTTTTGGGATGTCAAAAATAACATCTCAACCTCCAGCCTTCATTCCACATCAGTTTTGACACATCGGTTGGAGTGATATGAGATGTTATTTATGGTTGTTAAATGTCTATGTGGCACGTTTGACATATCGGTTGGAGATGCTCTAAAGGATTTTTTATTTTAATAACCTCTTGAAATTTTTTCAGGCAAGCAACTGAAAAAGCCCTAAGCTTAGTGCTAAACAAACACAAGATTTGCTAAACACATTTTTATCGACTAATGAGTTTTATTATTCAAATCTTGACAGACACAGAGATTTAGCTAAATTATATTAAATGAATTTAAAAGGGTTAAGAAATATCAAAGGGTCTAAACAAAATGGGAATATTAAAATGAATTTAAAAGGGTTAAGAAATATCATTAGCATCTACATGCTTGAAGTCTTCAAGTACTATATAAATACCTCCAAGTCCATCTAAATTCCTCACCAATTTACCACAGCAACAATCCCCATAATGGAGGCTATTTCTTATGTTATTTTGACCCTGGCATTGGTAGCTACTCTAGCCCTTGTCTCAAAAATTTTCTTCCCCCAATCCCAGAAGCTAAAATTTCCACCAGGCCCCAAACCATGGCCTGTAATTGGCAACCTCAACCTCATTGGTCCTCTGCCTCATCAATCCCTTCATAAATTGTCCCAAATTTATGGACCAATAATGCAGCTCAAGTTTGGCTCCTATCCAGTTGTGATTGCCTCATCTGCAGAAATGGCAAAACAATTTTTGAGGACACATGATCACATCTTTGCCTCTAGACCCCAAACTGCAGCTGGTAAGTACACAACTTATAACTACAGCAATCTCACTTGGGCACCTCATGGTCCTATTGGCGCCAAGGCCGCAAAATTTACCTCTCCCATCTGTTTAGCTCAAAGATACTAGAGACTGTCGATTACATTCGTGTTGAGGAAAATCGTGCCTTTCTCTCGCGGCTCTGTGCCTTGTCAGGCAAGCCAACCCTGCTCAAAGAGCATCTGTCACGCCTAACTCTTACCATTATAAGTAGAATTGTGTTGGGTAAGAAGTATTTTAGCACGTCCGAATCTGAGAGTTCGATAGTGACACTAGAAGAATTTCAAAAGATGTTAGATGAGCTGTTCTTGCTTAATGGGGTTTTGAACATAGGCGATTGGATCCCATGGGTTCAGTTTTTGACTTGCAAGGGTTTGTTAAACGAATGAAGGCCTTAAAGAAAAAATTCGACCGGTTTCACGATCATGTGTTTGATGAACACAGGGCAAAGAAGGAAGGAGTTAAAGATTTTGTGCCAAAGGACATGGTGGACTTACTGTTGCAGCTGGCTGAAGATCCTGATATTGAAGTTAAGCTCAATTATGACAGTGTCAAGGGATTCACTCAGGTATGTATGTTTTATATGTACAATCACCAAATTTATTTACCAATTTTATTCATCACATGACGTGATGATTTTTTTTTTAAAATCTTAATTTAAATTTGGTCCCATTCTAAACCTCAATGTGAACTGTTCCATTTTGTATCAGGATTTAATAGCAGGAGGAACTGATACCTCTGCAACCACTGTGGAGTGGGCAATGTCTGAGCTCATGAAACAACCACACCTCATCGAAAAGGCAACCGAAGAGCTCGACAGAGTGATTGGGAGAGGGAGATGGGTAGAAGAGAAAGACATCCCACAACTTCCTTACATAGATGCAATTATGAAAGAGACAATGAGGAAGCACCCAGTTGCTGTAATGCTAGCTCCACATCTAGCTCTTGAAGATTGCAATGTGGGAGGTTATGATATTTGCAAAGGAACTAGAGTGTTCATAAACACATGGAGCATGGGGAGAGATCCTTCACAATGGGATGCACCAGATGAGTTCAACCCGATAGATTCTTAGGGAAGTCAATTGATGTGAAGGGACAAAACTTTGAGCTCCTGCCATTTGGCTCAGGAAGGAGGATGTGCCCTGGTTATAGCCTTGGACTGAAAATGATAAGGTCCAGTTTGGCTAACTTGTTACATGGATTTAATTGGAAATTACCTGGCAATATGAAACCAGAAGATTTGAGCATGGAGGAAGTTTTCGGATTGGCCACACCTCGGAAGTTCCCACTTGTTGCAGTTGTGGAGCCCGGCTCCCTCCCCATCTTTATTAATTACATGTGAATCTGTAATGTCCTTGCAAGCTTTAGACTGTCGGCCATTAAATAATTAAGCCTCAATGTAATCAATAATCCCTTACTGATTTTACACTCTGTGAATGAAACAGTATCTTCTTTTCTTCATCCAAGTCAGATTCTTAATGTCTGTTTCAAGTCTTGTGTTCTTTCATGAGTACGGTTTTACTTATGAGTGCCATTGTTTTCAGAATACAAAAGACAAATTCTTGAGCCCAATCTGCATGCAATTAACATTCACAAAAGTTGGGACCATGAACAATGTCATGAGGTGCATAAAAAAACCTTTTGAAATTATCAACTGATAAATTATTAGCTCTGATTTCAAAAGGTTTTTTAATCATGTTCTTCAGCTATTCCATTTTTCACAAAAGTGATAATCTTCGCATATTGTTTCATACCCTTACAATATAAACTATTCCATTTTTCAAATCAGGATTTAATAGCTGGAGGCACTGATACCTCTGCTACCACTGGAATGGGCAATGTCTGAGCTCTTAAAGCAACCACACCTCATCGCAAAGGCAACCGAAGAGCTTGACAGAGTAACTGAGAGCAACAGATGGGTAGAAGAGAGAGACTTGAACAACTTCCTTATGTAGATGCAATTATGAAAGAGACAATGAGGAAGCACCCAGTTGCTGTAATGCTAGCTCCACATCTACCTCTTGAAGATTGCAATGCGGGTGGTTATGATATTTGCAAAGGAACTAGAGTGTTCATAAACAAATGGAGCATGGGGAGAGAGACCCTTCACTATGGGATGCACCAGATGAGTTTAGGCCTGAGAGATTCTTAGGGAAGGCCATTGATGTGAAGGGGCAGAGTTTTGAACTGCTTCCATTTGGCTCAGGAGGGAGGATGTGCCCTGGTTATAGCCTTGGACTTAAAATGATAAGGTCTAGCTTGGCTAACTTGTTACAAGGATTTAACTGGAAATTGCCTGAGAATATGAAAACAGAAGACTTGAGCAGTCATGGAGCCTCGGCTCCCAACCCATCTTTATTAATTATATGTGAAGTTGTGATGTTGTCTCTTTCAAAACCTTAAGAAATAACACCATGTATAATGTCCTTTCAACACTTGGGAGACATCTTTGCCAAGTATATGTGAATCTGTAATGTTATCCATATTTGTTCTTTGTGATTGAAACAATCTTCTTGACTTCATCCAAGGGAGATTCTTAATATCAGAAATAATACATATTGTCTCTTTCAAGCCTTAATCTTTTGTTTTGTGTGATCTGCATTTTGCTGTGTGCTAGCTTTTGCTTGTTACGAAAAAGAAAGTTGGTAAAACGTGAATGATATTACCAACCACTTCCACTAGTCTACTGCTCCACAACTAGTGGTCTATATAATATTTTGAATCCATTTGCCCATTTTCTATTTTAATTATTATCTATGTTCATGGATACTCCAAATTAAAGATGCCAAAACCCAAAAAAGCACTTGGCTCTGATCATCTGACTAGCGTCTCCGTCTGCCATGTTAACCAGTTCCTCCAACCTCAGTCAAATTATTGATGCAGAGCCCGTGAAAAAACCCAGATGGTTTGGCACTTTCGCTGCCATCAAGTTTTTTTAAAAAAAAAAAAAAAAAAAAAAAAAAAAAAAAAAAAAAAAAAAAAAAAAAAAAAAAAAAAAAAAAAAAAAAAAAAAAAAAAAAAAAAAAAAAAAAAAAAAAAAAAAAAAAAAAAAAAAAAAAAAAAAAAAAAAAAAAAAAAAAAAAAAAAAAAAAAAAAAAAAAAAAAAAAAAAAAAAAAAAAAAAAAAAAAAAAAAAAAAAAAAAAAAAAAAAAAAAAAAAAAAAAAAAAAAAAAAAAAAAAAAAAAAAAAAAAAAAAAAAAAAAAAAAAAAAAAAAAAAAAAAAAAAAAAAAAAAAAAAAAAAAAAAAAAAAAAAAAAAAAAAAAAAAAAAAAAAAAAAAAAAAAAAAAAAAAAAAAAAAAAAAAAAAAAAAAAAAAAAAAAAAAAAATTACTTGATTAAGTCTCGTCATTAATCCGTGAAAATATATCCCGCACAACCTTATAGGGACTGGCCTCGTTGGTGCGTATGAAAGTAGTACAATTGCTACTTAAAATGAATGTGGATAGGATAAAAATAATTCCACATAATTCCATTTTGTGCATTTTTAGGATATTATCCACATAAGGTTCATAATCCCATTACTCCATCCTCTTGACCTTGGACCCAAGACTCTAAGCACCAGGACGACCTAAGATTTGAAAAATGGTCATGTTATTTTCCTTACACGTACAACTTACTGTAAAAACTCACGGTACATTGTTTAGTTTATTTTATTTTTAAAAAGAACACCTGGGGACCTATGAGCCTTATCGCTCCAGAACTGAAAGTACATTTTAATAAAAACATCGATTTAATAGTGTTTAAATATCTAATCAAAATCCCGAAAATGCTAATTGGAACTAAGAAACTAGGCCTTTATCACATCTTCTTCATCCCCTGTTAACAACACTCAATTTTTAAAGTCTAAATACCTAATTATAATGTCCTACAAGCAATAACACCAAAGTCATTGCAAATCCTATTTTGCCATCCAGACGAGAGAGAGTGAGTCTAATGGGGTTGGTTTAATAAATATTTGGGTTGCCTAGGCTTGGTATTAATTTAGTCCCCACGCCAAAAAACAAAAGAAAAACATTCCTTAGTCATAGCCCCGTTAGTCTTGTTCATTGGACTGTCCCCTGGGTAGCTTCACGACACAAATCCATGGGATTACTATGCCATGAAGATGCATATCTAATTGTTGGAATTAGAATGTCACTCTGATACCATGTTGGGTCGGAGTTGAAGGGAGGAGTTTAGGTATAGATGACAGAGAACAACAATTGAACAAAGTATTTATTAGAATGGAGAGAATGGTACATCGCTGGTGTCATAGAACTTGAGGCTCTTGTCCTTCTAATTGTAGAGCTCCTTGGCTAGTTGGTGAATTGGTTCAAACTGGGCCTATTGCTTTCAGTTTATAGACTTATTGCTACGGCACTCTTTGTCTAATTGGCCCCTTAGTGCTACTGGCCCCCACACTTGATTGTTGGTTGAAGCAACTTGCTTAGAAGCACACAAGAGTCATCTTGTAGTTATAGACCAATTGCAGCTGCGACTTATCCCCTGGCTTTGTTCCACCGCTTGACGTTGAGGCTCTCCATTCCATCGCCCAGTCGTTGGACATTCGTCTAGAAACGTTCTTACATACCATTTGTTGTCGACAATATTGTGGTTGAGCTCCTCCACAATTTATTCACGATTCTTCTAGATTATTAGTGGGAAAAGCATGGTACACGTACGTAGTTAGTTATCCAAAAGAGACTTGAAATACAGTTTTCACAACCGTCGTGAATCGACTGTCATCTATTTGGGTGTCAAACTACGACGCTTTTCACCGTCGTTGTTTATCTGTAACGACGACGGTTTTTAAAGAAAATCGTCGTTGTTTAGAGGTAAAGATTGTTAATTATAGGAGAAAAGACGATTGTTTTTAATAAAACCGTTGTGTATTGTATGTAAAGATGACGATTTTTTTATGAAAACCGTCGTGGATTGTTTATAAAGACGTCATCTTTACATACAATAGAAGACCCTTTTAAAAAAACCGTCATCTTTACATACAATAGACGACCCTTTTAAAAAAAAGTTCATCTATACTTCACAATAGACGACCTTTTAAACATCGTCATCTTTACATATAATATATGACCGTCATCTTTACATATAATAGACGACCCTTTTTATAAAAATCGTCATCTTTACCTATAATAGACGACCATTTTTTATAAAAAACGTCGTTAATTATCTGTAAAGACCATGATTTATTAAAACTGTCGTCTAATAAGTTTCCAAACTGCTACATTTTAGTTCTTTTTGATTTCCTATGATGCTATACAACGATTTTAACTAGAAAACCAACCATAATGCTTTATTAATGAATATATACACTCAAAATAGTTTTTTTTCATAAAACTTGAAGATTCAATAGTTATACATAGTTAACCAATCTTTATCTACAACAAACATAGTTAACTGCATTACTGGTCCATAAGTTTGGGACAATTTGTGTAGGGATTGATGAGGCAGAGGACCAAGGAGATTGAGGTTGCCAATTATAGGCCATGGTTTTTGGACCTGGTGGAAGTTTTGGGCGTTTGGCAAATAGAATTTTGGAGAGAAGGGCCAGAGCAGCTAGCAATGCAAGGGCTAAAACAGCCGAAGAAGAAGCCTCCATTGTGTGAAAGTTGAGTAGTGCAGTATTGACTGATATTGCTTGTAATTTGTAGTTGGAGGAGGCCTGTGGCTATGATATTTCTTAACTTTTTTTTGTTTGCTTTAGTGAGAGAAGATTGATTTGAGGTATTGAAGAGATATATATATATATATTATCCTCCCAAAACCTTTATGTGATGTGTGGTCCCTAACCTCCCAAAAATCCATCACCGTCCATTTGTGTTTTATTCACATAATAATCTCGTGCAAAATTTGATCCAAAAATAAATAATAAAGGGTTCATGTAAGCAAACAAAACCTTAACCTCATGCAAGCAAAAAACAGGCTCATTGAGTGCCCAACAGCCACACATGTAAATCTCATATTGGATTGTTATGTAAGAGGTATATATATTCTTATTTAAGAGGTACAGCCGTGCGGCTATACACTTTAAATATATGTTTTTATTTAAGGATTATAGCCGTGCCGCTATATTCTTTAACTATATTTTAATTTAAGACGTATAGCCGCGCGGCTATACTGTTTAAATATATTTTTTGTATTTAACTCAAATAAAACATTCAAAGCAAGAAGGCAAATAAACCAGAAACAATATATTAGCAAAATTCAAATAGCAACATGTATCTGCTTTAGATGCCTTTTTATTTATTTTTCAAACAAGCTGTTATGTAATTACAGGCCTTGCTACCCTTCATCAGAGAGCTCGAGCAAATACATTTGGCGAGCACTTTCTAATCATGCACACTAAAATTCTATCAAGTCTTATTGTTTTTTTTGTTTTTGGTTATCCCAAGACACTGTTGGAAGCTGTTTCAGATGCTCATCTTAGCTACGATGTTGAGGAGTAGCTCATCTAGTTCTTTTATTGTCTCTCAAAGAAATGTTTTATTTTGTATTCTTCTCCGAAGAAATGTTTTATTTAGTATCGTCATACTTAGAAAATATTTTCAGATTAAATTCCACAAACATAATTTTATTTTTCTTTTCTTGTTAGCATTGAAGGTTTAATTTTGTTTAATCCTGGCCCTTAACCTACTATTAAACAAATAAACAACTAGCCCAAAGCCCAAAAGGCTTGATTGTCCAATATTTTTTTGGTCCAAAGATTATCTAAATATTAGTGTACACATTAAAGTTAAAATTACATAACTTAAGCCATGGAAAACCCCATTTATAACGAGATTAATGTGTGCATAAATATTTTTTTGGACCAAGAGGTTGAGGTTGCCAATTATAGACCATGGTTTTGGGACCTGGTGGAAGTTTTAGCTTCTTGGGTAGGGAAAGAGAATTTTGGAGAGAAGGGTGTTGGTGGAACAATATGAAATATGCTTTAAAGATAATAATAATTCTCAACAAATTGTAATAATCAAATACAATAACAATTTATATGAAATTAATGTAAATCAACAAACACAAGTAGAAATACGGACAACTTTAGCAATTGAGGCTTGCAAGATTGCAATGTTCTAAAACAGATTTCACCCATGCTCTTGTGCTCGCAGTTTATAGGCGTCCATCTTCCAGGATTCAACAATCAATAATTCTAAATTGAAGCACTTCAATTTAAGACTCTAGCGAACCAATTATATATTTGTACTCTCAAGACAAACGTCAGAAGTATTTAACAAAGAGATAAATAAAGTATTGGGAATACTCTATTTTTCACGAAAGAACTCTATCCATCTTTTTGGAGATATCCAGGTTGATGAAGGGTGCTTGATTTATATAAAACTCAAATCAACCCTTTGATAAACAACGTGTCTATGAATTAGTGTAAGTTCAAGAGATACAACCTTTGCATCATT